AACCTTGGTGGGATTTGGGATTGAAATCCCAAAAAATGGGGAAATTCGGGAACCAAATCCAAAAAAAAAATGGGGGAAATTCCCCCTCAAAAAAATTGGGAATTCCATCCCGCAATTCCCGTCACTGTCGCCGTTCCAGACCTGAACCAAATCCCAAAAAATGGGGAAATTTGGGAATCAAATCCCAAAACTTTGAGGGATTTGGGATTGAAATACCAAAATATTGATGGATTTGGGATTCAAATCCCAAAAAAATCGGGAAATTTGGGAACCAAATCCAAAAAAAATTGGGAAAATTCCCCCTCAAAATAATTGGGAATTCCATCCCGCAATTCCCATCGCTGTCGCCATTCCAGGCCTGAACCAAATCCCAAAAAACGGGGAAATTTGGGAACGAAATCCCACAAAATGGCGGGAATTTGGGAATGGGTAATTTTCTCATCGATTTTTTGGGGGAAAAAATTCCCAAAAAATTGGGAATTCCATCCCGCAATTCCCGTCGTTGTCACCATTCCAGACCTGAACCAAATCCCAAAAAACGGGGAAATTTGGGAATGAAATCCCACAAAATGGCGGGAATTTGGGAATGGGGATCACCAATTTTTTAGGGGAAAAAATTCCCAAAAAATTGGGAATTCCATCCCGCCATTCCCATTGCTTTCGCTGTTCCAGGCCTGAACCAAATCCCAAAAAACGGGGAAATTTGGGAACGAAATCCCAAAACTTGGAGGGATTTGGGATTGAAATAGCAAAATATTGATGGATTTGGGATTCAAATCCCAAAAAAATGGGGAAATTTGGGAACCAAATCCAAAAAAAATTGGGAAAATTCCGCCTCAAAAAAATTGGGAATTCCATCCCGCAATTCCCATCACTGTCGTCATTCCAGGCCTGAACCAAATCCCAAAAAATGGTGGAATTTGGGAACGAAATCCCACAAAATGGGGAAATTTGGGAATGAAATCTCACAAAACGACGGGAATTTGGGAACGGGGACTTTCCCATCATTTTTGTAGGACTGAATCCCTAAAATCCCCCCAAAAAATTGGGAATTCCATCCCGCAATTCCTGTTGCTTTCGCTGTTCCAGGCCTGAACCAAATCCCAAAAAACGGCGAAATTCGGGAACGAAATCCCACAAAATGGCGGAATTTGGGAACGGGGATTTTCTCACCGATTTTTTGGGGGGGAAAACATTCCCAAAAAATTGGGAATTCCATCCTGCAATTCCCGTCTTTGTCACCATTCCAGGCCTGAACCAAATCCCAAAAAATGGCGAAATTCGGGAACGAAATCCCACAAAATGGCGGGAATTTCTGAACGGGGATTTTCTCATCGATTTTTTTGGGGAAAAAATTCCTCAAAAAATTGGGAATTCCATCCCGCAATTCCCGTCGCTGTCGCCATTCCAGGCCTGAACCGAATCCCAAAAAACGGGGAAATTTGGGAATCAAATCCCAAAACTTTGAGGGATTTGGGATTGAAATACCAAAATATTGATGGATTTGGGATTCAAATCCCAAAAAAATGGGGAAATTTGGGAACCAAATCCAAAAAAATTGGGAAAATTCCGCCTCAAAAAAATTGGGAATTCCATCCCGCAATTCCCGTCACTGTTGCCATTCCAGGCCTGAACCAAATCCCAAAAAATGGTGGAATTTGCAAATGATATCCCACAAAACTACAGGAATTTGGGAACGGGGATTTTCTCATCGATTTTTTTGGGAAAAAATTCCGAAAAAAATTGGGAATTCCATCCTGCAATTCCCGTCACTGTCGCCGTTCCAGGCCTGAACCAAATCCCAAAAAATGGTGGAATTTGGGAATCAAACCCAAAAACTTGGAGGGATTTGGGATTGAAATACCAAAATATTGATGGATTTGGGATTCAAATCCCAAAAAAATCGGGAAATTTGGGAACCAAATCCAAAAAAAAAATGGGGAAAATTCCACCTCAAAAAATTCCCCAAAAATTGGGAATTCCATCCCGCAATTCCCATCGCTGTCGCCGTTCCAGGCCTGAACCGAATCCCAAAAAACGGCGAAATTCGGGAATAAAATCCCACAAAACGACGGGAATTTGGGAATGGGGATTTTCTCGCCGATTTTTTGGGGGGGAAGAAATTCCAAAAAAATTGGGAATTCCATCCCACAATTCCCGTCGCTGTCGCCGTTCCAGGCCTGAACCAAATCCCAAAAAATTGGGAAATTTGGGAATGATATCCCACAAAACGACGGGAATTTGGGAATGGGGATCACCGATTTTTTAGGGATAAAATTCCCAAAAAATTGGGAATTCCATCCCACAATTCCCGTCGCTGTCGCCGTTCCAGGCCTGAATCAAATCCCAAAAAATGGTGGAATTTGGGAATGAAATCCCACAAAACGGGGAAATTCGGGAACCAAATCCCACAAAACGACGGGAATTTGGGAACGGGGATTTTCCCATCGATTTTTTAGGACTGAATCCCTAAAATCCCCCAAAATATTGGGAATTCCATCCCACCATTCCCGTCACTGTCGCCGTTCCAGGCCTGAACCAAATCCCAAAAAACGGCGAAATTCGGGAACAAAATCCCACAAAACGACGGGAATTTGGGAACGGGGATTTTCTCATCGATTTTTTAGGGAAAAAATTCCGAAAAAATTTGGGAATTCCATCCCGCAATTCCCGTCGTTGTCACCATTCCAGGCCTGAACCAAATCCCCAAAAACGGCGGAAATTTGGGAATGAAATCCCACAAAATGGGGAAATTCGGGAACGAAATCCCAGAAAATGGGGAAATTTGGGAATAAAATCCCACAAAACGACGGGAATTTGGGAATGGGGATTTTCTCATTGATTTTTTGGGGGAAAAAAATTCCCAAAAAATTGGGAATTCCGTCCCACAATTCCCATCACTGTCGCCGTTCCAGGCCTGAACCAAATCCCAAAAAATGGTGGAATTTGGGAACGAAATCCCACAAAATGAGGAAATTTGGGAATGAAATCCCACAAAATGACAGGAATTTGGGAATGGGGATTTTCTCACTGATTTTTTGGGACTGAATCCCTAAAATCCCCCCAAAATGTGGGAATTCCATCCCACCATTCCCGTCGCTGTCGCCGTTCCAGACCTGAATCAAATCCCAAAAAACGGGGAAATTTGGGAACGGAATCCCACAAAACGACGGGAATTTGGGAATGGGGATTTTCTCACCGATTTTTTAGGACTGAATCCCTAAAATCCCCCCAAAAAATTGGGAATTCCATCCCGCCATTCCCGTCGCTGTCGCCGTTCCAGACCTGAACCAAATCCCAAAAAACGGGGAAATTCGGGAACGAAATCCCACAAAATGGCGGGAATTTGGGAATGGGGATCACCGATTTTTTAGGGAAAAAATTCCCAAAAAATTGGGAATTCCATCCCACAATTCCCGTCGCTGTCACCGTTCCAGGCCGGAACCAAATCCCAAAAAATTGTGGAATTTGCAAATGATATCCCACAAAATGGCGGGAATTTGGGAATGGGGATCACCGATTTTTTGGGGAAAAAATTCCCAAAAAATTGGGAATTCCATCCCGCCATTCCCATTTCAGGCCTGCCCCGGCTGGTGCCGTGCCGGGATTTCCTCGGAATCGCCGCTTTTTCCCGGGAACGGCCAATTCCAGCCGCTCTCCGAGAGCCTCCGGCGCTACGTCATGAGCCACTTCCGCTGGAACCAATTCGGCCGCAAAAACGCCTCCGAGCCCGGAAAACGGGAAGAGTTTTCCGGGAAAAACGCCGGAATTCCCGATTTTTCCCGCTTTTCCGAGGAGGCCAAAGACGGGAAGCGTTCCTATTCCATGGAGCATTTCCGCTGGGGAAAACCCGTCGGGCGCAAGAGGAGACCGGTGAAGGTTTATCCCAACGGAGCCGAGGAGGAGTCGGAGGAGAATTCCCGCCTGGAATTCCGCAGGGGAGAAGCCCCCGAGGAGGAGGAGGAGGATGAGGAGGAAGAATTCCCGGAATTCCCGTGGAATTCCCGGAAGGAGAAGCGTTACGGCGGATTCATGAGTTCCGAGAGGATCCGGACGCCGTTGGTGACGCTCTTCAAGAACGCCATCGGGAAGAGTTTTGCCAAGGATGGGCAGTGACGGGAAAAATCCCGGAAAATTCCGGAAAAATCCCAGAAAAATCCCAGAAAATCTGGGAAAATCTCACCAAAAAAATCCCGGAAAATCCAGGAAAATCCCACGAAAAAAATCCCGGAAAATTCGGGAAAATCCCACGGGATTCGCGGCCCCCGTAGCGTCCCCTTAGCGCTTCGTCCTTCCTAATAAAAAATCCCGGGATTTTCGGGCGGGAATTCCCGGTTTTGGGAGTTCTTGGGATTGGGGCGGATCCCGGTTGGGAATTCTTGGGAATGTTGTAAAGGAGGGATGGAAAATTCCCGAAAAAATAAAAAAAAAACTACGGATGAGAGCGTTGGAAGGGGGAAAAAAATGGGAATTTGGGTCGGGAAAGGGTTGGAGGGTGGATTTTGGGATGAGTTGGAATTCCCAGTTTGGGAATTCTTGGAAGTTTTCCATGGGAAAAACAAGGATGGGGAGCAGGGAATGGATTTCCATGGGAAAAGGGAGGAATTTTGGGAAGGAATTCCCAAAATCTGGGGAATTTTGGGTTGGAATTCCCAAAATCTGGGGAATTTTGGGTCGGAATTCCCTGAGAATCTCTGGGAATATCCAAGGAAAAGTTGGGAAATTCCAGGATTGGATTGGAATGGGATGGGATGGAAGATCCATGGATCCCACCAGTGGAATTCCAGGATTCTGGGATCCATCCCGAGGGATTTTTATGGAATTCGGGGATGGAAAAGAGAAGCGGAATCCCAAATTCCCAGAGAATTCCCAAAATTCCTTCCGGAGAGGGTTCGGGATGGGGATGGATCCAATCCCAGGCTGGGAATGGAGGGAATTCCCAGGGAAAAAGGGAAATGGAATTTGGGATTGGGAATTCCCGGCCAGGCTGGAATTCCCAAAGAATCCCTGGGAATTCTTGGCATTCCCGGGGAAACTTTGGAATGTGCCCATGGAATGGGATGGGATTTCAGATCCGTGGATCCCATCCCAACCATTCCAGGGTCACTCCAAATCCCCTCGGAAAAGCTCCGGAGCCCCTCCCGTTATCCCTGGGGAAAACCGGGATGGGATTTGGGAATTGGGATTTGGAATTCCGCTGCTCCCGTTGGAGCCGATCCCAAATCCGGGAATGCTCCCGGCTCCCAAATTCCATGGGCACCAACCCCAATCCTGATCCCAATCCTGATCCTGACCCCAATCCACATCCCATTCTCGATTCTGATCCTGATCCCCGATCCCGATCCCCAATCCCGATCCCCGATCCCGATCCCGATCCCAATCCCGATCCCGATCCTGATCCCAATTACGTTCCCGATTCCAATCCCAATCCCAATCCTAATCCTGATCCTGACCCCGATCCTCATCCCATTCTCGATTCTGATCCTGATCCCGATCCCAATCCTGATCTTGATCCCAATCCCTGATCCCAATCCCAATCCGGATCCTGATCCTGACTCCGATCCTCATCCCAATCCCGATCCCAATTCTGATCCCGATCCAAATCCTGATCCTGATCCTGGTCCCCGATCCCAATCCTGGTTCCAATCCCAATCCTAATCCCGATCTTGATCCAGAATTATGATTCTGTTTCTGCTTCTGATCTCGATCCCGATCCTGATCCTGATCTCCAATCCCAATCCCGATCCCGATCCTGATCCTGATCTCCAATCCCAATCCTGATCCTGATCCCGATCCTGACCCCGATCCCCAATCCCAATCCCAATCCTGATCCCAATCCAAATCCTGGTCCCCAATCCCAATCCTCATCCCAATCCTGATCCTGATCCTGATCCTGGTCCCGATCCCGATCCCAATCCTGATCTTGATCCCGATCCCCAATCCCAATCCCGATCCCAATCCTGATCCCGATCCAAATCCTTAACCTGATCCTGATCCCCAATCCCAATCTTGGTTCCAATCCCAGTCCTGATCCTAATCTTGATCCTGAATTATGATTCTGTTTCTGCTTCCGATCTCGATCCCCATCCTGATTCCAATCCCAATCCCAATCCTGATCCCGATCCCCAATCCCAATCCCCAATCCCAATCCTGATCCTGATCCTGACCCCTGATCCCAGTCCTGGTTCCAATCGTGAACCCATTCCCAATTCTGGTCACGATCCTGATCCTGATCCTGATCCCCACCCTGATTCAGATCCCAATCCCAATCCTGATCTTGATCCTGGTCCCAAATCCCAATCCTAATCCTGATCCCGATTCCACTTCCGACCATGATCCCAATCCTAATGCTGATCTCAATCCCAAATTATGATTCTGTTTCTGCTTCCGATCTCGATTCCCATGAAGATCTTGATCCTGATCCCGATCCCAATCCCGATCGTGATCCTGATCCCAATCCCGATCCTGATCCTGAATCCCAATCACAGTCCTGATCCCAGTCCTGATCCGCACCCCAATTTGGATCCAAATCCTAATCCCAATACTGATCCCAATCCTGATCCCAATCCCGATCCTGATCCCAATCCCAATGCCAATCCCAATGCCAATGCCAATCAAGTTCCCAATCCCGATCCCAATCCTGATCCCAATGCCAATCCCAATCCCAATCCTAATCCCGATCCAAATCCTGATTCTGATCCGATCCCAATCCTAATCCTGATACTGATCTAGATCCCGATCCCAATCCCAATCCCATTCGTAATCCCGATCCCAATGCCAATTCCAATACCGATCCCAATCCCAATCCCTTTCCCAATGCCAATGCCAATGCCAATCCCGATCCCGATTCCAACCCCAATCCCAACCCCAAGCCCAATCCCGATCCCAATGCCAATGCCAATCCCATTCCCAATCCCGATCCCAATCCCGATCCTGATCCCAATGCCAATCCCAATCCTAATCCTATCCCTATCCCCAATCCCAATTCTGATCCTGATCCTGATCCTGATCCCCGATCCTGATCCCGATCCCAATCCTGATCCCAATCCCAATCCCGATCCTGATCCCAATCCCAATCCCAATCTCAATCCCAATCCCATTCGTAATCCCAATCCCAATGCCAATTCCAATACCGATCCCAATCCCAATCCCAATTCTGATCCCAATCCCAATCCCAATGCCAATCCCAATCCCAATCTTGACCCTGTTCCAAATACCGATCCCGATCCCAATCCCGATCCCAATCCCGTTCCCAATCCCAATCCTGATCCAATCCCGATCCCAATCCTGGTCCCAATCCCATTCCCAATTCCAATCCTGATCCAATCCCGATGCCAATCCCAATCCCAGTCCCGTTCCCAATCGCAATCCCAATCCCGATCCTGATCCCAATGCCAATGCTAATCCCAATCTTAATACCAATCCCAATCCTGACCCTGTTCCAAATACCGATCCCAATCCCGATCCCAATCCCAATCCCACTCCTGATCCAATCCCAATCCCAACCCCAATCCCAATCCCGATCCCGCTCCCGCTCCGGCCGCGGGGCACAGACAGGAGCCCATGACTTCTCCGATCAAATTTATGGATCTGGAATACACAACTCCCGTCCTCCCCAAATCCCAGCCGGACCCGACCTCTGGAATCCGGGCGGAATTCCCAGGAAAACCCCGGATCCTCTCCCACCACCGGCACACGGAGAAGACGCCGACTCTTCCCACCCATCCCTGAGTTTGGATCTCCTGGAATCCGAGTCCGGAATTCCCGCGGCGAGGAAAATCCCGGGAAAAAAACCGGGATCCACGAAATAAAACCCCAAAAAAAAACCCCAAAAACTCCTCCGGGAGGGACGGGGACACGGATCCCGGTTGGATATTCCCGAGGAATTTTCAGGAATTCTCCAGCACCTGGTGGGGCAGGGGCACGGCGGCGGATCCGAGGAGCGATCCCGGTTTTTCGCGGCCCTTCAGGAAGAAGGTCAGGAGCTCCCCCTTGCCCTTGACGTAGACGGCGCCGCGGCGCACGAAGCGGAAACCGAATTCCTTCAGGATCTGCTGCGTCTCCTCCACCACCTGGGCCGGAAAAACGGGAATGTGGGAATGTCCCACCCCCCCAGAAAACCGGGAATGTGGGAATGTCCCACCCCGGAAAAGCGGGAAGAGCTCGGGAGAAAATTCCAAGGAAAAAGGAAAAAGATTCCCAAAAAATCGTTGGGAGAGTTCAAGGAAAAGGTTGGAAAATCGCAGGATGGTGAGATTGGAATGGGGTGGGATTGAAGGTCCATGGATCCCATCCCAAATTATTCCGGGATTCTGGGATCGAGGACGCTCAGGATCCATCCCGAGGGGTTTTTATGGAATTTTGGGATGGAAAAGGGAAGGGAGACCCTTCCTGGAGTTCTGAATTCCCAATGAAACCCCTGGTGGGATCCCACCTGGATGTTCCCCCTGATCCCACCTGGATGTTCCCCCTGATCCCACCTGGATGTTCCCCCTGATCCCACCTGGATGTTCCCCATGATCCCACCTGGATGTTCCCCCTGGTCCCACCTGGATGTTCCCCATGACCCCACCTGGATGTTCCCCATGACCCCACCTGGATGTTCCCCATGATCCCACCTGGATGTTCCCCATGGTCCCACCTGGATGTTCCCCATGATCCCACCTGGATGTTGCCTGTGACCCCACCTGGATGTTCCCCCTGACCCCACCTGGATGTTCCCCATGATCCCACCTGGATGTTCCCCCTGACCCCACCTGGATGTTCCCCCTGATCCCACCTGGATGTTCCCTCTGATCCCACCTGGATGTTCCCCATGACCCCACCTGGATGTTCCTCCTGATCCCACCTGGATGTTCCCCGTGATCCCACCTGGATGTTCCCCATGACCCCACCTGGATGTTCCCCATGATCCCACCTGGATGTTCCCCCTGACCCCACCTGGATGTTCCCCCTGATTCCACCTGGATGTTCCCCATGATCCCACCTGGATGTTCCCCCTGACCCCACCTGGATGTTCCCCCTGATCCCACCTGGATGTTCCCCATGATCCCACCTGGATGTTCTCTGTGACCCCACCTGGATGTTCCCTGTGACCCCACCTGGATGTTCCCCATGATCCCACCTGGATGTTCCCCCTGATCCCACCTGGATGTTCCCCCTGATCCCACCTGGATGTTGCCCATGGTCCCACCTGGATGTTCCCCATGATCCCACCTGGATGTTCCCCATGATCCCACCTGGATGTTCTCCATGATCCCACCTGGATGTTCCTCATGATCCCACCTGGATGTTCCCCATGATCCCACCTGGATGTTCCCCCTGATCCCACCTGGATGTTCCCCCTGATCCCACCTGGATGTTCCCCATGGTCCCACCTGGATGTTCCCCATGGTCCCACCTGGATGTTCTCTGTGTTCCCACCTGGATGTTCCCCATGATCCCACCTGGATGTTCCCCCTGACCCCACCTGGATGTTCCCCATGGTCCCACCTGGATGTTCCCCCTGACCCCACCTGGATGTTCCCCATGACCCCACCTGGATGTTCCCCATGGTCCCACCTGGATGTTCCCTGTGATCCCACCTGGATGTTCCCCCTGACCCCACCTGGATGTTCCCACCTGGATGTTCCCCATGACCCCACCTGGATGTTCCCCCTGTTCCCACCTGGATGTTCCCCCTGATCCCACCTGGATGTTCCCCATGGTCCCACCTGGATGTTCCCCACATTCCCACCTGGATGTTCCCCCTGATCCCACCTGGATGTTCCCCCTGATCCCACCTGGATGTTGCCCATGACCCCACCTGGATGTTCCCCGTGATCCCACCTGGATGTTCCCTGTCCCACCTGGATGTTCCCTGTGACCCCACCTGGATGTTCCCCATGGTCCCACCTGGATGTTCCCCATGATCCCACCTGGATGTTCCCCATGATCCCACCTGGATGTTCCCCATGGTCCCACCTGGATGTTCCCCCTGATCCCACCTGGATGTTCCCCTGATCCCACCTGAATGTTCCCCTGACCCCACCTGGATGTTCCCCTGATCCCACCTGGATGTTCCCCCTGATCCCACCTGGATGTTACCCATGACCCCACCTGGATGTTCCCCATGATCCCACCTGGATGTTCCCCATGATCCCACCTGGATGTTCCCCATGACCCCACCTGGATGTTCCCCATGGTCCCACCTGGATGTTCCCCATGATCCCACCTGGATGTTCCCCATGACCCCACCTGGATGTTCCCCATGACCCCACCTGGATGTTCCCCATGACCCCACCTGGATGTTCCCCATGGTCCCACCTGGATGTTCCCGTGATCCCACCTGGATGTTCCCCATGATCCCACCTGGATGTTCCCCCTGATCCCACCTGGATGTTCCCCATGATCCCACCTGGATGTTCCCCCTGATCCCACCTGGATGTTCCCCCTGATCCCACCTGGATGTTCCCCATCCCACCTGGATGTTCCCCATGACCCCACCTGGATGTTCCCTGTGATCCCACCTGGATGTTCCCCATGGTCCCACCTGGATGTTCCCCATGATCCCACCTGGATGTTCCCCATGACCCCACCTGGATGTTCCCCATGATCCCACCTGGATATTCCCCCTGACCCCACCTGGATGTTCCCCATGATCCCACCTGGATGTTCCCCCTGATCCCACCTGGATGTTCCCCATGATCCCACCTGGATGTTCCCCACGTTCCCACCTGGATGTTCCCCCTGATCCCACCTGGATGTTCCTCCTGATCCCACCTGGATGTTCCCCATGATCCCACCTGGATGTTCCTCCTGATCCCACCTGGATGTTCCCCATGATCCCACCTGGATGTTCCCCATGACCCCACCTGGATGTTCCCCATGTCCCCACCTGGATGTTCCCCATGGTCCCACCTGGATGTTCCCCATGATCCCACCTGGATGTTCCCCATGACCCCACCTGGATGTTCCCCATGGTCCCACCTGGATGTTCCCCATGATCTCACCTGGATGTTGCCCATGGTCCCACCTGGATGTTGCCCATGGTCCCACCTGGATGTTCCCCATGACCCCACCTGGATGTTCCCCATGGTCCCACCTGGATGTTCCCCCTGACCCCACCTGGATGTTCCCCATGATCCCACCTGGATGTTCCCCCTGATCCCGCCTGGATGTTCCCCATGGTCCCACCTGGATGTTCCCCATGACCCCACCTGGATGTTCCCCCTGATCCCACCTGGATGTTCCCCATGGTCCCACCTGGATGTTCCCCATGGTCCCACCTGGATGTTCCCCCTGATCCCACCTGGATGTTCCCCATGATCCCACCTGGATGTTCCCCCTGATCCCACCTGGATGTTCCCCATGATCCCACCTGGATGTTCCCTGTGACCCCACCTGGATGTTCCCCCTGATCCCACCTGGATTTCCCCCTGACGCCACCTGGATGTTCCCCATGGTCCCACCTGGATGTTCCCCCTGATCCCACCTGGAAGTTCCCCATGATCCCACCTGGATGTTCCCCATGATCCCACCTGGATGTTCCCCATGATCCCACCTGGATGTTCCCCCTGATCCCACCTGGATGTTCCCCATGACCCCACCTGGATGTTCCCCATGATCCCACCTGGATGTTCCCCATGGTCCCACCTGGATGTTCCCCCTGATCCCACCTGGATGTTCCCCTGATCCCACCTGGATGTTCCCCATGACCCCACCTGGATGTTCCCCCTGATCCCACCTGGATGTTCCCCATGATCCCACCTGGATGTTCCCCATGATCCCACCTGGATGTTCCCCGTGATCCCACCTGGATGTTCCCCCTGATCCCACCTGGATGTTCCCCCTGATGCCACCTGGATGTTCCCCGTGATCCCACCTGGATGTTCACTCTGATCCCACCTGGATGTTGCCCATGATCCCACCTGGATGTTCCCCCTGATCCCACCTGGATGTTGCCCATGATCCCACCTGGATGTTCCCCATGGTCCCACCTGGATGTTCCCCATGATCCCACCTGGATGTTGCCCATGATCCCACCTGGATGTTCCCTGTGATCCCACCTGGATGTTCCCCATGGTCCCACCTGGATGTTCCCCCTGATCCCACCTGGATGTTCCCCATGGTCCCACCTGGATGTTCCCCATGACCCCACCTGGATGTTCCCCCTGATCCCACCTGGATGTTCCCCATGATCCCACCTGGATGTTCCCCATGATCCCACCTGGATGTTCTCTCTGATCCCACCTGGTTGTTCCCCGTGACCCCACCTGGATGTTCCCCATGGTCCCACCTGGATGTTCCCCATGACCCCACCTGGATGTTCCCCATGACCCCACCTGGATGTTGCCCATGACCCCACCTGGATGTTCCCCATGGTCCCACCTGGATGTTCCCTGTGATCCCACCTGGATGTTGCCCATGATCCCACCTGGATGTTCCCCATGGTCCCACCTGGATGTTGCCCGTGATCCCACCTGGATGTTCCCAAGATCCCACCTGGATGTTCCCCCTGACCCCACCTGGATGTTCCCCCTGATCCCACCTGGATGTTCCCCATGATCCCACCTGGATGTTCCCCATGATCCCACCTGGATGTTCCCCATGGTCCCACCTGGATGTTCCCCATGACCCCGGTGGACTCCATCCTGCTGGCCACGTTGACCGTGTTGCCCCAGATGTCGTAGTGGGGCTTTCGCGCCCCGATGACCCCGGCCAGGACCGCGCCCTTGTTCATCCCTGGTGGGGACAGCAGCGGGTCACGCCCCGGAATTCCCGAAATTCCCGAAATTCCCGGAATTCCCGGAATTCCCGGACTTGCCTATGCGCAGCATGAAGTTGTTGAAGGACTGGTAGTTGATGTTCATCAGCGTCACCTTCATGGCCAGCGCGAAGTCGGCCAGGTCGGCCAGGTGCTGCCAGCGCTCCGTGTCCGAGCGCGGCTCCTTCTGCGCCAAAATCCCGGGAATTGGCCCCGGAACGGCACCCGCCGGCGGGAATGGGGAAACGGCACCGGAGGTGGGACACGGAGGTGGAGGTGGTGGGATATGGAGATGGGACATGGAGATGGATATGATGGGAGATGGAGATGAGACATGGAGATGGGACATGGAGATGGGACATGGTGGGACTTGGAGATGGGACATGGAGATGAGGTTACATGGAGATGGGACACAGAGGTGGAGATGGGACATGGAGATGGGACATGGAGATGGGAGATGGGACACAGAGGTGGAGATGATGGGATATGGAGATTAAGATGGAGGATGGAGATGGGAGATGGGACACAGAGGTGGAGATGGGACATGGAGATGGGACATGGAGATGGGACATGGAGATGGGACATGGAGATGGGACATGGGGATGGCACATGGGACACTGGAATGGGACATGGAGATGGGACATGGAGATGGGAGATGGGACATGGAGATGGAGATGATGGGATATGGAGATGGGACATGGAGATGGGGCATGGAGATGGGACATGGGGATGGCACATGGGACACTGGAATGGGACATGGAGATGGGACAGGAATGGGACATGGAGATGGTGGGACATGGAGGTGGGACATGGAGATGGAGATGATGGGATATGGAGATGGGACATGGAGATGGGAACATGGACATGGGACATGGGGATGGCACATGGGACACTGGAATGGGACATGGAGAAGGGACATGGAGATGGGACATGGAGATGGGACATGGGACATTGGAATGGGGCATGGAGATGGGACATGGAGAAGGGACATGGAGATGGGACATGGTGGGACTTGGAGATGACGAGACACGGAGATGGGACGTGGAGATGGGACATGGAGATGGAGATGATGGGACATGGAGATGGGACATGGTGGGACTTGGAGATGACGAGACATGGAGATGGGACGTGGAGATGGGACATGGAGATGGAGATGATGGGACATGGAGATGGGACATGGTGGGACTTGGAGATGAGACATGGAGATGAGACACAGAGGTGGAGATGGGACATGGAGATGGAGATGATGGGATATGGAGATGGGACATGGAGATGGGAGATGGGACATGGAGATGGAGATGATGGGATATGGAGATGACGGGACATGGAGATGGGACATGGTGGGACATGGAGATGGAGATGGGAGATGGGACACAGAGGTGGAGATGATGGGATATGGAGATGGGACATGGAGATGGTGGGACATGGAGATGGGACATGGTGGGACATGGAGATGGAGATGGGAGATTGAACACAGAGGTGGAGATGGGACATGGAGATGGGAGATGGGACACAGAGGTGGAGATGATGGGACATGGAGATGGGACATGGAGATGGGATATGAAGATGGAGGATGGGATGGGAGATGGGACACAGAGGTGGAGATGAGAAATGGAGATGGGACATGGGGATGACGGGACATGGAGATGGGACATGGTGGGACTTGGAGATAAGACATGGAGATGGGACATGGGGATGAAGATGGGAGATGGGACATGAAGATGGAGATGGGAGATGGGACACAGAGGTGGAGATGGGACATGGTGGGACTTGGAGAAGATGGGACATGGAGATGGGACATGGAGATGGAGATGGGATATGGAGATGGGACATGGAGATGGGAACATGGAGATGGGACATGGGGATGGCACATGGGACACTGGAATGGGACATGGAGAAGGGACATGGAGATGGGACATGGAGATGATGAGACATGGAGATGGGACATGGAGATGGAGATGGGAGATGGGACATGGTGGGACTTGGAGATGACGAGACATGGAGATGGAACATGGAGATGGGACATGGAGGTGGAGATGATGGGATATGGAGATGGGACATGGAGATGGGACATGGAGATGGGACATGGAGATGGGACATGGAGATGGAGATGGGAGATGGGACACAGAGGTGGAGATGGGACATGGAGATGGGACATGGAGATGATACATGGTGGGACATGGAGATGGAGATGGGAGATGGGACACAGAGGTGGAGATGATGGGATATGGAGATGGGACATGGAGATGTTGGGACATGGAGATGGGATGTGGTGGGACATGGAGATGGAGATGGGAGATTGAACACAGAAGTGGAGATGGGACATGGAGATGGGAGATGGGACATGGAGATGGAGATGATGGGACATGGAGATGGGACATGGAGATGGGGCATGGAGATTGGACATGGGGATGGCACATGGGACACTGGAATGGGACATGGAGATGGGACAGGAATGGGACATGGAGTAGATAGCATGTGGAGATGGGACGTGGAGATGGGACATGGAGATGGGACATGGATTTGGGAACATGGGGATGGGACATGGGACATCGGGATGAGACACAGAGATGGGACAGGAATGGGACATGGAGATGGTGGGACATGGAGATGGGACATGGAGATGGGACATGGAGATGGGACATGGAGATGGAAATGGGACATGGAGATGGGACATGGGGATGGCACATGGGACACTGGGATGGGACATGGAGATGGGACAGGAATGGGACATGGAGATGGTGGGACATGGAGATGGGACATGGTGGGACTTGGAGATGAGACATGGAGATGGGACATGGGGATGGAGATGGAGATGGAGATGATGGGATATGGAGATGGGACACGGAGATGGGATTTGGAGATGGAACATGGAGATGGGACATGGAGCTGGGATGTGGAGATGAAACATGGAGATGGAACACGGACACGGAGAAGGGACATGGAGATGATGATGGGATATGGAAATGGGACATGGAGATGGGACATAGAGATGGAAATGGGACATGGAGATGGGACACGGACATGGAGATGGGATATGGGGATGGAAATGGGACACAGACATAGAGATGGGACATGGAGATGATGATGGAACATGGAGATGGGACATGGGATGGGACATGGAGAAGGGACACAGATTTGGGAACATGGAGATGGGATATGGGGGTAGCACATGGGACACTGGGATGGGACGTAGAGATGGGTCAGGAATGGGACATGGAGCTGGTCAGACATGGAGATGGGACATGGAGATGGGACATGGAGATGATGATGGAACATGAAGATGGGACATGGGGATGGGACACGGAGCTGGGACATAGAGATGGGACATGGAGATGATGATGGGACCTGAGAGACACGGAGATGGGACACAGGGATGGGACATGAAATGGGACATGGAGCTGGAACATGGAGATGGAACATGGAGCTGGGATGTGGAGATGGGACACCAGGATGGGACATGGGATGGGACACAGAGATGGGACGTGGAGATGGGACACGGAGATGGGACACGGAGATGGGACACGGAGATAGGACATGGAGATGGAGCCAAGGATGGGGACAAGCAGGAGGGGACCCATCCCAACATCCCCAGGGACGCCCCAATCCCGGCCTGACCCGACCTTGGCTCCGAATCCGTTGGAGGCGTCGGGCGTCACCCCGGAGGCGGCCATGTAGGTGCTGCCGATGGTCTTGATCTTGGTGATGCAGCGGAACTGGGGCTCGTCCAGCAGCTGGGCAGGGACACCAAACCGGGATGGCCCCGGGAACGTCCCGCTGGGATCCCACCTGGATGTTCCCCGTCATCCCACCTGGATGTTCCCTGTGATCCCACCTGGATGTTCCCTGTGATCCCACCTGGATGTTCCCCGTGATCCCACCTGGATGTTCCCCGTCATCCCACCTGGATGTTCCCGTGATTCCCAGTCTGACCCCACCTGGATGTTCCCCCTGACCCCACCTGGATGTTCCCCCTGATCCCACCTGGATGTTCCCCCCGATCCCACCTGGATGTTCCCCCTGATCCCACCTGGATGTTCCCATGATTCCCAGTCTGATCCCACCTGGATGTTCATTCCCAGTCTGATCCCACCTGGATGTTCCCTGTCCCACCTGGATGTTCCCGTGATTCCCAGTCTGATCCCACCTGGATCTCTCCAGTTATTCCCAGTCTGATCCCACCTGGATGTTCCCCTGATCCCACCTGGATGTTCCCCATCCCACCGGGATGTTCCCCATGGTCCCACCTGGATGTTCCCCCTGATCCCACCGGGATGTTCCCCATGGTCCCACCTGGATGTTCCCCCTGATCCCACCTGGATGTTCCCCATGATCCCACCTGGATGTTCCCCCTGATCCCACCTGGATGTTCCCAGTTATTCCCAGTCTGATCCCACCTGGATGTTCCCGTGATTCCCAGTCTGATCCCACCTGGATGTTCCCAGTTATTCCCAGTCTGATCCCACCTGGATGTTCCTGTGATTCCCAGTTGGATCCCACCTGGATGTTCCCTGTCCCACCTGGATGTTCCTGTGATTCCCAGTCTGATCCCACCTGGATGTTCCCAGTTATTCCCAGTCTGATCCCACCTGGATGTTCCTGTGATTCCCAGTCTGATCCCACCTGGATGTTCCTGTGATTCCCAGTCTGATCCCACCTGGATGTTCCCAGTTATTCCCAGTCTGATCCCACCTGGATGTTCCCAGTTATTCCCAGTCTGATCCCACCTGGATGTTCCTGTGATTCCCAGTCTGATCCCACCTGGATGTTCCCAGTTATTCCCAGTCTGATCCCACCTGGATGTTCCCGTGATTCCCAGTCTGATCCCACCTGGATGTTCCCGTGATTCCCAGTCTGATCCCACCTGGATGTTCCTGTGATTCCCAGTCTGATCCCACCTGGATGTTCCCTGTCCCACCTGGATGTTCCTGTGATTCCCAGTCTGATCCCACCTGGATATCTCCAGTTATTCCCAGTCTGATCCCACCTGGATGTTCCCAGTTATTCCCAGTCTGATCCCACCTGGATGTTCCCAGTGATTCCCAGTCTGATCCCACCTGGATGTTCCCAGTTATTCCCAGTCTGATCCCACCTGGATGTTCCCAGTTATTCCCAGTCTGATCCCACCTGGATGTTCCCATGATCCCCAGTCTGATCCCACCTGGATGTTCCCCGTGATCCCACCTGGATGTTCCCCCTGATCCCACCTGGATGTTCCCCAAGGTCCCACCTGGATGTTCCCATGATCCCCAGTCTGATCCCACCTGGATGTTCCCCGTGATCCCACCTGGATGTTCCCCCTGATCCCACCTGGATGTTCCCCAAGGTCCCACCTGGATGTTCCCGTGATCCCCAGTCTGATCCCACCTGGATGTTCATTCCCAGTCTGATCCCACCTGGATGTTCATTCCCAGTCTGATCCCACCTGGATGTTCCCGTGATCCCCAGTCTGATCCCACCTGGATGTTCCCCGTGATCCCACCTGGATGTTCCCGTGATCCCACCTGGATGTTCCTTCTGATCCCACCTGGATGTTCCCGTGATCCCACCTGGATGTTCCCGTGATCCCACCTGGATGTTCCTGTGATTCCCAGTCTGATCCCACCTGGATGTTCATTCCCAGGGACCCCCGCCCGGCCCCTCCCACCGTTCCCGGCCGGGGTCTCGCTCACGGCGTCGAAGTCGGAGATGATCTCGTTGAGGAAGCGCAGGCACTCGATGCCGCCGTTGTTGATGCTCTCCTCGGTGTAGAAGTCGGCGAAGTTGGGCAGCGAAGCGAACATCACCCCGATCTCCTCGTAGGATTGGCTGTACAGCTCCTGGAACGCCGGGAACCAATGGGATTGGAGAAACCTCGGATGGTGAGGTGGGATTGGGATTGGAGAACCCTCGGATGGTGTGGTGGGATTGGGGTTGGAGAACCCTCGGATGGTGCGGTGGGATTGGGATTGGAGAACCTTTGGATGGTGTGGTGGGATTGGGTTGGAGAACCCTTGGATGGTGTGGTGGGATTGGGATTGGGATTGGGATTGGGATTGGAGAACCTTTGGATGGTGAGGTGGGATTGGGATTGGAGAACCCTTGGATGGTGCAGTCAGATGGGATTGGAGAACCCTTGGATGGTGCGGTGGGATTGGAGAACCCTTGGATGGTGAGGTGGGATTGGGATTGGGATTGGGATTGGAGAACCCTTGGATTGTGTAGTGGGATTGGGATTGGAGAACCTTGGGATGGTGCGGTGGGATTGGGATTGGGATTGGAGAAACTTTGGATGTTGAGGTGGGATTGGGATTGGAGAACCTTTGGTTGGTGTGGTGGGATTGGGATTGGAGAACCCTCGGATGGTGAGGTGGGATTGGGATTGGAGCACCCTTGGATGGTGTGGTGGGATTGGGATTGGGATTGGGATTGGGATTGGGATTAGGTTGGAGAACCCTTGGATGGTGCGGTGGGATTGGGATTGGGATTGGAGAACCCTTGGATGGTGTTGTGGGATTGGGATTGGAGAACCCTCAGATGGTGTGGTGGGATTGGGATTGGAGAACCCTTGGATGGTGCGGTGGGATTGGGATTGGGATTGGAGAACCCTTGGATGGTGTTGTGGGATTGGGATTGGAGAACCCTCAGATGGTGAGGTGGGATTGGGATTGGAGAACCCTTGGATGGTGTGGTGGGATTGGGATTGGAGAACCCTTGGATGGTGTGGTGGGATTGGGATTGGAGAACCCTTGGATGGTGAGGTGGGATTGGGATTGTGATTGGGATTGGGATTGGGATGGGATTGGAGAACCCTTGGATGGTGGGATTGGGATTGGAGAACCCTTGGATGGTGGGATTGGGATTGGAGAACCCTTGGATGGTGTGGTGGGATTGGGATTGGAGAACCCTCGGATGGTGTGGTGGGATTGGGATTGGGATTGGAGAACTCTTGTATGGTGTGGTGGGATTGGGATTGGGATTGGAGAACCCTTGGGTGGTGTGACGGGATTGGGATTGGAGAACCCTTGGATGGTGCCGTGGGATTGGGATTGGAGAACCCTTGGATGGTGTGGTGGGATTGGGATTGGGACTGGGATTGGAGAACCCTTGGATGGTGCGGTGGGATTGGGATTGGGTTTGGGATTGGAGAACTCTTGGATGATGTGGTGGGATTGGGATTGGAGAACTCTTTGATAGTGCAGTAGGATTGGGATTGGAGAACCCTTGGAAGGTGCCGTGGGATTGGGATTGGAGAACCCTCGGGTGGTGAGGTGGGAGTGGGATTGGAGAACCCTTGGATGGTGGGATTGGGATTGGAGAACCCCTGGATGGTGCGGTGGGATTGGATTGGAGAACCCTTGGATGGTGTGACGGGATTGGGATTGGAGAACCCTTGGATGGTGTGGTGGGATTGGGATTGGAGAACCCTTGGATGGTGCAGTGGGATTGGGATTGGATTTGAGATTGGAGAACACTTGGATCGTTCAGTGGGATTGGGATTGGGATTGGGATTGGGATTGGGATTGAGAACCCTTGGATGGTGTGATGGGATTGGGATGGGATTGGAGAACCCTTGGATGGTGCAGTGGGATTCGAGGACGCTTGGATGGTGTGGTGGGATTGGGATTGGGATTGGGATTGGGATTGGGATTGGGATTGGGATTGGGTTGGAGAACCCTTGGATGGTGTGATGGGATTTGGATTGGGATGGGATTGGGATGGGATTGGAGAACCTTGGATTTTGTGGTGGGAACAGGATGGGATTGAAGCTCCATGGATCCCATCCCAAACCATTCCAGCATTCCCAGATCCATCCCAAGGGATTTTTATGGAACTTGGGGTTGGAAAAAGGAAGAGAGACCCTTCCTGGAGTCCCAAATTCCCAAGGAATTCCCAAAATTCCTTCCTGGAGAAGATCTGGGATGGGGATGGATCCAATTCCAGGCTGCGAGAGCCCCGGGAAACCGGGAAGGAATTTGGGATTGGGAATTCCCAGATGGGTCAGAATTCCCAAAGAATCCCTGGGAACATCCAAGGAACAGTTGGAGCCACCTGGGAGCAGGTTTGGAGTGGGATGGGACGGAAGCTCCACGGATTCCGTCCAAAGAACTCCAGGAACGCGGGAAGCGCTTGGAAAAGTGGGAAGCACTGGGAAAAAAATGGGAATACCGACCTCATCCCGCTTTTTGGAGCCCAGGAAGTGTCGGGCCACGTGCTCGGGCAGCATGTTGGCCACCAGGGCCTCGTTCCAGCGGCGCATCTCGGAGACGCGCTCCTTCTGCTCGTGGACGTCCATCTTCCACAGGAACAGCGTCCGCGCCAGCTTCTCCACCTGGGAACGCGGGAATTCCCGGGATTGGGGGATTTGGGAATGTGGGATGGTGGGATGGTGGGATTATGGGATTATGGGATAATGGAGATGTTCTCCTTCTGCTCGTGGACGTCCATCTTCCACAGGAACAGCGTCCGCACCAGCTTCTCCACCCGGGAATGTGGGAATTCCCGGGATTGGGGATTTGGGGATGGTGGGATAATGGGATGGTGGGATGGTGGGATGGTGGGATTATGGGATTGTGGGATTATGGGATTATGGGATAATGGAGACGCGCTCCTTCTGCTCGTGGACGTCCATCTTCCACAGGAACAGCGTCTGCACCATCTTCTCCACCTGGGAATGTGGGAATTCCCGGGATTGGGGATTTGGGGATTATGGGATAATGGAGACACGCTCCTTCTGGTCGTGGATGTCAATCTTCTGCGGGGATGATGGGATGATGGGATTTCTGGGATGACGGGATTATGGGAATGTGATATTATGGGATGATGGGGTGATGGGGTGATGGGATTATAAAATTATGGGATTATGGGATAATGGGATGATGTGATTATGGGATGATGCAATTTTAGGGATCATGGGATAATGGGATGATGTGATTATGGGATGATGCAATTTATGGGATGATGGGGTGATGGGATTATGGGATTATAAAATTATGGGATTATGGGATAATGGGATGATGGGATTAATGGATGATGCAATTTATGCGATTATGGGGTGATGGGATAATGGGATAATGGGATAATGGGATAATGGGATAATGGGATAATGGGATAATGGGATAGTGGGATAATGGGATAATGGGATAATGGGATAATGGGATAATGGGATAATGGGATAATGGGATAGTGGGATAATGGGATAATGGGATAATGGGATAATGGGATAATGGGATAATGGGATAATGAGATGATGGGATTATGGGATAATGGGATAATGGGATAATGGGATTACGGGATCATGGGATAATGGGATAATAGGATAATAGGATAATGGGATTATGGATGATGGGATAATGGGATGATGGGGAGATGGGATAATGGGATTATGGGATGATGGGATGATGGGATAATGGGATAATGGGATAATGGGATAATGGGATAATGGGATAAAGGGATGATGGGGAGATGGGATGATGGGATGATGGGATGATGGGATGATGGGATGATGGGATGATGGGATGAAGGGATAATGGGATTATGTATGATGGGATAATGGGATGATGAGGAGATGGGATAATGGGATTATGGGATGATGGGATGATGGGATAGTGGGATAATGGGATTATGGGATAATGGGATAATGGGATAGTGGGATAATGGGATTATGGGATAATGGGATAATGGGATAATGGGATAGTGGGATAATGGGATTATGGGATTATGGGATGATGGGATAATGGGAATATGGGATGATGGGATAATGGGATAGTGGGATAATGGGATAATGGGATAGTGGGATAATGGGATAATGGGATGATGGGGAGATGGGATAATTGGATTATGGGATCATGGGATAATGGGATAATGGGATTGTGGGATGATGGGATAATGGGATGATGGGACGATGGGATGTTGGGATGATGTGATAATGGGATAATGGAATAATGGAATAATGGGATTACAGGATCATGTGATAATGGGATAATGGGATAATTTGATAGTGGGATAATGGGATGATGGGATAATGGGATGATGGGATGATGAGATGATGGGATTATGGGATAATGGGATTAAAGGATTATGGGATGATGGGATGATGGGATGATGGGATTATGGGATTATGGGATGATGGGATGATGGGATAATGGGATAATGGGATAATGGGATAATGGGATAATGGGATTGCGGGATTATGGAATAATGGGATTAAAGGATTATGGGATTATGGGATTATGGGATTATGGGATGATGGGATTATGGGATGATGGTATAATGGGATAATGGGATAATGGGATGATGGGATTATGGGATGATGGTATAATGGGATAATGGGATAATGGGATAATGGGAATATGGGATGATGGGATAATGGGATAATGGGATGATGGGATAATGGGAATATGGGATGATGGGATAATGGGATAATGGGATGATGGGATAATGGGGTCATTCCCAGAATTGGTGTGGGACTGAAACCCTTTGGGAATTTCCTTGGAAAAGCCGTCGGTGCTGTGGATGGGCCCGGGATAAATCCCAGTGCCCTGGAGATTCTGGGAATCTGGGAAGGGATTTAGGGAATATGGGAAGGAAAGGGCGGGAAAAGGGAAGGAAAAGGGGAAAAGGGGAAAAGGGGAAAAGGGGAAAAGGGGAAAAGGGGAAAAGGGGAAAAGGGGAAAAGGGGAAAAGGGGAAAAGGGGAAAAGGGAAGGGAAGGGAAGGGAAGGGAAGGGAAGGGAAGGGAAGGGAAGGGAAGGGAAGGGAAGGGAAGGGAAGGGAAGGGAAGGGAAGGGAAGGGAAGGGAAGGGAAGGGAAGGAAATTGAGGAAGAAGAAGGAAAAGGGTGGGAAAGAAAAAGTAAGAGGAGGAAAAGAAAAAGGACAGGAAAAGGAAGGAGAAGGAAGGAAAGGAGAAGAAAGGGTGGGAAAAGGCAGGAAGAGGAAGGAAAAATAAGGAAAAATGAAGCAAAAAGCAAGGAAGGGCAGGAAAAGGAAGGAGAAGGAAGGAAAAGGGAAGAAAGGGTGGGAAAAGGAAGGAAAAGGGAGGGAATGGGAAGAAAGAGCAGGAAAATGAGGAAGAAGAAGGAAAAGGGAAGGAAGGAGAGGTAAGGAAAGGGAAGGAAGGAAAGGAAAAGGAAGGAAAGGAAAAGGAAGAAAAGGGAAGGAAGGAAAGGAAAAGGAAGGAAAAGGGAAGAAAGGGCAGGAAAAAGAAGAAAAAATGGAAGGAAAATGAAAGGAAAGAATGGAAAAGGAAGGAGAAGAAAAGGAAGGAAAGGAAAAGGAAGGAAAAAAAGAAGGAAAAGGGAAGGAAGGAAAGGAAAAGGAAGGAAAGGAAACAGAAGGAAAAAAGAAGAAAAGAAAAGGGAAGGAAGGAAAGGAAAAGGAAGGAGAAGAAAAGGAAGGGAAGGAAAAGGGAAGGAAGGAAGGAAAGGAAAAAGAAAATGAAGGAGAAGGGAAGGAAGGAAGGGAAAAGGAAGAAGAAAAGGAAGGAAAGGAAAAGAAGGAAAAGAAAGGAAAGGAAAAGGAAGGAAAAACAGAAGGAAAAGGGAAGAAAGGGCAGGAAAAGGAAGGCGAATAAAAGGAAAGAAAACAGGAAGGAAGGAAAAGGAAAGGAAAAGGAAGAAGAAAAGAAAGGAAAGGAAATGGAAGGAAAAAAGAAGGAAGGAAAAGGGAAGGAAGGAAAGGAAAAGGAAGAAGAAAAGGACAGAGAAGGGAAGGAAGGGAAGGAAAAGGAAGGAGCCCTTCCCCCCCGTCACTCACGTGCCGCGAGAAGTAGTAGAAGCTGAGCATCACCACGAAGATCATGGCGGTCATGGAGTACTTGGAGGGCACCAGCACCGACCTGCCAAGGGATCAGCTGAGGCCGGAATTCCGGATGGTCCCCAAGGGATTGTCCAGAGGCCGGAATTCCGGATGGTCCCCCAGAGGCCGGAATTCCGGATGGTCCCCGAGGGATCAGCCAGAGGCCGGAATTCCGGATGGTCCCCGAGGGATAACCCGGGGCCGGAATTCCGGATGGTCCCCGAGGGATCAGCCAAGGCCGGAATTCCAGATTGTCCCCCAAAGGCCGGAATTCCAGATGGTCCTCTGAGGGATCAGCCAGGGGCTGGAATTCCGGATGCTCCCCGAGGGATCAGTCAGAGGCCGGAATTCCGGATGGTCCCCCAGAGGCCAAAATTCCAGATTGTCCCCGAGGGATCAGCTGAGGCCGGAATTCCGGATGGTCCCCGAGGGATCAGCCGAGGCCGGAATTCCGGATGGTCCCCGAGGGATCATCCAGACTCCGGAATTCTGGACAATCCCTCAAGGGATCAGCCAAGGCCGGAATTCCGGATGGTTCCCCAAAGGCCGGAATTCCGGATGGTCCCCGAGGGATTGTCCAGAGGCCAGAATTCCGGACGGTCCCTGAGGGATCAGCCGAGGCCGGAATTCCGGATGGTCCCGAGGGATCAGCCGAGGCCGGAATTCCGGATGGTTCCCCAAAGGCCGGAATTCCGGATGGTCCCCGAGGGATCAGCCAGAGGCCGGAATTCTGGACAATCCCCAAGGGATCATCCAGAGGCCGGAATTCCGGATGGTCCCCGAGGGATCAGCCAAAGCCGGAATTCCGGATGGTCCCCGAGGGATCAGCCAAAGCCGGAATTCCGGATGGTCCCCGAGGGATAAACGAGAGGCCGGAATTCCGGATGCTCCCCAAGGGATCGTCCAGAGGCCAGAATTCTTGATGGTCCCCCAAAGGCCGGAATTCCGGATGGTCCCCGAGGGATCAGCTGAGGCCGGAATTCCGGATGGTCCCACAAAGGCCGGAATTCCAGATGGTGCTCCAAGGAATCATACAAAGGCCGGAATTCTGTCCCTGTCCCCATCCCCATCTCCATCTCCATCTCCATCCCCATCTCCATCTCCATCTCCATCTCCATCTCCATCTCCATCCCCATCTCCATCTCCATCTCCATCTCCATCTCCATCTCCATCTCCATCCCCATCTCCATCTCCATCCCCATCTCCATCTCCATCTCCATCCCCATCTCCATCTCCATCTCCATCTCCATCTCCATCCCCATCTCCATCCCCATCTCCATCCCCATCTCCATCTCCATCTCCATCTCCATCTCCATCTCCATCCCCATCCCCATCTCCATCTCCATCCCCATGCCCATCTCCATCTCCATCTCCATCTCCATCCTCATCTCCATCTCCATCCCCATCTCCATCTCCATCCCATCCCCATCTCCATCCCCATCTCCATCCCATCCCCATCCCCATCTCCATCCCATCTCCATCCCCATCCCCATCTCCATCTCCATCTCCATCTCCATCCCCATCTCCATCCCCATCTCCATCTCCATCTCCATCTCCATCTCCATCTCCATCTCCATCCCCATCTCCATCTCCATCCCATCTCCATCCCCATCCCCATCCCCATCTCCATCTCCATCCCCATCTCCATCCCCATCTCCATCTCCATCCCCATCTCCATCCCATCTCCATCCCCATCTCCATCCCATCTCCATCTCCATCTCCATCTCCATCTCCATCCCCATCTCCATCTCCATCTCCATCTCCATCTCCATCTCCATCCCCATCCCCATCTCCATCCCCATCTCCATCCCCATCCCCATCTCCATCCCCATCTCCATCCCCATCCCCATCTCCATCTCCATCTCCATCTCCATCTCCATCTCCATCTCCATCTCCATCTCCATCTCCATCTCCATCTCCATCTCCATCTCCATCTCCATCCCCATCTCCATCTCCATCCCCATCTCCATCTCCATCTCCATCTCCATCTCCATCTCCATCTCCATCCCCGTCCCCGTCCCCATTAACCCCTTACGCGCCGTGCTGGCCACGCCGCCGGTCGTAGCGGTCGAAGATGGGCTCCCATGCGGAGAAGTTGACGGCGCCGGTGGCGGCGGTGATGAGCACCATGAGGCTCAGCTTGACCATGTGGCTGACCTGGACCAGCATCACGGTGGCCACCAGGGCCAGCAGGGCGATGTAGCTGAAGTACTTGGGGTGCTCCACGCAGCCCCCGCCCCGCGCCGGCCCCCAGGTCCCGTTGGTGGCCACCCAGCGGTGGCGGCGGCAGCCGAGCTGGGGACACCAGGGTGGGGTCAGCACGGGGACAAGGTGGCCACCATGGCCACCAGGGAGATGGAGCTGCAACATCTGCGCTGCTCCTCACAACCACCAGCCCATGGTGGCCTCCATGTCCCATTGGCCACCAGCCCATGGTGGCCTCCATGTCCCATTGGCCACCAGCCCATGGTGGCCTCCATGTCCCATTGACCACCAGCCCATGGTGGCCTCCATGTCCCTTTGGTCACCTGCCCATGGTGGCCTCCATGTCCCACTGGCCACAAGCCCATGGTGGCCTCCATGTCCCATTGGCCACCAGCCCATGGTGGTCTTCATGTCCCATTGGCCACCAGCCCATGGTGGCCTCCATGTCCCATTGGCCACCAGCCCATGGTGGCCCCCATGTCCCATTGGCCACCACCTTGTGGTCCCCATGGTAGCCCAGTTGGGGACACGGGGACATGGCAGTGGACACCATGGTGGCCCCCACGTCCCGTTGGTGGCCACCCAGCGGTGGCGGCGGCAGCCGAGCTGGGGACACGAGGGTGGGGTCAGCACGGGGACAAGGTGGCCACAGTGGCCACCAGGGTGGGGTGGCTGCAGCGGTTTGGCTGTTCCTGGCACCAGCCCATGGTGGCCTCCATGTCCCACTAGCCACCTGCCCATGGTGAACTCCATGTCCCATTGGTCACCAGCCCATGGTGGCCTCCATGTCCCACTGGCCACAACCTTGTGGTCCCCATGACAGCCCAGCTGGGGACATGGTGGCCACCATGGCCACCAGGGAGATGGAGCTGCAACATCTGTGCTGCTCCTCACAGCCACCAGCCCATGGTGGCCTCCATGTCCCATTGGCCACCTGCCCATGGTGGCCTCCATGTCCCACTGGCCACCAGCCCATGGTGGCCTCCATGTCCCATTGGCCACCAGCCCAAGGTGGCCCCGAGGTCCCATTGGTGGCCACCCCCTTGTAGTCCCCATGACAGCCCAGTTGGGGACATGGGGACACGGTGGTGGACACCATGGTGGCCCCGAGGTCCTGTTGGTGGCCACCCAGCGGTGGCGGCGGCAGCCGAGCTGGGGACACCAGGGTGGGGTCAGCATGGGGACAATGTGGTCACCATGGCCACCAGGGAGATGGAGCTGCAACATCTGTGCTGCTCCTCACAGCCACCAGCCCATGGTGGCCTCCATGTCCCACTGGCCACCAGCCCATGGTGGCCTCCATGTCCCACTGGCCACAACCTTGTGGTCCCCATGACAGCCCAGCTGGGGACATGGTGGCCACCATGGCCACCAGGGAGATGGAGCTGCAACATCTGTGCTGCTCCTCACAGCCACCAGCCCATGGTGGCCTCCATGTCCCACTGGCCACCAGCCCATGGTGGCCCCGAGGTCCCATTGACCACCAGCCCATGGTGGTCTCCATGTCCCATTGGCCACCAGTGTCCCATTGGCCACCAGCCCATAGTGACCTCCATGTCCCACTGGCCACCAGCCCATGGTGGCCTCAAGGTCCCGTTGGTGGCCACCACCTTGTGATCCCCATGACAGCCCAGCTGGGGACATGGGGACATGGTGGTGGCCACCATGGCCACCAGGGAGATGGATCTGCAACATCTGTGCTGCTCCTCACAGCCACCAGCCCATGGTGGCCTCAATGTCCTGTTGGTGGCCACCACCTTGTGGTCCCCATGGCAGCCCAGCTGGGGACATTGGGACATGGTGGTGGCCACCATGGCCACCTGGGTGAGGTAATTCCAGCATTTTGGCTTCTCCTCACAGCCACCAGCCCATGGTGACCCCAAGGTCCCGTTGGTGGCCACCACCTTGTGGTCCCCATGGCAGCCCAGCTGGGGACACGGGGACATGGTGGTGGACACCATGGCCACCAGAGTGATGGATCTGCAACATCTGTGCTGCTCCTCACCGCCACCACCCCGAGGTGTCCCCATTGTCCCATCCGGACCTCACCATGTCCACGATGTCGGCCGCGGTGACGATGGCGATGGCCGCCATGGCCCAGCTGTTGCGCGCCCATCGCGTCCGGTCGATCCATGTGGAGAAGGCCACCAACTTTTTGGGGAAAGCCTGCGGTGACACCCACCGTACGGGGACGGTCACCGGGGAGGTGACACCCGATGTCACCACCGCGTCCCCGAGCCACACCCACTGTCTCACCCGCGGGAAGATGGCGGCCAAGGAGCAGAGCGTGAGTCCCACCAGCAAAGCCTCTCCCACCACGAAGGTCACGTAGTTGGTCACCAACCTGCCGGTGGTGTCACAGGAAGGTCGGCGACGCCGATCCCACCCAACCGCGTGGCCAACGCGGCCAACGCGGCACCACCCGACCTACCGGGGGTCGATGGTGGCCTCCACCATGGTGGTGAAGAAGAGGACAACGCAGGAGCAGCCGAAGGCGGCGCCGCTCTGCTTCTCCTTCTCCACCGAGTAGCGCGTCTCCATCTCGGGGTCGGTGAAGCGCAGCGAGAGCCGGAAGGTGGCCGCGCCCTTCAGCCTGGAGAACGTGGCACGTGGGGACAATGCCACCACTGCTGGGATGGCCGAGGGGACGTTGGGGACACTCACGCCTGGATGGACTCGCGCTCCAGGAGGGCCTCGTTGAGGAGCCGGTGGAGCTCCTGCTCGTTCTGCGCCGCGCCCGCCACGCGCTCGGCCAGGTCCCGCAGCCGCAGCCGGCGCCGCGGGTTGGGGAAGGACGGGTTGGGCGCCTGTGGGGACGGGGACGCCGTGGGGACACCGTGGGGACAGCACGGTGGGGACAACGCCATGGGGACACCATGGTGGGGACACCACCATGGGGATGTTGGTGGTACCTCGTCGGCGTCGGTGTCCGGGTCGGGGTCGGTGTCCTCAGGCGGCTCCGGGCTGAGGCTCCCGTTGGGCTCCGGCGCGGCCACCGCAGGGGGGGACACCGAGTGGGACGAGGTCAGGGACAGCTTCTGCGGGGACGTGGGGGGTGTCATCGGTGTCACCTGTGTCACCAGTGTCATTGGTGTCACCGGTGTCACTGGTGTCACCCATCACACCATGGACGAGGTCAGGGACAGTTTCTGCGGGGGACAGCGGCGTGGTGGGTGTCACCGGTGTCATCCGTATCACCAGTGTCACCCCTGTCACCAGTACCATCGGTGTCACCCATCACACCATGGATGAGGTCAGGGACAGGGACATGGTGAGTTTCACCAGTGCCACCGGTGTCACCAGTGTCCCCAATGTCCCCAGCGTCACCAGTGTCACCGGTGTCACCAGTGTCACCAGTGTCACCGGTGTCACCAGTGTCACCAGTGTCACCGGTGCTACCAGTGTCACCAATGTCACCAGTGTCACCGGTGTCACCAGTGTCACCAGTGTCACCCATCACATCATGGATGAGGTCAGGGACAGGGACATGATGGGTGTCACTGGTGTCACCAGTGTCATCAGTGTCACCCATCACACCATGGATGAGGTCAGGGACAGCTTCTGTGGGGCACAGGGGCGTGGTGGGTGTCACCGGTGTCACCAGTGTCATCAGTGTCACCCATGTCACCAGTGACACCAGTGTCACCCATCACATCATGGACGAGGTCAGGGACAGTTTCTGCAGGGGACAGGGACATGGTGGGTGTCACCGGTGTCACCAGTGTCACCCATGTCACTGGTGTCACCCATCACACCATGGACGAGGTCAGGGACAGCTTCTGCGGGGGGACAGGGGCGTGGTGGGTGTCATCGGTGTCATCGGTGTCACCGGTATCACCAATGTCACCAATGTCACCGGTGTCACCAGTGTCACCGATCACACCACAGATGAGGTAAGGGACAGGGACATGGTGGGTGTCACCAGTGTCCCCAGTGTCACCAGTGTCACCAGTGTCACCAGTGTCCCCAGTGTCACCAGTGTCACCCATCACACCATGGATGAGGTCAGGGACAGGGACATGGTGGGTGTCACCAGTGTCCCCAGTGTCACTGGTGTCCCTAATGTCACCGGTGTCACCAGTGTCACCGATCACACCATGAGACAAGGTCAGGGACAGCTTCTGTGAGGGACAGGGGCGTGGTGGGTGTCACCGGTGTCACTGGTGTCACCCATGTCACCCATCGCATCATGGATGAGGTCAGGGACAGCTTCTGCGGGGGACAGGGGTGTGGTGGGTGTCACCAATGTCACCAGTGTCACCGGTGTCACCAGTGTCACCAGTGTCATCCATTGCACCATGGTTGAGGTCAGGGACAGCTTCTGCGGGGGACAGGGGTGTGGTGGGTGTCACCGGTGTCACCAGTGTCACCTGTGCCACCGGTGTCACCCATCACACCATGGATGAGGTCAGGGACAGGGACATGATGGGTGTCACCAGTGCCACCAGTGTCACCGGTGTCATCAGTGTCACCGATCACACCACAGATGAGGTCAGGGACAGGGACGTGGTGGGTGTCCCTGTGTCCCCAATGTCACCGGTGCCACCAGTGTCCCCAGTGTGTCCCCAATGTCCCCACACCCATGTCCCCAATGTCCCCACCAGTGTCCCCAGCACATCCCCACCAGTGTCCCCACCAGTGTCCCCAAATGTCATGTCCCCAGTGTCCCCAGACCCAGTGTCCCCAGCATCCCCACCAGTGTCCCCCCCACCGTCCCCACGACGTCCCCATGCCGACACCCACCAGGCCGTTGACGCCGCGCCGCGGGCCGGCCTTGGGGACCACCACCAGGTAGGTGACAATGCCCTTGTCCCTCAGGTAGTCACAGCGGGAGCCGCCCTCGCCCGGCTCCACCTCGAACTCGCCCTTCAGGCAGTCCACGGTGCTCTGCGAGACGTGCACGCGCCTGCCGCGCCCGCGATGTCACCGCGACGTCCCCGCGGCGCCACCGGCACGGGGATGGGGACGTCGGGGATGGCGCCTCACCCGGGGATGCCGCCCGCCTCCATCTTGTTGGCCACGGTGACGTCGGTGGACCAGACGTCGTACTGCCACCGCTTCTGGCCCAGCACGCCGCCCAGCACCGCGCCGCTGTGCACGCCCACGCGCATGTCCACCGCCGTGCGCGTCCGCTCCCGCACCGAGCTGCCCACCGCAACGCCAGGGGTGGGCATGGGGGACAGGGGTGGTCATGGGGACCAGGAGTGGTTATGGGGACCAGGAGTGGTTATGGGGACTGGGAATGGCCACTGGGAATGGGCACCAGGAGTGGCCATGGGGACCAGGAGTGGTCATGGGGACTGGGAATGGCCACCGCCGTGCGCGTCCGCTCCCGCACCGAGCTGCCCACCGCAAGGCCAGGGGTGGGCACGGGGGACAGGAGTGGCCATGGGGACCAGGAGTGGCCATGGGGACCAAGAGTGGCCATGGGGACCAGGAGTGGTCACAGGCACCAAGAACAGGCACCGGGATGGGCATTGGGGGTGGCCATGGGGACCAGGAGTGGTCATGGGCACCAGGAGTGGTCACGGGGACTGGGAACGGGCACTGGAGGTGGCCACAGGCACCAGGAGTGGTCATGGGCACCAGGAGTGGTCATGGAAACCAGGAGTGGTCATGGGGACTGGGAATGGCCACAAGGAACTGGGAATGGCCACAGGCAACCGGGAACAGGGTCTGGGGGTGGCCACGGGGACCAGGAGTGGTCATGGGGACCAGGAGTGACCACAAGGAACTGGGAATGGCCACAGGGACTGGGGATGGGCACTGGGAGTGGTCAAGGGGACCAGGAGTGGCCATGGGGACAGGGAGGGGTCATGGGGACCGGGAGTGGTCACAGGGACTGGGAATGGCCACTGGGAATGGCCACCGCCGTGCGCGTCCGCTCCCGCACCGAGCTGCCCACCGCAACGCCAAGGGGTGGGCACGGGGGACAGGGGTGGTCATGGGCACCAGGAGTGGTCATGGGGACCAGGAGTGGTCATGGGGACCAGGAGTGGCCACTGGGAGTGGCCACTGGGAATGGCCACCGCCGTGCGCGTCCGCTCCCACACCGAGCTGCCCACCGCAAGGCCAGGTGGCCGTGGGGACCGGGGATGGGCACCGGGGGTGGTCATGGGGACAGGGAGTGGCCACAGGGAACGGGAACGGGCACTGGGAGTGGCCATGGGCACCAGTAGTGGTCATGGAGACCAGGAATGGTCATCGGGGGTGGCCACAGGGACTGGGAATGGGCACCAGGAGTGGTCATGGGCACCAGGAGTGGTCATGGGCACCAGGAGTGGCCATGGGGACAGGAGTGGCCATGGGGACCAGGAGTGGTCACAGGGACCGGGAATGGGCACTGGGGGTGGTCACGGGCACCAGGAGTGGTCATGGGGACCAGGAGTGGCCACAGGGACCGGGGACGGGCACCGGGAGTGGCCATGGGAACAGGGAGTGGCCACGAGGAACTGGGAATGGCCACAGGGACCGGGAATGGGCACCCAGAGTGGCCACAGGGACCGGGAACAGGGTCCGGGAGTGGTCATGGGGACCAGGAGGGGCCATGGGGACTGGGAATGGCCACTGGGAATGGCCACTGGGAACGGCCACCGCCGTGCGCGTCCGCTCCCGCACCGAGCTGCCCACCGCAAGGCCACGGGGTGGGCACGGGGGACAGGGACGGTCACCGGGGGTGGCCGTGGGGACCAGGAGTGTCATGGGTTATGGGAACAAGCACTGGAAGTGGCCACAGGGACTGGGAAGGGGCACCAGGAGTGGTCATGGGGACAGGGAGTGGTCATGGGGAACGGGAACAGGCACCAGAAGTGGCCACGGGGACTGGGGACCAAGAGTGGCCACAGGGACCGGGAACAGGATCTGGGCGTGGCCATGGGGACCAGGAATGGTCACAGGCACCAGGAGTGGCCATGGGCACCAGGAACGGGCACTGGGGGTGGTCACAGGCACGACGAGTGGTCACGGGCACCAGGAGTGGCCACAGGCACCGGGAGTGGCCACGGGCACTGGGAATGGGCACTGGGAGTGGTCTCGGGGACAGGGAGTGGCCATGGGGACTGAGAATGAGCACTGGGGGTGGCCATGGCCACCAGGAGTCGGCATGGGGACCAAGAGTGGCCACAGGGACTGGGAACAGGCACTGGAGGTGGCCACAGGCACCAGGAGTGGTCACGGGGACCAGGAGAGGTCATGGGGACCAAGAGTGGCCATGGGGACCGGGAATGGCCACGGGGACCGGGAATGGGCACCAGGAGTGGCCATGGGGACCAGGAGTGGCCATGGGGACCAGGAGTGGTCATGGGGACCAGGAGTGGATATGGGGACCGGGAATGGGCACCAGGAGTGGCCATGGGGACTGGGACCAAGAGTGGCCATGGGGACCAAGAGTGGTCACAGGGACCAGGAGTGGTCATGGGGACAGGGACCGGTCATGGGGACCAAGAGTGGTCATGGGGACAGGGAGTGGCCACGAGGAACTGGGCATGGCCATGGGGACCAGGAATGGGCACCGGGAGTGGTCATGGGGACCAGGAGTGGCCATGGGGACCAGGAGTGGCCATGGAGACCAGGAGTGGCCATGGGGACCAGGAGTGGTCACAAGGAACTGGGAATGGCCACAGGCGACAGGGAATGGGCACCGGGGGTGGCCATGTGGACCGGGAGTGGTCATGGGGACTGGGAATGGCCACTGCCGTGCGCGTCCGCTCCCGCACCGAGCTGCCCACCGCAAGGCGCAGGGTGGGCACAGGGACCAGGAGTGGCCATGGGGACCGGGAGTGGCCATGGGGACCAGGAGTGGTCACGGGGACCAGGAGTGGCCATGGGGACAGGGAGTGGTCATGGGGACTGGGAATGGGCACAGGGACTGGGAACGGGCACTGGGGGTGGCCATAGGGACAGGGAGTGGCCATGGGGCCTGGGAATGGCCATGGGGACCAGGACTGGTCACGGGGACTGGGGACCAAGAGTGGCCACAGGGACTGGGAACGGGCACTGGAGGTGGCCACGGGGACCAGGAGTGGCCATGGGGAACAGGAGTGGTCATGGGGAGTGGGAATGGGCACCGAGAGTGGTCACGGCGACTGAGGAACAAGAGTGGCCACAGGGACCGGGAACGGGGTCCAGGGGTGGCCACGGGGACCAGGAATGGGCACTGGGGGTGGTCACAGGGACCAGGAGTGGCCATGGGGACCAGGAATGGCCATGGGCACTGGGAATGGCCACCGCCGTGCGCGTCCGCTCCCGCACCGAGCTGCCCACCGCAACGCCAAGGGGTGGGCACGGGGGACAGGGGATGGGCACCGGGGGTGGCCATGGGGACCGGGAGTGGCCACAGGGACTGGGAACGGGCACTGGGGGTGGCCACAGGACCAGGAGTGGTTATGGGGACCAGGAGTGGTCACGGGGATCAGGAGTGGTCATGGGGACTGGGAGCGGTCATGGGGACCAGAAGTGGTCATGGGGACCGGGAGTGGTCACGGGCACCGGGAGTGGCCATGGGGACCAGGAGTGGTCATGGGGACCAAGAGTGGCCATGGGGACCAGGAGTGGTCATGGGGACTGGGAATGGCCACGGGCACTGGGAATGGCCACAGGGGACTAGAAATGGACACCAGGAGTGGTCAAGGGGACCAGGAGTGGCCATGGGGACAGGGAATGGGCACCGGGAGTGGTCAAGGGGACCAGGAGTGGTCATGGGGAACAGGAGTGGTCACAGGGACTGGCAACGGGCACCAGGAGTGGTCACGGGGACTGGGATCAAGAGTGGGCATGGGTACCAGGAGTGGCCATGGGGACCAGGAGTGGCCACGAGCACCGGGAGTGGCCACAGGCACCGGGAATTGGCACCGGGAATGGTCACGGGGACTGAGGAACAAGAGTGGCCACAGGGACCAGGAATGGGCACCAGGAGTGGCCATGGGGACCAGGAGTGGCCATGGGGACCAAGAGTGGCCACAGGGACCAGGGACGGGCACCAGGGGTGGCCACGGGGACAGGGAGTGGCCATGGGGACAAGGAGTGGTCATGGGGACAAGGAGTGGCCATGGGCACCGGGAGTGGTCATGGGGACCAGGAGTGGTCACGGGGACTGGGAATGGTCATTGGGAATGGGAATGGCCACAGGGAATGTCAGCACGGAACGCGGAGTGTCCGCGGGGAACGCAGAAAATCCGCAGGGAATGCGGCCTCAGCCCAGCCCGGCCTCCAGTGTCAGCAGCCACACCCCATTCCCATTCCCATTCCCATCCCATTCCCATTCCCATTCCCATCCCATTCCCATTCCCATTCCCATTCCCATTCCCGTTCCCGTTCCCGTTCCCATTCCCATTCCCATTCCCGTTCCCGTTCCCGTTCCCATTCCCATTCCCATTCCCATTCCCATCCCCATTCCTAATCCCATTCCCAATCCCATTCCCAAGTCCCATTTCCATGTCCTATTCCCATTCCCATTCCCATTCCCATCCCATTCCCATTCCCATTCCCATTCCCATTCCCATTCCCATTCCCATCCCATTCCCATTCCCATCCCCATTCCCATTCCCATTCCCATCCCCATTCTCATCCCCATTCCTATTCCCATTCCCATTCCCATTCCCATTCCCATTCCCAATTCCCATTCCCATCCCCATTCTTCTTCCCAAGTCCCATTTCCATGTCCCATTCCCAATCCCAATTCCCGTTCCCAATCCCAATTCCTGTTCCCAATCCCAATTCCCGTTCCCAATCTCAATTCCCGTCCCTGTTCCAAATCCCACTTCCCGTTCTCGTCTCTGTTCCCATTGCCATCCCAATTCTCCAATTCTCGTTCCCATTCCCACCCAATTCCCAACCCCAACCCCTTCCCATTCCCAATTCCCAATCCCAATCCCCATCCCCATTCCCATTCCCGTTACTGTCCTCATTCCCAGTTCCCAATTTCCATCCCATCCCCATTCCCGTTCCCATTCCCAATTCCCAATCCCAATTCCCATCCCCCATCACCAATTCCCAATCCGCAATTCCCAATCCCAGTTCCCCATCCCCATCCCCATTCCCAATTCCCAATTCCCAATCCCGATTCCCAATTTCCAATCCCAATTCCCAACTCCAATCCCCAACCCCAATCCCAATCCCAAATCCCCATCCCCATTCCCATTCCCAATCCCAATTCCCAATTCGCAATCCCCATCGTCATTCCCAGTTTCCCATCCCCATTCCCATCACCATTCCCAATCCTATCCCCAATTCCCAATCCCAATCCCATCGCCATCTTCATCCCCAATCCCCAATCCCCATTCCCAATTGCCAATCCTAATTCCCATTCCCCTCCCTAATTCCCATTCCCAATCCCAATTCCCGTTCCCAATCCCATTTCCCGTTCCCATCCCCATTCCTCTTCCCAAGTCCCATTTCCATGTCCCATTCCCAATCCCACTTTCCATCCCATCCCCATTCCCATCCCCATTCCCGTTCCCAATTCCCAATCCCCAATCCCAATCCCCCATCCCCAATCCCAATCCCCCATCCCCAATCCCAATCCCCAATCCCCAATTCCCATTCCCAATCCCCATCCCCAATTCCCAATCCCAATTCCCATCCCCAATTCCCATTCCCATCCCCGTTCCTATCCCCAATCCCAATCCCCATCCCCAATTCCCATTCCCAATTCCCAATCCGCAATTCCCAATCCCCATCCCCATCCGCATCCCCATTCCCAATTCCCAGTTCCCAATTCCCAATTCCCAATCCCAATCCCAATTCCCAATTTCCAATCCCAATTCCCAACTCCAATCCCCAACCCCAATCCCAATTCCAAATCCCCATCCCCATTCCCAATCCCAATTCCCAATTCGCAATCCCCATCGCCATTCCCAGTTTTCCATCGCCATTCCCAATCCCCATTCCCATCACCATTCCCAATCCTATCCCCAATTCCCAATCCCAATCCCATCGCCATCTTCATCCCCAGTCCCCAATTCCCATTCCCAATCCCCATCCCCGTTCCCAGTTCCCAATTCCCGTCTCCAATTCCAATCCCCAATCCCATCCCCATCCCCAATTCCCAATCTCAATCCGCATCCCCAATCCCAATTCCCAATTCTCAATTCCCAATCTCCATCCCCAATCCCAATCCCAATTCCCATTGCCAATCCGCATCCCCAATTCAAATTCCCATTCCAAATTCCCAGTTCCCAGTTCCCAATTCCCAGTTCCCAGTTCCCAGTTCCCAATTCCCAGTTCCCAGTTCCCAGTTCCCAATTCCCAGTTCCCAGTTCCCAATTCCCAATCCCAATTCCCAATCCCCAATTCAAATTCCCATTCCAAATTCCCAATTCCCAATCCCAATTCCCAATCCCAACCCCAATCCCAATTCCGATCCTGACCCCAATCCCAATCCTCATCCCCACCCCCATCCCTATTCCAAATCCCATCCCCAACCCCATCCCCACCCCCACCACCAACCCCCAACCCAAATCCCAAATCCCAATCCCGATCCCGATCCCCGATCCCGATGCCGATCCCTTACGCGATGGCCTCCACCATGTCCAGCCCCATGCGGATGGCGCACGCCGCGTGGTCCTCCCGGAAGTCCCAAATCCCAATTCCCATCCTCAATCCCCAGTTCCCAGTTCCCAATTCCCAATCCCCATCCCCAATTCCCAATTCCCAGTTCCCAATTCCCAATTCCCAGTTCCCAGTTCCCAATTCCCAATCCCCATCCCCAATTCCCAATTCCCCATCCCCGATCCCAATCCTAATTCCCAATTCCCATCCCCGATCCCATTCCCTACCCAATCCCAATCCCAATTCCAACCCCATTCCCCATCCTCATCCCCATCCCAATCCCAATCCCAATTCCAATCCCCATCCCAATCCTCATCCCCATCCCAATCCCCAATCCCCAATCCCAATCCCAATTCCAATCCCATCCCCAATTCCCAATCCCCAATCCCCAATCCCCATCCCCAATCTCAATCCCAATTACCAATCCCATCCCAAATTCCCAATCCCAATACAAATCCCAATCCCAATCCCCATTCCCATTCCCAATCCCAGTTCCCACTTCCCAGTTCCCAATTCCCAATTCCCAATTCCCAATTCCCAACTACCAGTTCCCAATTCCCAATTCCCAGTTCCCAATTCCCAATTCCCAGTTCCCAATTCCCAATCCCGATCCCCAATCCCGATCCCGATCCCGATCCCGATCCCGATCCTTACGCGATGGCCTCCACCATGTCCAGCCCCATGCGGATGGCGCACGCCGCGTGGTCCTCCCGGAATTCCCAAATCCCAATCCCCAATTCCCAATCCCGACCCCAATCCCAATCCCGATCCCAATCCCAATTCCCATCCCCAATCCCAATCCCAATCCCAATTCCCAATCCCCCATTCCCATTCTCATCCCCCTTCCCATTCCCAATTCCCAGTTCCCAATTCCCATTCCCCATCCCCAATTCCCAATCCCAATCCCTAATCCCATTCCAATCCCAATCCAAATCCAAATCCCAAGACCAACCCCAATTCCCAGTTCCCAATTCCCAATTCCCAATCCCAAATTCCCGATCCCGATCCCGATCCTTACGCGATGGCCTCCACCATGTCCAGCCCCATGCGGATGGCGCACGCCGCGTGATCCTCCCGGAATTCCGGCAGCCCGCAGATGCAGTAGTAACAATCCCCCAGGATCTTGATCCGCAGCTGGTGATGCTTCTGGCAATTCCCAAAAAAAACCTGGGAATTTCCTACTCCCGAACCCATTTCCCACCCCTCGGAGTGTCCGGGGAAAGGCCGGAAAAGTTTGGGATTATGGGATTGGAATGGGGTGGGATTGGAGATCCGTGGATCCCATCCCAAACCATTCCAGGATTCTGGGATCAAAAACTCTCAGGATCCATCCCAGGGGATTTTTATGGAATTTTGGGATGGAAAAGGGAAGGAAATTGTGGGGAAAATTTGGGAATTCCAGGAAAAATTGGGTGTGGCGTGGAGTTGAGGCGTTGATTCGTCACTGGGAGTATCCAAGGAAAAGTTGGAGCAGTTGGGATCGGAAAATCCACGGATCCCATCCCAAACTATTCCGGGATTCTGGGATCCAGGACGCTCAGGATCCATCCCGAGGGATTTTTATGGAATTTGGGGGTGGAAAAGAGAAGGAAATTGTGGGAAAAATTTGGGAATTCCTGGAAAAAATGGGTGTGGTGCGGAGTTGAGTGTTCAAGGAAAAGTTGGAGCAGTTTGGGATTGGAAAATCCATGGATCCCATCCCAAACCATTCCGGGATTCTGGGATCGAGGATGCTCAGGATCCATCCCGAGGGAATTTTATGGAATTTTGGGATGGAAAAGGGAAGGAAATTGTGGGGAAAATTTGGGAATTCCGGGAAAAATCGGGTGTGATGAGGAGTTGAGTGTCCAAGGAAAAGTTGGAGCAGTTTGGGATTGGAAAATCCACGGATCCCATCCCAAACTATTCCGGGATTCTGGGATCGAGGACGCTCAGGATCCATCCCGAGGGATTTTTATGGAATTTTGGGATGGAAAAGAGAAGGAAATTGTCGGAAAAATTGGGAATTCCAGGAAAAATCGGGTGTGGCGTGGAGTTGAGTGTCCAAGGAAAAGTTGGAGCAGTTTGGGACTGGAAAATCCATGGATCCCATCCCAAACCATTCCGGAATTCTGGGATTGAGGACGTTCAGGATCCATCCCGAGGGATTTTTATGGAATTTTGGGATGAAAAAGGAAAGAAATTCCTGGAAAAATTTGGGAATTCCTGGAAAAATTGGGTGTGGCCTGGAGTTGAGTGTCCAAGGAAAAGTTGGAGTAGTTTGGGATTGGAGATCCATGGATCCCATCCCAAACCATTCCGGGATTCTGGGATCAAAAACGCTCAGGATCCATCCCGAGGGATTTTTATGGAATTTTGGGATGGAAAAGAGAAGGAAATTGTGGGGAAAATTTGGGAATTCCTGGAAAAATTGGGTGTGGCACAGAGTTGAGTGTCCAAGGAAAAGTTGGAGCAGTTTGGGATCGGAAAATCCACGGATCCCATCCCAAACCATTCCGGGATTCTGGGATCAAAAACGCTCAGGATCCATCCCGAGGGAATTTTATGGAATTTTGGGATGGAAAAGGGAAGAAAATAGTGGGAAAAATTTGGGAATTCCAGGAAAAATTGGTTGTGGCATGGAGTTGAGTGTCCAAGGAAAAGTTGGAGCAGTTTGGGATTGGAAAATCCATGGATCCCATCCCAAACCATTCCGGGATTCCGGGATCCAGGACACTCAGGATCCATCCCGAGGGATTTTTATGGAATTTGGGGGTGGAAAAAGGAAGGAAATTGTGGGAAAAATTTGGGAATTCCTGGAAAATTTGGGTGTGGTGCGGAGCTGAGGCGTTGATTCGTCACTGGGAGTGTCCAAGAAAAAATTGGAGCAATTTGGGATTGGAAAATCCATGGATCCCATCCCAAACCATTCCGGGATTCTGGGATCGAGGGTGATCAGGATCCATCCCGAGGGATTTTTATGGAATTTTGGGGATGGAAAAGGGAAGGAAATTCCTGGAAAAATTTGGGCAATTCCGGGAAAATTGAGTGTGGCGCGGAGTTGAGTGTCCAAGGAAAAGTTGGAGCAGTTTGGGATTGGAAAATCCATTAATCCCATCCCAAACCATTCCGGGATTCTGGGATCAAAAACGCTCAGGATCCATCCCGAGGGATTTTTATGGAATTTTGGGGTGGAAAAAGGAAGGAAATTGTGGGAAAATTTGGGAATTCCAGGAAAAGTCGGGTGTGGCGCGGAGTTGAGTGGTTGGTTGATTCCCTGGGAGTATCCATGGAAAAATTGGAGCAGTTTGGGATTGGAAAATCCATGGATCCCACCCCAAACCATTCCAGGATTTTGGGATCCAGGACACTCAGGATCCATCCCGAGAAGTTTTTATGGAATTTTGGGGTGGAAAAAGGAAGGGAATTGTGGGGAAAATTTGGGAATTCCGGGAAAAATCGGGTGTGACGAGGAGTTGAGTGTCCAAGGAAAAGTTGGAGCAGTTTGGGATTGGAAAATCCATGGATCCCATCCCAAACCATTCCGGGATTCCGGGATCGAGGATGTTCAGGATCCATCCCGAGGGGTTTTTATGGAATTTTGGGATGGAAAATAGAAGGAAATTGTGGGAAAAATTTGGGAATTCCTGGAAAAATCGGGTGTGGAGTTGAGTGTCCAAGGAAAACTTGGAGAAGTTTGGGATTGGAAAATCCACAGATCCCATCCCAAACTATTCCGGGATTTCAGGATCGAGGGTGCTCAGTACCCATCCCGAGGGATTTTTATGGAATTTGGGGATGGAAAAGGGAAGGAAACTGTGGGAAAAATTTGGGAATTCCTGGAAAAATTGGGTGTGGCGTGGAGTTGAGTATCCAAGGAAAAGTTGGAACAGTTTGGGATTGGAAAATCCATGGATCCCATCCCAAACCATTCCGGGATTCTGGGATCGAGGACACTCAGGATCCATCCCGAGGGATTTTTATGGAATTTGGGGTGGAAAAAGGAAGGAAATTGTGGGAAAAATTTGGGAATTCCAGGAAAAAATGGGTGTGGTGTGGAGTTGAGTGTCCAAGGAAAAGGTGGGGCAGTTTGGGATTGGAAAATCCACGGATCCCATCCCAAACCATTCTGGGATTCCGGGATCCAGGATGTTCAGGATCCATCCCGAGGGATTTTTATGGAATTTTGGGATGGAAAAAGGAAGGGAATTCCAGGAAAAATTTGGGAATTCTTGAAAAAATCCTGTGTGGCGCAGAGTTGAGGGGTTGATTCATCTTTGTGAGCGCCCGAGGAAAGTTTGGAGAAATCTGGGATGGTGCGGGCAGGAATTGGTGGGTTTTTTGTGAGGGGTTGGGAATTCTGGGAATTCCGGGAATTCCGGGAATTCCGGGAATTCCGGGATGGGCGACTCACGGCGGCGAGTTTGTCGAAGCGGGCGAAGAGCTCGTTGAGGAGCTTGACGAGCTCCTGGGCGCTGCAGGACGACGAGAGCTGCGTGAAGCCCACGATGTCGGCAAACAGGATGCTGCGGAATTCCGGGAATCCCGGGATAAACGCCGGAATTCCGGGTGGCGAACGCGGCCCCGTTCCCAAAAAAATGACAAATCCCGGGATAAATGCGCCCCCGTTCCCAAAAAATGACAAATCCCGGGAAAAATGCGGCCCCATTCCCAAAAAATTACAAATCCCCGGGATAAACGAACTCCCGTTCCCAAAAAATGACAAATCCCGGGATAAACACACCCCCGTTCCCAAAAAATGGCAAATCCCGGGATAAATGCACCCCCGTTCCCAAAAAATGACAAATCCCGGGAAAAATGCGGCCCTGTTCCCAAAAAATGACAAATCCCGGGATAAACACCGGAATGACAGGCAGCAAACGTGTCCCCGTTCCCAAGAAATGACAAATCCCGGGATAAACGCGCCCCCATTCCCAAAACATGACAAATCCCGGGATAAATGCGCCGCCATTCCCAAAAAATGACAAATCCCGGGAAAAACGCCGGAACGAAGGGTGGCCAATGCGGCCCCGTTCCCAAAAAATGACAAATCCCGGGATAAATGCGGCCCCATTCCCAAAAAATGACAAATCCTGGGATAACGCCGGAATGATGGGCGCTGAACGTGCCCCCGTTCCCAAGAAATGACAAATCCCGGGATAAACGCGCCCCCATTCCCCAAAAATGACAAATCCCGGGATAACCGTGGCCCCGTTCCCAAAAAATGACAAATCCTGGGAAAAACGCCGGAATGACAGGCGACCAACGCGGCCCCGTTCCCAAAAAATGACAAATCCCGGGATAAACGCGCCCTCGTTCCCAAAAAATGACAAATCCCGGGATAAACGCGCCCTCGTTCCCAAAAAATGACAAATCCCGGGATAAACGTGTCCCCATTCCCAAAAAATGACAAATCCCGGGATAAACGCGCCCCCATTCCCAAAAAATGACAAATCCCGGGATAAACGCGGCCCCGTTCCCAAAAAATGACAAATCCCGGGATAACGCCGGAATGACGGGCGCCCAACGCGGCCCCGTTCCCAAAAAATGACAAATCCCGGGATAAACGCAGCCCCGTTCCCAAAAAATGACAAATCCCGGGAAAAATGCCGGAATGATGGGCGCCGAATGTGGCCCCGTTCCCAAAAAATGACAAATCCCGGAATAACCGTGGCCCCGTTCCCAAAAAATGACAAATCCCAGAATAACCGTGGCCCCGTTCCCAAAAAATGACAAATCCCGGGATAAACGCAGCCCCGTTCCCAAAAAATGACAAATCCCGGGATAACGCCGGAACGACGGGCGCCCAACGCGGCCCCGTTCCCAAAAAATTACAAATCCCGGGATAAACGCGCCCCCATTCCCAAAAAATGACAAATCCCGGGATAAACGCGGCCCCGTTCCCAAAAAATGACAAATCCCGGGATAAATGCGCCCCCATTCCCAAAAAATGACAAATCCTGGGATAACGCCGGAACGACGGGCGGCCAACGCGGTCCCGACTTCATCATCCCGGATTTAGCGGGAAAAAAAATTTGGGATATGGGAAAAATGGCACTCGACAAACTGGATTCCAACTCCCCATTCCCGTTTTTCCCAAAAAACTCAATCCCAAATTCCTCATTCCCGTTTTTCCTAAAGAAAAAATCCTGGATGCGTTGATAAAAACTCAATCCAAAATTCCTCATTCCCATTTTTCCTAAAAAAAAATTCTGGATTTGTTGATAAAACTCAATCCCAAATTTCTCATTCCGATTTTTCTGGAAAAATTGTCCCGGATGTGTTGATAGAAACTCAATCCGAAATTTCTCATTCCCGTTTCCCCAAAAAAAAATCCCGGATGTGTCAATAAAAACTCAATCCCAAATTTCTCAATCCCGTTTTTCCCAAAAAAAAAAAAAATCCAGGATACGGCAAAAACGACGCCCTTAAAACTGAATCCCGATTTTGGGAATTCCTGACGATTTTCCGGGAATGTTTTGTGTGCAGAACGGGAGAATTTTGGGAATTCCTGACAATTTTCTGGCAACGTTTTTCTGCATGGAATGGGAGCATTTTGGGAATTCCCGATGATTTTTTGGGAACATTTTTCTCTGCGGAACGGGTGAATTTTGGGAATTCCTGACAATTTTCTGGGAATGTTTTTCTGCACGGAACGTGGGAATTTTGGGAATTCCCATGGTTTTTCCAGGAATGTTTTCTTTGCGGAATGGGAGAATTTGGGGAATTCCTGACAATTTTCCAGGAATGTTTTCTGTGCGGAATGGGTAAATTTTGGGAATTCCTGACGATTTTCCGGGAACATTTTCCTGCAGAATGGGCAAATTTTGGGAATTCCCGCCGCTTTTCTGGGAATGTTTTCCGTGTGGAATGGGACAATTTGGGGAATTCCCAGCGGTTTTTCTGGGAATGTTTTTCTGCACAGAACGTGGGAATTTTGGAAATTCCTGACAATTTTCCGGGAACGTTTTTCTGCACGGAACGGGGGAATTTTGGAAATTCCTGACAATTTTCCAGGAACATTTTCCTCCAGAATGGGCAAATTCTGGGAATTCCGACAATTTTCTGGGAACGTTTTTCTGCACGGAACGGGGGAATTTTGGAAATTCCTGAAAATTTTCTGGGAATGTTTTCTGCGCAGAATGGGAGAATTTTGGGAATTCCCGACAATTTTCTGGCAACATTTTTCTGTGTGGAATGGGGAAATTTTGGAAATTCCCACTGATTTTCTGGGAATGTTTTCCATGTGGAATGGGGAAATTATGGGAATTCTCACCGGTTTTCTGGGAACGTTTCCTGCACGGAACGGGGGAATTTTGGGAATTCCTGACAATTTTCCGGGAATGTTTTCTGCACAGAATGTGGGAATTTTGGGAATTCCTGACAATTTTCTGGGAATGTTTTCTTTGCAGAATGAGAGAATTTTGGGAATTCCCACTGATTTTCTGTGAACGTTTTTCTGCACAGAATTGAGTGAATTTTGGGAATTCCCGACAATTTTCTGGAAACATTTTTCTGCATGGAATGAGAGAATTTTGGGAATTCCTGACAATTTTCTGGGAATGTTTTTCTGCACAGAATTGAGTGAATTTTGGGAATTCCTGACAATTTTCTGGGAACATTTTCTGCGCAGAACGGGAGAATTTTGGGGAATTCCCACCGGTTTTTCTGGGAACATTTTTCGGTGTGGAACAGGAGAATTTTGGGAATTCCTGACAACTTCCCGGGAATGTTTCCTGTGCGGAACGGAGAATTTGGGAATTCCTGACTATTTTCTGGGAATGTTTTTCTGCACGGAATGGGGGAATTTGGGGAATTCCCACCGGTTTTTCTGGGAATGGTTTTTTGCAGAACAGGGAAAGTTTGGGAATTCCCACCGGTTTTCTGGGAATGTTTTCTGTGCAGAATGGGAGAATTTTGGGAATTCCCAGCGGTTTCCTGGGAACGTTTTTCTGCAGGGAATGTGGGAATTTTGGGAATTTTGGGAATTTTGGGAATCGCACCTGACGTTCTCGTGGCGGTACATGTACATGGTGGAACATTTTCTGTGCGGAATGGGAGAATTTGGGGAATTCCTGACAATTTTCCGGGAATGTTTTCTGTGCCGAATGGGAGAATTTTGGAAATTCCTGACAATTTTCCGGGAATGTTTTTCTGCACGGAACGTGGGAATTTTGGGAATTCCTGACAATTTTCTGGGAACATTTTCCCACAGAATGGGTAAATTTTGGGAATTCACACCGGTTTTCTGGGAATGTTTTTTGTGCGGAATGGGAGAATTTGGGGAATTCCTGACGATTTTCCGGGAATGTTTTCTTTGCGGAATGGGAGAATTTGGAAATTCCCACAGTTTTTCTGGGAACGTTTTTCTGCAGGGAATGTGGGAATTTTGGGAATTCCGGGAATTTTGGGGATCACACCTGACGTTCTCGTGGTGGTACATGTACACGGTGTAACGTTTTCTGTGCAGAATGGGAGAATTTGGGGAATTCCTGACGATTTTCCGGGAATGTTTTCTGCAGGGAATGTGGGAATTCCAGGAATTTTGGGAATTTTGGGAATGGCACCTGACGTTCTCGTGGCGGTACATGTACATGGTGTTGAACTGCTGCAGCTCCTTCTGGCTCGGGTCCTTCTTCATCTCCTTCAGCATCTCGTCCGCCACGTGCTTGGGCAGGATGGACAGCATCAGCCGCTCCTGACGGGAATTACGGGGGAAAATCGGGAATTACAGGGAAAAACAGGGAGTTATGGGGGGGAATTGGGAATTACGGGGAAAAACAGGGAATTATGGGGGGAAATTGGGAATTATGGGGAAAAATCGGGAATTACAGGGAAAAAGAGGGAATTATAGAAGGGAAATTGGGAATTCCGGGGGAAATTGGGAATTACAGGGAAAAATCGGGAATTATGGAGGGAAATCGGGAATTATGGGAGGGAATCGGGAATTATGGGGGGAAATCGGGAATTACAGGGGGGAAAACGGGAGTTATGGAAGGAAATCAGGAGTTACGGGGGGGAATCGGGAATTACAGGGCGAAATCAGGAATTACTGGAGGAAATTGGGAATTATGGGGGGAAATCAGGAATTACTGGAGGAAATTGGGAATTACACGGAAAAATTGGGAGTTAAGGAGGGAAATCGGGAAATCAGGAATTATTGGAGGAAATCAGGAATTACTGGAGGAAATTGGGAATTACGGGGGGAAATCACAGCAGCAGGATGGACAGCATCAGCCGCTCCTGCCGGGAATTACGGGAAAAACAGGGAATTACGGGGAAAAACATGGAATTACGGGGGGAAATCACAGCAGCAGGATGGACAGCATCAGCTGCTCCTGACGGGAATGACGGGAAATCGGGAATTATGGGAAGGAATCAGGAATTACGGGGGGGAAATCAGGAATTACGAGGAAAAAGAGGGAATTATGGAGAGGAAATCGGGAATTATTGGAGGGAAATTGGGAATTATGGAGGGGAAATTGGAAATTATGGGAGGAAATCAGGAAATACGGGGAAAAACAAGGAATTATGGAGGGAAATCAGGAATTATGGGGGGAAATCGGGAAATACGGGGAAAAACAGGGAATTATAGAGGGAAATCGGGAACTACGGGGGGGAAATCGGGAATTATGGGGGGAAATCGGGAAATACGGGGAAAAACAGGGAATTATAGAGGGAAATCGGGAACTACGGGGGGGAAATTGGGAATTATGGGGGGAAATCGGGAAATACAGGGAAAACCAGGGAATTATGGGGGGAAATTGGGAATTACGGGGGAGAAACGGGAATTATAGAGGGAAATCGGGAATTACGGGGGGAAATCAGAAATTACGGAGGGAAATTGGGAATTATGGGGGGGAACCCAGGAATTATGGGGGGAAATCGGGATTATGGGGGGGAAATTGGGAATTATGGGGGAAAAAACTGGGAATTATGGGAGGAAATCAGAAATTATTGGAGGAAATCGAGAATTTCAGGGGGAAATCGGGAATTACAGGGGGAAATGTGAATTATGGGGAAAACTCAGGAGTTATTGAGAGAAATTGGGAATTATGGGGGGAAATCAAGAATTACAGGAGGGAAATAGGAAATTACGGGGGGAAATCGGGAATTATGGGGGGAAATCGGGAATTATGGGGGGAAATCGGGAATTATGGGGGGAAATCGGGAATTATGGGGGGAAATTGGGAATTATGGGAGGGAATCAGGAATTATGGGGGGAGATCGGGAATTACGGGGAAAAACAGGGAATTATGGAGAGAAATTGGGAATTATGGAGGGAAATTGGGAAATAAAGGGAAAAACAGGGAATTATGGAGGGACATTGGGAATTATGGGGGGAAATTGGGAATTATGTGGGGAAATCAGGAGTTATTGAGGGAAATCGGGAATTATGGGGGGAAATCAAGAATTATGGGGGAAAATCAGGAATTATGGGGGAAAATCGGGAATTACGGGGAAATCGGGAATTATGGAGGGAAATCACAGCAGCAGGATGGACAGCATCAGCCGCTCCTGACGGGAATTACGGGAAAATTGGGAATTATGGGGAAAAACAGGGAATTATGGGGGGAAAACATGGAATTATGGAGGGAAATCACAGCAGCAGGATGGACAGCATCAGCCGCTCCTGACGGGAATAATTACCCGGAAATCGGGAATTATGGGGAAAAACAGGGAATTATGGGGCGAAATTGGGAATTATGGGGGGAAATCGGGAATTACAAGGGGGAAATGGGGATTATGGGGGGAAATTGGGAATTATGGGGGGAAATCGGGAATTACGGGGGAAATCAGGAATTATAGAAGGAAATTGGGAATTATGGAGGGGAAATCGGGAATTACTGGAGAAAATTGGGAATTACAGGGACAAATTGGGAATTATGGAGGGAAATCAGGAATTACAGGGGGGAAATGGGAATTATGGGGGAAATTGGGAATTATGGGGGGAAATCAGGAATTACAGGGGGGAAATCGGGAATTACTGGAGGAAATTGGGAATTATGGGGGGGAAATCAGGAATTACTGGAGGAAATTGGGAAATACAGGAGGAAATCGGGAATTACGGGGGGAAATCAGGAATTACTGGAGGAAATTGGGAATTACTGGAGGAAATTGGGAATTACTGGAGGAAATTGGGAATTACACGGAAAAATTGGGAGTTAAGGAGGGAAATTGGGAAATCAGGAATTATTGGAGGAAATCAGGAATTACTGGAGGAAATCGGGAATTATGGGGGGAAACCACAGCAGCAGGATGGACAGCATCAGCCGCTCCTGACGGGAATAATTACCCGGAAATCGGGAATTACAGGGGGGAAAATTGGGAATTATAGAGGGAAATCGGGAATTACGGGGAGAAATCGGGAAATACAGGGCAAAACAGGGAATTATGCAGGGAAATTGGGAATTATGGGGGGAGATCAGGAATTACGGGGAAAAAGAGGGAATTATCGGGGGGAAATGGGAATTATGGAGGGAAATCGGGAATTATGGGGGGGAAATCAGGAATTATGGGGGGAAAGAGGGAATTATGGGGGAAACCGAAAATTACGGGGAAAAAGAGGGAATTATGGAGGGGAAATTGGGAATTATGGGGGGAAACTGGGAATTATGGAGGGAAATCGGGAATACTGGGGGAAATCAGGAATTATTGGAGGAAATCAGGAATTACTGGGGGGAAATTGGGAATTATGGGGGGAAATCAGGAATTATGGAGGGAATTGGGAATTACGGTGGGAAATCGGGAATTACGGGCGAAAAGAGGGAATTATGGGGGGAAATTGGGAATTACAGGGGGGAATTTGGGAGTTATGGAAGGAAATCAGGAATTATGGGGGGAAATCAGGAATTACTGGGGGAACCCTATCCCATTTCCAATCACAACCCCATTCCTATTCCCATTCCCAATTCCAGTCCCAATCCCATTCCTGACCACGATCCCAATCCCGTTCCTGATCCCAATCCCATTCCCATTCCCATTCCCGTTCCCGTTCCCATTCCCGATCCCATTCCTATTCCCAATCCCAATCCCAAATGCAACCCCAATCCCACTCCCTACCCCATTCCCAATTCAAATCCCATTCCCAATCACAACCCCATTCCTATTCCCATTCCCATTCCCATTCCCATTTCCATTCCAATCCCAATTCCATTCCCATTCCCATTCCTGATCCCATTCCTGTTCCTGTTCCCACTCCCATTCCCATTCCCATTCCCAATCCCAATCCCGTTCCCACTCCCCATTCCCATTCCTATTCCCATTCCCATTCCCATTCCCATTCCCAATCCCAATCCCATTCCCATTCCCACTCCCCAATCCTATTCCCAATCCTAATCTCGTTCCCATCCCCATTCCCACTCCCATTCCCATTCCCATTCCCATTCCCATCCCCACTCCCATTCCCGTTCCCATTCCCATTCCCATTCCCATCCCCACTCCCATTCCCGTTCCCATTCCCATTCCCATTCCCATTCCCATTCCCATCCCCATTCCCATCCCCATTCCCATTCCCATTCCCATTCCCATTCCCAATCCCATTTTCCCATTCCCGCCATTCCCATTCCCATTCCCGCCGTTCCCGCCGTTCCCACCTGCTGCTGGCTCTGCTCCTCCAGGTTGAGTTTGACCTCCAGGGACTGTCGCGCCTCCAGGAACGCCTTCCGGTGCTTCCGGTCCGCCATCACGTAGGACATGGCGCCCACGGCCACCGCGCAGGCCTGCAGCGCCGCGTTCGACACCAGCTAACAGGATTGGGATGAAAAATGGGATTTGGGATTGTGGGATATCCTGGGATTTGGGAAACCAGCAGGGTTTTGGGGTCATGGGATATCCCGGGATTTGGGATTTGGGATTGCGGGATGTCGGCCATCACGTAGGACATGGCGCCCACGGCCACCGCGCAGGCCTGCAGCGCCGCGTTCGACACCAGCTAACGGGATTTGGGATAAAAACACCCGGATTTGGGACAAAAACACCGGGATTTGGGATTTGGGATTGCGGGATGTCGGCCATCACGTAGGACATGGCGCCCACGGCCACCGCGCAGGCCTGCAGCGCCGCGTTCCACACCAGCTGGGGGGATTTGGGATAAAAAATGGGATTTGGGGAAAAAAATACTGGGATTTGGGAAAAACACCGGGATTTGGGAAAAACACCGGGATTTGGGATAAAAACACCGGGATTGGGGATAAAAACACCGGGATTGGGGATAAAAACACCGGGATTTGGGACAAAGACCGAGATTTGGGATCGTGGGATATTCCAGGATTTGGGAAACCACCGGCATTTGGGAAACCACCGGGATTTGGGGTTGCAGGATATCCCAGGATTTAGGAAACCACCGGGGGTTTGGGATCGTGGGATATCCCGGGATTTGGGAAAAACATCGGGATTTGGGATTGTGGGGTATCCCAGGATTTCGGAAACCAACGGGGATTTAGGATCACGGGATATCCCAGGAATTGAGATTGTGGGATATCCTGGGATTTGGGAAAAACACCAGGATTTGGGATCGTGGGATATCCCAGGATTTGGGATTGGGGGATATCCCAGGATTTGGGATCGTGGGATATCCCAGGATTTGGAAAACTGCCGGGGGTTTGGGATCATGGGATTTCCCAGGATTTCAGAAACCAGCAGGGATTTGGGATCAGGGATATCCCGGGATTTGGGATCATGGAATATTCCCAGATTTGGGAAAAACATCGGGGTTTGGGATCGTGGAATATCCTGGGATTTGGGAAACCACCAGGATTTGGGATCATGGGATATCCCAAGAATTAAGATTGTGGGATATCCTGAGATTTGGGAAAAACACTGGGATTTGGGATCGTGGGATATTCCAGGATTTGGGAAAAACACCGGGATTTGTGATCACGGGATATCCCAGGATTTGGGAAACCAGCAGGGATTTGGGATCATGAGATATCCCAGGATTTGGGATTGTGGGATACCCCGGGATTTGGGAAAAACACCAGGATTTGGGATTGTGGGATATTCCAGGATTTGAAAAACCATCAGAGATTTGGAATTGTGGGATATGCTGGGATTTGGGAAACTACCAGGATTTGTGTACATGGGATATCCCAGGATTTGGAAAAAACATCAGGATTTGGGATTGCGGGTTATCCCAGGATTTTGGAAACCACTGGGATTTGGGATAAAAACACCGGGATTTGGGATAAAAACACCGGGATTTGGGATTAGGGATTGCAGGATGCCGGCCATCACGTAGGACATGGCGCCCACGGCCACCAGCTAAAGGGATTGGAGAGAAAACATCGGGATTGGGGAAAAAAACATCGGGATTTGGGACAAACACCGGGATTTAGGATAAAAACACCAGGATTTGGAATTGTGGGATATCCCAGGATTTGGGAAAAACACCGGGATTTGGAGTTGCAGGATATCGTGGTATTTGAGAAACCACAGGGATTTGGGATACCAGTATATCCCAGGAATTGGGAAAAACGCCAGGATTTGGGATCGTGGGATACCCCGGGATTTGGGATCATGGAATATTCCCAGATTTGGGAAAAACACTGGGGTTTGGGATCGTGGGATATCCCGGGATTTGGGATCATGGGATATTCCGGGATTTGGGAAAACACCAGAGATTTGGGAAACCACCAGAGATTTGGGAGTGTGGGATATTCCAGGATTTGGGATTGTGGGATATTCCAGGATTTGGGAAACCACTGGGGATTTGGGATCTGTCACAGAAATTTGGGATCACCAAGGTTTTGGGATCATGGGATATTTGGGATGGTGGAGGAGGAATTTGGGATCAGGGATATTCGGGAACAAAGAGGAGGAATTTGGGATCGCAGGATATTCGGGAAGAAACAGTGGGAATTTGGGATCAGGGGATCTTTGGGAACAAAGAGCAGGAATTTGGGATCGCAGGATATTCAGGAATAAACAGCGGGAATTTGGGATCAGGGGATCTTTGGGAAGAAAGAGCGGGAATTTGGGATTGCAGGATCATCAGGAAGAACCAGCGGGAATTTGGGATCCGGGAATCTCCGGGATGAACGAGGAGGAATTCCGGGATGAGCAGATCCGGCACAGCCCCGATCGTTCCCCAAATCCCTTTTTGGGATAAATATCGGGAATTTTGGGGGGGAAGCGGCTCCAAAACGGCCCCTGGATGATGCCGGGGTCGGAAATCCCGGAGATGTTTTGGAAAAAGGCGGCAGCAGGGCCGGATCCCGGGGGATCCCGAGGGATCCCGGGGGAAGGCGGCGGCTCCGAGCGGATCAGGTGACGCCGTTCCCTGGGAATCGAACACTCGGAGCGAGAAAGTTCCGGAAAAACACGGCCGGGCTCTGAATCAGCATTCCCGGGAACGGCCGAAAATTGGGAGCACGTCCGATCCCGATCCCGGAAAAATTGTGGGAATATCCTGAGCGTGGGGGGGATCCTGGGGTGGATCCCATGGAATGGATCCCGATCCCATTGGATGGATCCTGACCCCATGGATCAGATCCCGACCCCATGGATGGGATCCTGATCCCATTGATTGGATCCTGATCCCATTGATTGGATCCCAATCCCATCTAATTCCTGCTCCATTCCCTCACCAGAACCCATCAATCCATGGAATTCCCATTCCCATTCCCATTCCCAGAGCATTCCCAGAGCATTCCCTGTCCATTCCCACCATTCCAGCCCCATTCCCGCTCCATTCCTGCTCCAGCCTGTCCAGCACCCATCGATCCATGGAATTCCCATTCCCTGTCTCATTCCCATCTCATTCCCACCCCATTCCTGCACCTGCCTGGCCACTTCCCCTGGATCCATGGAATTCCCATTCCCATTCCCATTCCCATTCCCAGATCATTCCAGCCCCATTCCTGCACCTGCCTGGCCACGTCCCATTGATCCATGGAATTCCCATTCCCACCCCATTCCCATCCCACTCCAAGAGCATTCCTGTCCATCATTCCCAGAACATTCCCAGAACATTCCCGCCCCATTCCCATTCCCGTTCCCATTCCCATTCCCATTCCCATTCCCATTCCCGTTCCCATTCCCATTCCCTTTCCCGCCCCATTCCCATTCCCGTTCCCATTCCCATTCCCATTCCCTTTCCCGCCCCATTCCCGTTCCCATTCCCATTCCCATTCCCTTTCCCGCCCCATTCCCACAACTGCCTGGCCAGCACCTCTTGATCCCTGGAATTCCCATTCCCACCCCATTCCCAGAGCATTCCCAGATCATTCCCGCCCATTCCCGCACCTGCCTGGCCAGCACCTCTTGATCCCTGGAATTCCCATTCCCATTTCATTCCCAGAGCATTCCTGTCCATCAATCCCAGAGCATTCCCAGAACATTCCCAGAACATTCCCAGGGCATTCCTGCCCCATTCCCTGTCCATTCCCACCATTCCTGCCCCATTCCCGCCCCATTCCCGCTCCATTCCTGCTCCAGCCTGTCCAGCACCCATCGATCCATGGAATTCCCATTCCCTGTCTCATTCCCATCTCATTCCCACCCCATTCCCGCACCTGCCTGGCCACCTCCCCTGGATCCATGGAATTCCTGCCCCATTCCCATTCCCATTCCCATTCCCATTCCCATTCCCATTCCCGTTCCCATTCCCATTCCCATTTCTGCACTTCCTGGGCCACTTTCCCTGGATCCATGGAATTCCTGCCCCATTCCCATTCCCATTCCTGTCTCATTCCTCCCCCATTCCCATTCCTGCCTGGCCAACACCTCTTGATCCCTGGAATTCCCATTCCCATTCCCATTCCCATTCTCATTCCCATTCCCATTCCCATTCCCATTCCCATTCCCATTCTCATTCCCATTCCCATTCCCATTCCCATTCCCATTCCCATTCCCATTCCCATTCTCATTCCCATTCCCATTCCCATTCCCGGATCATTCCTCCCCCATTCCCATTCCTGCCTGGCCAGAACCTCTTGATCCATGGAATTCCCATTCCCATTCCCATTCCCATTCCCATTCCCATTCCCATCCCATTCCCATTCCCGCACCTGCCTGGCCACCTCCCCGGGCTCCGTGTCCCGCCGTTCCCTCTGGAATTCCAGGATTCCCAGGACCAGCCCGTGCCCGCCGCAGGAGGCGGCCGCCAGAAGGAGGATCCGCCCCATTCCCAGAGCATTCCCAGAGCATTCCCAGAGCATTCCCAGAACATTCCTGCCCCATTCCCAGAACATTCCCAGAACATTCCCAGAGCATTCCCAGAGCATTCCCAGAGCATTCCCAGAGCATTCCCAGAGCATTCCCTGTCCATTCCCACCATTCCTGCCCCATTCCCGCCCCATTCCCGCTCCATTCCTGCTCCAGCCTGTCCAGCACCCATCGATCCATGGAATTCCCATTCCCTGTCTCATTCCCATCTCATTCCCACCCCATTCCTGCACCTGCCTGGCCACCTCCCCTGGATCCATGGAATTCCTGCCCCATTCCCACCATCCCATTCCCATTCCCATCCCCATTCCCATCTCATTCCCATTCCCATTCCCATTCCCATTCCCGTTCCCATTCCCATTCCCATTCCCGTTCCCATTCCCATTTCCAGCCCCATTCCCATTCCCGGATCATTCCTCCCCCATTCCCATTCCTGCCTGGCCAGCACCTCTTGATCCCTGGAATTCCCATTCCCACCCCATTCCCAGAGCATTCCCAGAGCATTCCTGTCCATCAATCCCAGAACATTCCTGCCCCATTCCCATTCCCATTCCCATTCCCATCCCCATCCCCATTCCCATTCCCATCCCCATTTCCGCACTTCCTGGGCCACTTTCCCTGGATCCATGGAATTCCCATTCCCATTCCCATTCCCATTCCCATTCCCATTCTCATTCCCACCCCATTCCCATTCCCATTCCCATTCCCATTCCCATTCCCATTCCCGTACCTGCCTGGCCACCTCCCCTGGATCCATGGAATTCCCATTCCCATTCCCATTCCCGCACCTGCCTGGCCACCTCCCCGGGCTCCGTGTCCCGCCGTTCCCTCTGGAATTCCAGGATTCCCAGGACCAGCGCGTGCCCCCCGCAGGACGCGGCCGCCAGCAGGAGGATCCGCGCCAGGCGCAGCGGCAGCGTCAGGAAACAGGAGAAGGCGAAGAACGCCTGCCAGCCCGCCGTGTCCACCGCCTCGGGAAAATCCCTCTGGAATTCCGATCCCAACAATCCCCACAGCTGCGCCACCATCAGCGCCCACAGACCCCCGGGAAGGAATTTCTGGGAAAAATCCTCCGGGAGAAGACGCGATTTGAGCAGCAGGAAAATCGCTCCGTGCGCCGCCAGCCCGAGCAGCGCCGCCAGCGCCGGGAAAAGCTTTTCCATGCGGGAAAATCCCGCCGACATTCCCAGGATGTAACAATCGAAAAGGGCGGAAAAAACCACCAACACCAGCAGCGTTTCGTGCCGCTGGCGGCGGAAATAAGTCTGGTAGAGTTTTTCCAAGGATTCCGGCGAGAAGGAAAAATTCCGGGAATGCGGCAGGCACGGGCAGGGCCCCCCCCGCGCATCCCGAGGGGCCGGAGATTCCCGGGAACGGCGGAAATTCCCGTCGGGATCCGATGGGAAACTCAGGGAATAATCGGCGGAATATTCGGCCGAGAATTCCGGCTCGGAGAAGGCGCCGTTCCTGCGCATCCTGCGGGGATGGAGCGAGCGCAATTCCCGGTTTTTTGGGGGTTTTTTTGGGAATTACAGAGGGAATTTTGGGATGCTCTCAGAGGAGCGGCGTCATCCTGAAGGGCCGCGCGGCTTTTCCGGAGGTTTCAATCCCGGGAAAACGGCAGCGCCGGGAAGGGGGAGAACGGCATTCCCGGCGGATTCCCGGGATTCCTGCCCGGTTAATTCCCGGTTAATTCCCGGTTGATTCCCGGTCCAATCCCGGTTGATTCCCGGGATTCCTGCCCGGTTAATTCCCGGTCCAATCCCGGTCGATTCCCGGCCGATTCCCGGTTGATTCCCGGCTCCTTCCCGGCCGATTTTCAGCTGATTCCCGGTTGATTCCCGGATTTTCTTCCCGGCTGATTCCCGTGATTCCTGACCGGTTAATTCCCGGCCGATTCCCGGTTGATTCCCGGGATTCCTTCCCGGCCGATTCCCGGGATTCCTTCCCGGTTAATTCCCGGACGATTCCCGGGATTCCTTCCCGGTTAATTCCCGGTCCAATCCCGGCGGATTCCCGGAATTCCTTCCCGGTTGATTCCCAGTCCAATCCCGGCTGATTCCCGGAATTCCTTCCCGGTTAATTCCCGGCCGATTCCCGGTTGATTCCCGGGATTCCTGCCCGGTTAATTCCCGGTCGATTCCCGGCCCAATCCCGGCTGATTCCCGGATTTTCTTCCCGGCTGATTCCCGGGATCCCTTCCCGGTTAATTCCCGGTTGATTCCCGGCTCCTTCCCGGCCGATTTTCAACCGAATCCCGGTTGATTCCCGATATTCCTTCCCGGCAGATTCCCGGATTTTCTTCCCGGCCGAATCCCGGTTCCTTCCCGGCAGATTCCCGGAATTCCTTCCCGGTGAATTCCCGGTCCAATCCCGGCCGATTCCCGGATTTTCTTCCCGGTTATTCCCGTCTCCTTCCCGGCCGAATCCCGGTTCTTTACCGGCCGATTCCCGAAATCCTTTCCCGGTTTTTCCCCGGCCGATTCCCAAAATTCCTTCCCGGTTACTCTCGGCTCCTTCCCGGCACCTTCCCGGCCGATTCCCGGATTTTTTTCCTGGATAATTCCCGGATTTTTGGGGGATTTTTCCCGGATTTTCCGCGGCTCCTTTTCCAGGCGTTTTCCTTCCCAGCTTTCCCAGCTCTGCTCCAGAGATGTCGCGATGCCTCCCCTGCTCCTCCTTCCCGAGATGCTTCGTTCCCGCCGGGATCCATAAAAACCGGGAAAAAAACCGGGAAAAAATCCCCCAAAACCGGGAAAAAACCCGGGGAAAATCCCCCAAAAAACGGGGAAAAAAAATGGGGAAAATCCCAAAAAAAAACGGGAAAAAATGGGCAAAAACAGGGGAAAAACAGGGAAAAAACGGGGGAAAAAAACGTTAAAAAAACCCCCAAAACCGGGAAAAAAAACTAAAAAAAAACGGGAAAAAAAGCCAAAAAAAATCTGGAAAAAAGACGGGATACAGGGATGCGCTTCCCGGTTCCCGCATCCTCTTCCCGGTTTTTCCCGGTGATGGAAAAACTCGGGCTGGAGGATGGAAAAGAGGAAAAGGATTTTCCTTTTCCCGGGATCGCGGCGCTCCCGCCTCCCGTAACCCTCTCGGTGCCGGGCTGGGAGAAAAAATCCCCAAAAAATCCGGGAAGAGATTCCCAAGAATCCCAAAATTACCGAAAAATCCCAAGAAATACTAAAAAGTCCCAAGAAATCCCCCCAAAAATCCCAAAAATTCAAAGAAATCCACGAAAGTCTGAGTAAATTCCAAATAAATCCCAAAATTAACTGAAAAATCCCCAGAAGTCCCAAGAAATCCCAAAAAAATAAAAAAATCCCAATAAATCCCCAAAAATGCCAAAATTACCGAAGAAATCCCCAAAAAATCCCAAGAAATGAAAAAAAAACCCCAAGAAATCCCAAAAAATTCAAATAAATCCCCAAAAGTCGGAATAAATCCCAAATAAACCCCAAAAAGTCGGAATAAATCCCAAAAATCCCCCCAAATCCCCAAAATATTCCAAGAAATCCCAAGAAATCAAAAATATCCCAAGAAATCCCAAGAAATGTCAATAAATTCCAATAAATCCCAAAATAAAGTGAAAAATCCCCAAGAAATCCCAAAAAATACTAAAAAAATCCCCAAAAGTCCCAAGAAATCCCAAAAAAATCCCAAGAAATCCCAAAAAAATCCCAAGAAATCCCAAAAAAACCACCCCAAGAAATCCCAAAAAAAAACCCAAGAAATCCCCAAAAATTCAAAGAAATCCCCAAAAGTCTGAATAAATCCCAAATAAATCCCAAAAGGTCCCAAATATCCCAAAAATCCCAAGAAATCCCCAAAATATTCCAAGAAATCCCAAGAAATCAAAAATATCCCAAGAAATCTCAATAAATTCCAATAATTCCCAAAATAAAGTGAAAATTCCCAAGCAGTCCCAAGAAATCAAAAAAAATCCTAAAAAAATCCCCAAAAGTCCCAAGATATCCTCCAAAAAATCCCAAGAAATCCTAAAAAAATCCCAAGAAATGAAAAAAAACCCAAGAAATCCCAAAAATTCAAAGAAATTTCAAAGAAATCCCCAAAAGTCTGAATAAATCCCAAAAAAATCCCAGTAAATCCCCACAATTCCCAATAAATCCCAAAACTCCCCAAAATTCCCCAAACTCCCAAAAATTCCCCAAAACTCCCAAAAATTCCCAAAATTCCCTAAAAAAATCCCCAAATAAATCCCAAAATAATCCCAAAAAATTCCCAATAAATCCCCCAAATTCCCAATAAATCAAAAAAAAATCCCCAAAACCCCCAACAATTCCCAATAAATCCCTAAAATTCCCAAAATCCCCAAAAAAATCCCCAAATAAATCCCCAAATAATCCCCAAAAAAATCCCAATAAATAAAAAAAAAATCCCCCCAAAAATCCAAAAAAATCCCCCAAAAAATCCCCAAAAAATCCAATATAATCCCAAAAAATCCCCACCTTTATTCCCAGAAACTCCCAAATTTTCCCAATTTTCCCATTTTTCCCCAAATTTCCCCAATTTTTCCCAAATTTCCCCAAATTTCCAAGCAAGGATGACACAAAATCCGGAATTTGGGATTTAGTTTTTATTTTTAGGGGGAAAAACAAATTCCGGGAAAATCCCAAATATTGCACAGAACGACGGGAAAAATCCCAAATTCCAAAAAAATTGGGGAAGAGGGAGAAAATTCCAGAAATTTCAGAAAAAATTCTGGAAAAATTCTGGGGGAAATTCCAGAAAATGTAAAAAAAAAAGGGGGGGGAATTAAAAAATAATAATTAAAAAAAGAAAAATTCAAGGGAAAAAAAAACCACAGAAAATTCCGGGAAATTCCCAAAATTCAAAAAAATTCCAGAAAAATTCAGGGAAAAATTTTAGAAAATGGTAAAAACAAAAAAAATCGGAAAAATTCCAGGGGAAAAAAAATCCAGAAAATTCCAAAAAATAAATTTAATAAATTCCAAGAAAATTCCGGGAAAAAACAAACTGGGAAAATTCACAGAAATTTCGAGAAAATTTCAAAAAAATTCAAATAAATTCCTGGAAAAATTGGGGGAAATTTCAGAAAAATTCCAGAAATTTTTGATAAAATTCAGGGGAAATTCTGGGAAAATTTTGGGGAAATTCCAGAAAATGGAAAAAAATAAAAAAAGGAAAAATTCCAGGCGAAAAAAAAAAAACTGGAAAATTCAGGAGAAAAAAAACCCAACCGAAAATTCTGGAAAATTCCCCCAAAAAAATCCAGTAAATTCCAGGGAAAATTAAAAAATTTTTAAATCCAGATTTTTTCCCCAGAATTCCAAAGGCTTTTCCCAACATTCCAATTTTTCCCCCAAATCCCAAATTTTCCCAAAATTCTCAAAATTTTCCCCAAATTTCCAATGATTTTCCCCCAAAATTCTGATGTTTTCCCCCAAAATTCCAAAGATTTTTTCTCCAAAATTCCAAGGATTTTTTTCACAGAATTCCAAATTATTTCCCAGAATTCCAAAGATTTTCCCAAAATTCAAAAATTTTCCCCCCAAATTCCGAAGATTTACCCCCAAATTGTTCTTTTTCCAGAAAATTCCAAATTTTTCCCAGAATTCCAAATATTTTCCCAAAATCACAAGATTTTCCCCCGAAATTCCCAAATTTTTTCCCAAAATTCCGAAGGTGGGAAAAATCCTTGGAAAATTGGGAATAACTCCCAGGAAAATAGGAAAATCCTCCAAAATTTGGGAATAATCCTTGGAATATTGGGAATAACCCCTAAAAGATGGGAAAAACCCTTGGGAAAGTGGGGGAAACCCTGGAAAAATGGGAATAACCTCCAAAAAATGGGAATAACCCTGGAAAAGTGGGAAAAACCCTCACGAAAATGGGAATTTTCCTGGAAAAACCACTGGAAAAATGGGAAAAAACCTCTGGAAGAATTGGGAATAAGCCCCAAAAAATGGGAATAAGCCCCAGCAAAATGGGAATAACCTCCGGGAAAATGGGAATAATCCTCAGAAAATTGGGAATAACCCCCAAAAATGGGAAAACCTGTCTGAAAATTGGGAAAAATTCTCGGAAAAATGGGAATAACCCTGGAAAAATGGGAATAACCCGGGGAAAAATGGGAATAACCCTGGGAAATTGGGAAAAATCCTGGAAAAATGGGAATAACCCTGGAAAACTTTGGAATAACCCTCAAAAAATGGGAATGACCCTGGAAAAGTGGGAAAAACTCCTGGAAAAGTGGGAATAACCGATAAAAAGTGGGAATAACCCTGGAAAACTTTGGAATAACCCCCAGAAAATGGGAATAACCATGGAAAACTTTGACTTTAGCCCCAAAAAATGGGAATAAGCCTTGGAAAAGTGGGAATAACCCTGGAAAAATGGGAATAACAGTGGGAAAATGGGAACAACCCTGGAAAAATGGGAATAACCCTTGGAATATTGAGAATAACTGTGGGAAAAATGGGAATAACCTTCAGGAAAACGGGAATAACCATGGAAAATTGGGAAAAATCCTGGAAAATTGGGAATAACCCTGGAAAACTTTGGAATAACCCTCAAAAAATGGGAATGACCATGGAAAAGTGGGAAAAACTCTTGGGAAATTGGGAATAACCCTGGGAAAATGGGAATAAGCCTTGGAAAAATGGGAATAACCCTAGGAAAATGGGAATTTTCCTGGAAAAACCTCTGGAAAAATGGGGAAAATCTTTGGAAAATTTGGGAATAACCCCCAGAAAAATGGGAATAACCCTGGAAAAATGGGAATAACCCTGGAAAAGTGGGAATAATCCTCAGGAAAACGGAACTAACACGCAGAAAATTGGGAATGACTGTCGGAAAAACGGGAATAACTCCCCAAAAACGGGAATAAACCCCCCCCAAAAAAGTGAAACTTTGTCAGAAAAATGGGAATAACCCTGGGAAAATGGGAATAACCCTTGGAAAACTTTGTCTTAAGCCCCAGAAAATGGGAATAAGCCTTGGAAAAGTGGGAATAACCCTGGGAAAGTGGGAATAACCCTGGAAAACTTTGGAATAACCCTCAAAAAAATGGGAATGACCCTGGAAAAGTGGGAAAAACTCATGGAAAAATGGGAATAACCCTGGAAAAGTGGGAATAACCCTCCGAAAAATGGGACTTACACGCAGAATGTTGGGAATAACTGTCGGAAAAATGGGAATAACTCCCCAAAAATGGGAATAAACCCCCCCCAAAAAAAGGGAAAAATTCTCAGAAAAATGGGAATAACCCTGGAAAAATGGGAATAACCCTTGGAATATTGAGAATAACCCTGGGAAAAATGGGAATAACCTTCAGGAAAATGGGAATAACCCTGGAAAATTGGGAATGACCCAGGAAAACTTTGGAATAACCCTCAAAAAATGGGAATGACCCTGGAAAAGTGGGAAAAACTCCTGGGAAAATGGGAATAACCCCCAAAAATGGGAATAACCTTCAGGAAAACGGAACTAACATGCAGAAAATTGGGAAGAACTGTCAGAAAAACGGGAATAACTCCCCAAAAATGGGAATAAACCCCCCCCAAAAAAGTGAAACTTTGTCAGAAAAATGGGAATAACCCTAGGAAAATGGGAATTTTCCTGGAAAAACCTCTGGAAAAATGGGGAAAATCTTTGGAAAATTTGGGAATAACCCCCAGAAAAATGGGAATAACCCTGGAAAAATGGGAATAACCCTGGAAAAGTGGGAATAATCCTCAGGAAAACGGAACTAACACGCAGAAAATTGGGAATGACTGTCGGAAAAACGGGAATAACTCCCCAAAAACGGGAATAAACCCCCCCCAAAAAAGTGAAACTTTGTCAGAAAAATGGGAATAACCCTGGGAAAATGGGAATAACCCTTGGAAAACTTTGTCTTAAGCCCCAGAAAATGGGAATAAGCCTTGGAAAAGTGGGAATAACCCTGGGAAAGTGGGAATAACCCTGGAAAACTTTGGAATAACCCTCAAAAAAATGGGAATGACCCTGGAAAAGTGGGAAAAACTCATGGAAAAATGGGAATAACCCTGGAAAAGTGGGAATAACCCTCCGAAAAATGGGACTTACACGCAGAATGTTGGGAATAACTGTCGGAAAAATGGGAATAACTCCCCAAAAATGGGAATAAACCCCCCCCAAAAAAAGGGAAAAATTCTCAGAAAAATGGGAATAACCCTGGAAAAATGGGAATAACCCTTGGAATATTGAGAATAACCCTGGGAAAAATGGGAATAACCTTCAGGAAAATGGGAATAACCCTGGAAAATTGGGAATGACCCAGGAAAACTTTGGAATAACCCTCAAAAAATGGGAATGACCCTGGAAAAGTGGGAAAAACTCCTGGGAAAATGGGAATAACCCCCAAAAATGGGAATAACCTTCAGGAAAACGGAACTAACATGCAGAAAATTGGGAAGAACTGTCAGAAAAACGGGAATAACTCCCCAAAAATGGGAATAAACCCCCCCCAAAAAAGTGAAACTTTGTCAGAAAAATGGGAATAACCCTAGGAAAATGGGAATTTTCCTGGAAAAACCTCTGGAAAAATGGGGAAAATCTTTGGAAAATTTGGGAATAACCCCCAGAAAAATGGGAATAACCCTGGAAAAATGGGAATAACCCTGGAAAAGTGGGAATAATCCTCAGGAAAACGGAACTAACACGCAGAAAATTGGGAATGACTGTCGGAAAAACGGGAATAACTCCCCAAAAACGGGAATAAACCCCCCCCAAAAAAGTGAAACTTTGTCAGAAAAATGGGAATAACCCTGGGAAAATGGGAATAACCCTTGGAAAACTTTGTCTTAAGCCCCAGAAAATGGGAATAAGCCTTGGAAAAGTGGGAATAACCCTGGGAAAGTGGGAATAACCCTGGAAAACTTTGGAATAACCCTCAAAAAAATGGGAATGACCCTGGAAAAGTGGGAAAAACTCATGGAAAAATGGGAATAACCCTGGAAAAGTGGGAATAACCCTCCGAAAAATGGGACTTACACGCAGAATGTTGGGAATAACTGTCGGAAAAATGGGAATAACTCCCCAAAAATGGGAATAAACCCCCCCCAAAAAAAGGGAAAAATTCTCAGAAAAATGGGAATAACCCTGGAAAAATGGGAATAACCCTTGGAATATTGAGAATAACCCTGGGAAAAATGGGAATAACCTTCAGGAAAATGGGAATAACCCTGGAAAATTGGGAATGACCCAGGAAAACTTTGGAATAACCCTCAAAAAATGGGAATGACCCTGGAAAAGTGGGAAAAACTCCTGGGAAAATGGGAATAACCCCCAAAAATGGGAATAACCTTCAGGAAAACGGAACTAACATGCAGAAAATTGGGAAGAACTGTCAGAAAAACGGGAATAACTCCCCAAAAATGGGAATAAACCCCCCCAAAAAAGTGAAACTTTGTCAGAAAAATGGGAATAACCCTAGGAAAATGGGAATAACCCTTGGAATATTGAGAATGACCGTGGGAAAAATGGGAATAACCTTCAGGAAAACGGGAATAACCCTGGAAAATTGGGAAAAATCCTGGAAAAATGGGAATAACCCTGGAAAACTTTGGAATAACCCTCAAAAATGGGAATAACCATGGAAAACTTTGGAATAACCCCCAAAAAATGGGAATGACCCTGGAAAAGTGGGAAAAAGTCCTGGAAAAATGGGAATAACCCTGGAAAAATGGGAATAACCTTCAGGAAAATGGGAATAACCCTGGAAAATTGGGAAAAATCCTGGAAAACTTTGGAATAACCCTCAAAAAATGGGAATGACCCTGGAAAAGTGGGAAAAACTCTTGGAAAAGTGGGAATAACCCTGGAAAAATGGGAATAACCCTTGGAAAAGTCGGAAAAACTCCTGGAAAAATTGGAATAACCGATAAAAAATGGGAATAACCCCCCAAAACTGGGAATAATCCTGGAAAAATGGGAATGACCCTGGAAAAATGGGAATGACCCTTGGAAAGTGGGAATAACCCTGGGAAAATGGGAGTAACCCCCCAAAAATGGGAATAACCTTCAGGAAAATGGGAATAACCCTGGAAAAATGGGAATAACCCTGGAAAAATGGGAATAATCCTGGAAAACTTTGGAATAACCCTCAAAAAATGGGAATAACCATGGAAAACTTTGTCTTAAGCCCCAAAAAATGGGAATAAGCCTTGGAAAAGTGGGAATAACCCTGGAAAAATGGGAATTACCCTTGGAGTATTGAGAATAACCCCGGGAAAAATGGGAATAACCTTCAAGAAAATGGGAATAACTCTGGAAAAATGGGAATAACCCTGGAAAACTTTGGAATAACCCTCAAAAAATGGGAATGACCCTGGAAAAGTGGGAAAAAATCTTGGAAAAATGGGAATAACCCTGGAAAAATGGGAATAACCCTGGAAAAATGGGAATAACCCCCAGAAAATTTGAATAACCCTTGGAAAACTTTGGTTTAAGCCCCAAAAAACGGGAATAAGCCTTGGAAAAGTGGGAATAACCCTGGAAAAATGGGAATAATCCTGGAAAACTTTGGAATAACCCTCAAAAAATGGGAATAACCCTGGAAAAATCGGAATAACCCTGCAAAACTTTGGAATAACCCTCAAAAAGTGGGAATGACCCTGGAAAAGTGGGAAAAACTCCTGGAAAAGTGGGAATAAGCCTTGGAAAAGTGGGAATAACCCTGGAAAACTTTGCAATAACCCTCAAAAAATGGGAATGACCCTGGAAAAGTGGGAAAAACTCCTGGAAAAGTGGGAATAACCCTTGGAAAGTGGGAATAACCCTGGGAAAGTGGGAATAACCCTCCGAAAAACGGGACTAACACGCAGAAAATCGGGAAGAACTGTCGGAAAAACGGGAATAACTCCCCAAAAATGGGAATTAACCCCCCCAAAAAAGTGAAAATTTGTCAGAAAAATGGGAATAGCCCTGGAAAAATGGGAATAACCCTTGGAATATTGAGAATAACCCTGACAAATGGGAATAACCTTCAGGAAAATGGGAATAACCCTGGAAAATTGGGAAAACCCTGGAAAAATGGGAATAACCCTGGAAAAGTGGGAAAAACTCCTGGAAAAGTGGGAAAAACTCCTGGAATATTGAGAATAACCCTGGGAAAAATGGGAATAACCTTCAGGAAAGTTGGGAATAACTGTCGGAAAAACGGAAATAACTCCCCAAAACCGGAAATAAACCCCCCCCAAAAAAAAAAAAAAATTCTCAAAAAAATGGGAATAACCCCCAAAAAACCAGGACTAACCCCCCAAAACCTCGTGATTCCCACTCCTCTGGATCCGGCTGGGGATTGGGCCGGAATTCCGGGTGGGAATGGCTACGGAAGGTTCCGGAGCAGCGCGGCACGGGCGCTGCCCAGGGCCTTGAAGGCGTCCTCGCTGCCCGGAGCCGGACACTTGTCGGGGTGCAGCAGCACGGCCAGGCGGCGGTAGGCGCGCGTCACCTCCTCCCTGCCGGGAAAAATGGGAAAAAAACGGGAAAAACGGGAAAAACGGGATCAGACGGAGCCCCTGTTAATGGTACATATGTGTCATCTACTCCCTGTGACGGAAAATGGGAAAAATGGGAAAAAATGGGAAAAATGGGATCAGTCGGTGACATGGAACCGGTAATCAACTCCTCCCTGTGCCGGAAAATAGGAAAAAATGGGAAAAACGGGGAAAAACGGGAAAAAATGGGAAAAATGGGATGAGACAGAGCCCTGGAACTGGTAATCAACTCCTCCCTGTGCGGAAAATGGGAAAAAAATGGGAAAAAACGGGAAAAACGGGATCAGTCGGAGCCCCTGGTAATGGTACATACGTGTCATCAACTCCCTCCGCTGGAAAATGGGGAAAATGGGAAAAACGGGATCAGTCGGTGACATGGAGCCGGTAATCAACTCCTCCCTGCGTGGAAAAACGGGAAAAAATGGGAAAAAAACGGGGAAAAAACAGGAAAAAATGGGGAAAAACGGGATCAGTCGGTGACATGGAACTGGTAATCAACTCCTCCCTGCACCGGAAAACATGAAAAAACGGGAAAAAACGGGAAAAACGGGATCAGGCGGTGACATAGAACCGGTAATCAACTCCTCCCTGTGCTGGAAAAATGGGAAAAATGGGAAAAAACGGGAAAAATGGGATCAGACGGAGCCCCTGGTAATGGTACATACGTGTCATCAATTCCCTGTGCCAGAAAACGGGGAAAAATGGGAAAAAACGGGATCAGGCGGTGACATGGAACCGGTAATCAACTCCTCCCTGCGCCGGAAAATGGGAAAAATGGGAAAAACGGGAAAAAACGGGAAAAAACGGGAAAAAACGGGAAAAATGGGATCAGTCGGAGCCCCTGGTAATGGTACATACGTGTCACCTCCTCCCTGTGCGGAAAAACGGGAAAAAATGGGAAAAAACGGGAAAAATGGGATCAGTCGGTGACATGGAACCGGTACAGCCGTGGCAACTCCTCCCAGTGGCGGAAAAACGGGAAAAAAATTGGAAAAAACGGGATCAGGCGGTGACATGGAACCGGTAATCAACTCCTCCGTGTGCGGAAAAATGGGAAAAAATGGGAAAAACGGGATCAGTCGGAGCCCCTGGTAGTGGTAGACACGTGTGACCTCCTCCCTGTGCGGAAAAATGGGAAAAAATGGGGAAAAAATGGGAAAAAATGGGAAAAACGGGATCAGTCGGTGACACGGAACCGGTAATCAACTCCTCCCTGAGTGGGAAAATGGGAAAAAATGGGAAAAACGGGAAAAACGGGATCAGCCCCCGGCCAGGCCCAGGATTCCGACTCTTCCCGCAGGAATTCCGGGGTTTTGGGTTGGAATTCTGACTTTTCCAGCCGGAATTCCAGGATTTCTGGCAGGAATTCTGGGATTTTTGGCTGGAAATCCAACTTTTCCAGCCAGAATTCCAGGATTTTTGGTGGGAATTCCGGGATTTTTGGTTGCAATTCCAAATTTTCCCACAGGAATTCCGGGGTTTTGGGTTGGAATTCTGACTTTTCCAGCCAGAATTCCAGGTTTTCTGGTGGGAATTCTGGGATTTTTGGTTGGAAATCCAACTTTTCCAGACAGAATTCCTGGGTTTTTTGGTGGGAATTCTGGGATTTTTGGTTGGAATTCCAGGATTTTCAGTGGGAGTTCTGGAGTTTCTCGTGGGAATTCCGAGGATTTTGGTGGGAATTCCAAATTTTCCCAAAGGAATTCCTCCTTCCACCACTTTCCCCCACGGGAATTCCGGGGTTTTTGCTGGGAATTTGAATTTTTCTCACCAGAATTCCAGGTTTTCTAGAAGGAATTCTGGGGATTTGGTGGGAATTCCAGGATTTTTGGTGGGAATTCCAGGATTTCTGGTGGGAATTCCGGGGTTTTTGGTTGGAATTCTGACTTTTCCAGCCGGAATTCCAGGTTTTCTATCAGGAATTCCGGGGTTTTTGGTGTGAATTCAGGGATTTTTGGTTGGAATTCCAACTTTTCCAGCCAGAATTCCAGGTTTTCTGACAGGAATTCCATGTTTTTTGGTGGGAATTACGGGTTTTCTGGCAGGAATTCTGGGGTTTTGATGTGAATTCCACCTTTCCCCGCTAAAATTCCAATTTCTCCACAATAATTCCACCTTTTCCATCAGAAATTCCAGCTTTTCTCACGGGAATTCCAACTTTTCCCACAAGAATTCCACCTTTTCCCTTAGAAATTCCAGCTTTTCCGGCGGGAATTCCATCTTTTTTGCTGGGAATCCCAACTTTTCCCGACAAAAATCCCAACTTTTCCCAGAAAAATCCCAATTTTCCCCCCTCCAATCCCGCCTTTCCCCTCCACCCATCCTCACCCAAATCCCGCTTTTCCCCCGCAGGAATTCCGGGGTTTTGGGTTGGAATTCTGACTTCTCCAGCCGGAATTCCAACTTTTCCAGCTGGAATTCCGTTTTTTTTTTGTGGGAATTCTGGTATTTTTGGTTGGAATTCCAGGGTTTTGGTGGGAATTCTGGAGTTTCTCGTGGGAATTACGAGGATTTTGGTGGGAATTCCAAATTTTCCCAGAGGGAATTCCTCCTTCCACCACTTTTCCCCACGGGAATTCCGGGGTTTTTGCTGGGAATTTGAATTTTTTCCCACCAGAATTCCAGGTTTTCTGGAAGGAATTCTGGGGGTTTTGGTGGGAATTCCGGGATTTTTGGTGGGAATTCCAGGATTTCTGGTGGGAATTCCGGGGTTTTGGGTTGGAATTCCAACTTTTCCAGCCAGAATTCCAGGTTTTCTGGCAGGAATTCCATGTTTTTTGGTGGGAATTCCGGGATTTTTGGTGGGAATTCTGTGTTTTCTGGTGGGAATTCCACCTTTTCCCACAGGAATTCTGGGTTTTTTATGGGAATTCCACTTTTTCCCACAAGAATTCCAGGTATTTCGGTGCAAATTCCAGGATTTTTGGGTGGGAAATTCCAGGTTTTCTGGCAGGAATTCCTGGGTTTTGATGTGAATTCCACCTTTCCCCACTAAAATTCCAATTTCTCCACAATAATTCCACCTTTTCCGGCAGGAATTCCAGCTTTTCTCACAGGAATTCCAACTTTTCCCACAAGAATTCCACCTTTTCCCTTTAGAAATTCTGGCTTTTCCGGCGGGAATTCCATCTTTTTTGCTGGGAATTCCAACTTTTCCCGACAAAAATCCCAACTTCTCCCAGAAAAAATCCCAATTTTCCCCCCTCCAATCCCTCCTTTCCCCTCCACCCATCCCCAGCCAAATCCCGCTTTTCCCCCGCAGGAATTCCGGGGTTTTGGGTTGGAATTCTGACTTCTCCAGCCGGAATTCCAACTTTTCCAGCTGTAATTCCAGTTTTTTTCGTGGGAATTCTGGGATTTTTGGTTGGAATTCCAGGGTTTTTGGTGGGAATTCTGGAGTTTCTCATGGGAATTCCAAGGATTTTGGTGGGAATTCCAAATTTTCCCACAGGAATTCCTCCTTCCAACACTTTCCGCCATGAGAATTCCGGGGTTTTTGCTGGGAATTCAAATTTTTCCCACCAGAATTCCAGGTTTTCTGGAAGGAATTCTGGGGATTTGGTGTGAATTCCAGGATTTTTGGTGGGAATTCCAGGATTTCTGGTGGGAATTCCGGGGTTTTTGGTTGGAATTCCAACTTTTCCAGCCAGAATTCCAGGATTTTTGGTGGGAATTCTGGGATTTTTGGTTGCAATTCCAAATTTTCCCACAGGAATTCCAGGGTTTTGGGTTGGAATTCTGACTTTTCCAGCCGGAATTCCAGGTTTTCTGGCAGGAATTCCCTGTTTTTTGGTGGGAATTGCGGGATTTTTGGTGGAAATTCCGTGTTTTCTGGTGGGAATTCCTCCTTTTCCCACAGGAATTCCGGGTTTTTTATGGGAATTCCACCTTTTCCCACTGGAATTCCTCCTTCCTCCCCCTTTCCCCACAAGAATTCCAGGTATTTCGGTGCAAATTCCAGGATTTTTGGTGGAAATTCCAGGTTTTCTGGCAGGAATTCTGGGGTTTTGATGTGAATCCCACCTTTCCCCACTAAAATTCCAATTTTTCCACAATAATTCCACCTTTTCCGGCAGGAATTCCATCTTTTTTGCCGGGAATTCCAACTTTTCCCACAAGAATTCCACCTTTTCCTTTAGAAATTCCAGCTTTTCCTGCAGGAATTCCATCTTTTTTGCTGGGAATTCCAACTTTTCCCACAAGAATTCCACCTTTTCCTTTAGAAATTCCAGCTTTTCCTGCAGGAATTCCATCTTTTTTGCTGGGAATTCCAACTTTTCCCAGAAAAATCCCAACTTTTCCCAGAAAAAATCCCAAATTTCCCCCCTCCAATCCCGCCTTTCCCACACAGGAATTCCGCCCTTTTTGGCAGGAATTCCGGTGAGAATTCCGAGGGGAATTCCCGGTTTTTTTCCCGAAATTCCTGACCTGGAGGCGCCGGGTTTGAGGCCGAGCACGTCCCAGCTGTCCTTGCTGGCGCGGATCCGTCGGATCGCGTCCGCCTGTTCCCGCGTGAATCCGACTCCGGAGCCGCCCGCCGGACGCTTCCCGCCGTTCTCGCACAGCTCCACGATGGCCGAGTAGAAATTCTGGGAATGCCCCACACGATTCCCAAGGTTTTCCCAGGAAAAAACAGGATTCCATGCCCAAAACATCCCCAAAGTCCCCAAAATCCCAAAAATCCCGGATCCAATTCCCCAAAATCCCCAAAATCCCAAGAATCATGGACCCATTTCCCAGAAATCCCAGATCCAATTCCCAGAAATCCCAAAAATCACAGATCCAATTCCCAAAAATCCCAAAAATCCCCAAACTCCCAAAAATCCCAAAAATCATGGACCCATTTCCCAAAAATCCCAGATCCAATTCCCAAAAATCCGTTCCCCAAAATTCCTGAATCCATTTCCCAAAAATCTTGAATCCATTCCCCAGAATTCCCAGATCCCCTTCCCAAAAATCCCAGATTGATTTCCCAAAAATCCCAAAAAGTCCCAAAAAATCTCAAAAATCCTGGATCCATTTCCCAAGAAAATGAAAAATCCCAAAAAGTAAAAAATTCCTGGATTAATTTCCCAAAAATCCCAAAAATCCCAGATCCAAGTCCCAAAAAATCCCTAAAATCCCAAAATTCCAAAAATCCCGGATCCCCTTCCTCACCTTTCAACACCAAAATTCCCGGATCCATTTCCCAAAAATCCCAAAAATCATGGATCCAATTCCCAAAAATCCCCCAAATCCAAAAATCCCAAAAATCCCCAAAATCCCCAAAATCATGGATCCATTTCCCAGAAATCCCAGATCCAATTCCCAAAAATCCCAAATTCAATTCCTAAAAATCCCCAAAATCCCAAAAATCTCCAAAATCCCAAAAATCATGGACCCATTTCCCAGAAATCCCGGATCCAATCCCCAAAATTCCTGGATCCATTTCCCAAAAATCTTGAATCCATTTCCCAGAATTCCCAGATCCCCTTCCCAAAAATCCCAGAACCATTTCCCAAAGCTCCCAGCCACAATTCCCAGAAAATCCCGGATCCACTTCCCGAAAATCCCTAAAATCCCCAAATTCCCGGCTCGTTTCCATTTCCCGCCGTTCTCGCACAGCTCCACGATGGCCGAGTAGAAATTCTGGGAATGCCCCACACGATTCCCAAGGTTTTCCCAGGAAAAAACAGGATTCCATGCCCAAAACATCCCCAAAGTCCCCAAAATCCCAAAAATCCCGGATCCAATTCCCCAAAATCCCCAAAATCCCAAGAATCATGGACCCATTTCCCAGAAATCCCAGATCCAATTCCCAGAAATCCCAAAAATCACAGATCCAATTCCCAAAAATCCCAAAAATCCCCAAACTCCCAAAAATCCCAAAAATCATGGACCCATTTCCCAAAAATCCCAGATCCAATTCCCAAAAATCCGTTCCCCAAAATTCCTGAATCCATTTCCCAAAAATCTCGAATCCATTTCCCAGAATTCCCAGATCCCCTTCCCAAAAATCCCAGATTGATTTCCCAAAAATCAAAAAAAATCTCAGAACCATTTCCCAAAACTCCCAGCCAAAATTCCCAAAAAATCCCGGGTCTACTTCCCAAAAATCCCTAAAATCCCAAAAATCCCTAAATCCCATAATTCCCGGTTCCGTTTCCATTTCCCGCCGTTCTCGCACAGCTCCACGATGGCCGAGTAGAAATTCTGGGAATGCACCACACAATTCCCAAAGTTTTCCCAGGAAAAAAAAGGATTCGATGACCAAAACATCCCAAAAATCCCAAAAATGCTGGATCCAATTCCCAAAAATCACAAAAATCCCAAAGATCCCAAAATCCCCAAAATCCCAAAAATCATGGACCCATTTCCCAGAAATCCCGGATCCAATTCCCAGAAATCCCAGATTCAATTCCCAGAAATCCCAGATCCATTTCCCAAAAATCCCAAAAATCCCGGATCCAATTCCCAAAAATCCCAAAAATCCCAAAATCCCAAAAATCCCAAAAATCATGGACCCATTTCCCAGAAATCCCGGATCCAATACCCAAAAATCCGTTTCCCAAAATTCCTGGATCCATTTCCCAAAAAACCGAAAAATCCCTAAAAGTCCAAAATTCCCGAATCCACTTCCCAAAAATCCCATTTCGATTTCCCAAAAATCCCAAAAATCCCAAAAATCCCAAAAATCCTGAAAATCCAAAAAATCCCAAAAATCCCAAAAACCCCGGATCCAATTCCCAAAAATCCCCAAAATCCCAAAAATCCCAAAAATTTCAAAAAATCCCAAAAATCATGGACCCATTTCCCAGAAATCCCAGATCCAATTCCCAAAAATTCCAATCCCACTTCCCAAAAATCCCAAAAATCCCAAAAATCCCAAAAATTCCAAGAATCCCAAAAATCATGGACCCATTTCCCAGAAATCCCAGATCCAATTCCCAAAAATCCCAGATTCAATTCCCAAAATTCTATTTCCCAAAAATCTTGAATCCATTTCCCAGAATTCCCAGATCCACTTCCCAAAAATCCCAATCCCACTTCCCAAAAATCCCTAAAATCCCAAAAATCCCCAAAATCCCAAAAATCATGGACCCATTTCCCAGAAATCCCGGATCCAATTCCCAAAAATCCCAGATTGATTTCCCAAAAATTCATTTCCCAAAATTCCTGGATCCATTTCCCAAAAATCTCGACTCCATTTCCCAGAATTCCCAGATCCCCTTCCCAAAAATCCCAGAATCATTTCCCAAAAATCCCAAAACATCCCAGAAATTTCAGAACCATTACCCAGAAATCCCGGAACCATTTCCCAAAACTCCCAGCCACAATTCCCAAATAATCCCAGATCCAATTCCCCAAAATCCCTAAATCCCAGAATTCCCGGCTCCGTTTCCATTTCCCGCCGTTCTCGCACAGCTCCACGATGGCCAAGTAGAAATTCTGGGAATGCCCAACACGATTCCCAAGGTTTTCCCAGGAAAAAACAGGATTCCATGCCGAAAAAAATCCCAAAAATCCGAAAAAAATCCCAAAAATCCAAAAAAATCCCCCAAAATCCCCAAAATCCCAAAAATCCAAAAAATCACGGATCCATTTCCCAGAAATCCCAGATCCAATTCCCAGAAATCCCAGATCCATTTCCCAAAAATCCCAAAAATCACGGATCCAATTCCCAAAAATCCCCAAAATCCCAAAAATCCCCAAAATCGCAAAAAATCCCCCAAATCCCCAAAATCCCCCAAATCCCAAAAATCATGGACCCATTTCCTAGAAATCCCGGATCCAATTCCCAAAAATCCATTTCCCAAAAATCTTGAATCCATTTCCCAGAATTCCCAGATCTCCTTCCCAAAAATCCCAGATCGATTTCCCAAAAATCCCAAATAATCCCAGAACCAATTCCCAAAAATCCCGGAACCAATTCCCAAAACTCCCAGCCACAATTCCCAAAAAATCCCGGATCCACTTCCCAAAAATCCCTAAAATCCCAAAATTCCCGGCTCGTTTCCATTTCCCGCCGTTCTCGCACAGCTCCACAATGGCCGAGTAGAAATTCTGGGAATGCCCCACACAGTTCCCAAGGTTTTCCCAGGAAAAAACAGGATTCGATGCCGAAAAAGATCCCAAAAATCCCTGAAATCCCAAAAATCCCCAAAATCCCAGATCCAATTCCCAAAAAATCCCAGATCCAATTCCCAAAAATCCCAAAAATCCCAAAAACCCCAAAAATCCCAAAAATCTCAAAAAACCTGGATCCATTTCCCAAAAAAAAAAGAAAAATCCCAAAAAGTCCAAAATTCCTGGATTAATGTCCCAAAAATCCCAAAAATCCCAGATCCAATTCCCAAAAAATCCCTAAAATCCCAAAATTCCAAAAATCCCGGATCCCCTTCCTCACCTTTCAACACCAAAATTCCCGGATCCATTTCCCAAAAATCCCAAAAATCCAAAAAGTCCCAAAAATCCCAAAAATCGTGGACCCATTTGCTAAAAATCCCAAAAATCCCAAATCCCCTTCCTCAGCTTTCAATGCCAAAAATCCTCAAAATCCCAAAAATCCCCAAAATCATGGACCCATTTCCCAGAAATCCCAGATCCAATTCCCAAAATTCCCAGATTGATTTCCCAAAAATCCCAAAAAATCTCAGAAATCCCAGAAACAATTCCCAAAAATCCCAGATCCAATTCCCAAAAATCCATTTCCCAAAATTCCTGGATCCATTTCCCAAAAATCTTGAATCCATTTCCCAGAATTCCCAGATCCCCTTCCCAAAAATCCCAGATTGATTTCCCAAAAATCCCAAATAATCTGAGAAATCCCAGAACCAATTCCCAAAAAAATCCCCGATCCAGTTCCCGAAAATCCCCAAAATCCCAAAATTCCCAGCTCCGTTTCCATTTCCCGCCGTTCTCGCACAGCTCCACCACGGCCGAGTAGAAATTCTGGGAATTCCCAACACAGTTCCCAAGGTTTTCCCAGGAAAAAACAGGATTCCATGCCCAAAAATCCAAAAAATCCCAGAAATCCCAAAAATCCCAGATCCAATTCTCAAAAAATCCCAGATCCAATTCCCAAAAATCCCCAAAATCCCAAAAATCCCAAAAACCCCAAAAATCCCAAAAATCCTGGATCCATTTCCCAAGAAAATGAAAAATCCCAAAAAGTCAAAAATTCCTGGATTAATTTCCCAAAAATCCCCAAAATCCCGGATCCAATTCCCAAAAAATCCCTAAAATCCCAAAATTCCAAAAATCCCGGATCCCCTTCCTCAGCTTTCAGTGCCAAAATCCCGGATCCATTTCCCAAAAATGCCAGAAATCATGGATCCAATTCCCAAAAATCCCCCAAATCCCAAAAATCCCGGAACCATTTCCCAGAAATCCCAAAAATCCCGGATCCAATTCCCAAAAATCCCCAAAATCCCCAAAATCCCAAAAATCCCAAAAATCCGGGATCCATTTCCCAAAAATCCCAAAAATCCCATTTCCACTTCCCAAAAATCCCAATCCCACTTCCCAAAAATCGCAAAAATCCCAAAAATCCCCAAAATCCCGAAAATCATGGACCCATTTCCTAGAAATCCCGGATCCAATTCCCAAAAATCCCAGATCCAATTCCCAAAAATCCACTTCCCAAAATTCCTGGATCCATTTCCCAAAAATCTTGAATCCATTTCCCAGAATTCCCAGATCCCCTTTCCAAAAATCCCAGATTGATTTCCCAAAAATCCCAAAAAATCCCAGACCCAATTCCCAAAAATCCCAGATCCCATTCCCAGCCTTTCAATCCCAAAAATCGCGAATCAAATCCCCAAAATTCCCGGATCCAATTCCCAAAATTCCCAATCCCACTGCCCAACGCCCTCCTCCCACAGGGATTCCCATCCGGAATTCCGGGAATTCGCACCTGGAACATCTCCTGGAATTCCCACCTGACTCTGATCTGAAATGTCCTGAATCCCCGGCTCCACCCGTCCATTTATCCCAAATTCCCACCCCAAATCCCACCCAGAATTCCCAGAATTCCCACCTGGAACATCTCCCAGTATTCCCACCTGGAATTCCCGCCCGGAATTCCGGGAATTCCCACCTGGAACATCTCCTGGATGCCCTCCCCGCTCTGGGCCGATGTCTCCCAGTAGAGGAACCCGCCCATCCATTTATCCCAAATTCCCACCCAGAATTCCCAGAATTCCATGAGGAACATCTCCGGGAATTCCCAATGGATTCAAACCCAGAATTCCCGCCCGGAATTCCGGGAATTCCCACCTGGAACATCTCCTGGAATTGTCACCTGACTCTGATCTGAAATGTCCTGAATCCCCGGCTCCATCCATCCATTTATCCCAAATTCCCACCCGGAATTCCAGGAATTCCATGAGGAACATCTCCCGGAGTTCCCGATGGATCCAAACCCATAATTCCTGCCTGGAATTCCGGGAATTCCCAACAGACACATCTCCCGGAATTCCCACCCGACTCCGATCCGAGCTCTCCTGAATCCCCGGCTCCTCCCATCCATTTATCCCAAATTCCCACCCAGAATTCCCAGAATTCCATGAGGAACATCTCCCGTAATTCCCGATGGATCCAAACCCAGAATTCCCGCCCGGAATTCCGGGAATTCCCACCTGGAACATCTCCTGGATGCCCTCCCCGCTCTGGGCCGATGTCTCCCAGTAGAGGAAGCCGCCCGTCCCTTTATCCCAAATCCTGACCGGAATTCCATGAGGAACATCTCCTGGAGTTCCAGATGGATTCAGACCCGTAATTCCCACCCGGAATTCCGGGAATCCGCACCTGGAACATCTCCTGGATGCCCTCCCCGCTCTGGGCCGATGTCTCCCAGTAGAGGAACCCGCGGCTCTCGGCCCAGAGCCGCCCCTCGCTCTCGTCCACCACCCGCAGCTTCCCCGCGTCCACCTGAGAAACAGACGGAAACAGACGGAAAATGGGATCGGAACAGCCGGAAAAACAGCCGGAAAATGGGATGGGAACAGTTGGAAAACAGCTGGAAAACGGCCAGAAAATGGGATGAGAACAGGCAGGAAAACGGACGGAAAATGGGATGGGAACGGCCGGAAAACAGCCAGAAAAAGGCTGGGAAACAGGATCGGAACAGCCGGGAAACAGCCGGGAAACAGGATGGGAACAGGCGGGAAAACAGCTGGAAAATGGGATGGGAACAGCTGGAAAAAGGCTGGGAAAACAGGATAGGAACAGGCGGGAAAACAGCCGGAAAACTGCCAGGAAAAGGGGATAGGAACAGGCGGGAAAACAGCCGGGAAATGGGATGGGAACAGCTGGAAAAAGGCCGGGAAAAGGGGATAGGAACAGGCGGGAAAACAGCCGGGAAATGGGATGAGAACAGCAGGAAAACAGCTGGAAAATGGATGGGAAAAGGCGGGAAAACAGCTGGAAAATGGATGGGAAAAGGTGGGAAAACAGCCAGAAAAGGGAAACGGGAACTGCCAGGAAAGGGGATGGGAACAGCTGGAAAAACAGCTAGGAAACGGGGATGGGAACAGCCGGGAAAATAGCCGGAAAAAGGCTGGAAAAACAGGATGGGAACAGGTGGGAAAACAGCCGGAAAACAGCTGGAAAATGGGATGGGAACAGCCGGAAAAAGGCCAGGAAAACAGGATGGGAACAGGCAGGAAAAGAGCTGGAAAAAAGGATGGGAACAGGCAGGAAAACAGCTGGAAAATGGGATGGGAACAGCTGGAAAAGGGGATGGGAACAGGCAGAAAACAGGATGGGAACAGGTGGGAAAACAGACAGAAAACAGCCGGAAAACAGGATGGGAACAGGCAGGAAAACAGCTGGAAAATGGAACAGGAACAGCTGGAAAAGGGAATGGGAACAGGCAGAAAACGGGATGGGAACAGGTGGGAAAACAGCTGGAAAAGGGGATGGGAACAGCTGGAAAAGGGAAATGGGAACAGCCGGGAAAGGGGATGGGAAGAGCCGGAAAAACAGCGGGAAAATGGGATGGGAACAGACAGAAAACAGCCGGAAAAACAGACGGAAAATCGGATGGGAACAGGCAGAAAAACAGACGGAAAACAGCCGGGAAATGGGATGGGAACAGCTGGAAAATGGGATGGGAACAGACAGAAAACAGCCGGAAAAACAGACGGAAAATCGGATGGGAACAGGCGGGAAAACAGCTGGAAAACAGCCGGGAAAACGGGATGGGAACAGGTGGGAAAACAGCTGGAAAATGGGATGGGAATGGCAGGAAAAGGGGATGGGAACAGGCAGAAAACGGGATGGGAACAGGCGAGAAAACAGCCAGAAAATGGAACAGGAACAGCCGGAAAAGGGAATGGGAAAAGGCAGAAAACAGGATGGGAACAGGCGGAAAAACAGCGGGAAACTGGGATGGGAACAGGTGGGAAAACAGCTGGAGAAGGCGATGGGAACAGGCAGGAAAACAGCCAGAAAAAGGCCGGGAAAATGGGATGGGAACAAGTGGAAAAACAGCTGGAAAAACAGCTGGAAAAAGGCCGGGAAAAGGGGATTGGAACAGGCGGGAAAACAGCAGGAAAACAGCCAGAAAATGGGATCAGAACAGGCGGGAAAACAGCTGGAAAAGGGGATGGGAACAGGCGGAAAACCAGCAGGAAAACAGCCGGAAAACGGGATGGGAACAGCTGGGAAAACAGTGGGAAAATGGGATGGGAACAGGCGGTAAAACTGCGGGAACATGGAACAGGAACAGCTGGAAAAGGGGATGGGAACAGGCAGAAAACGGGATGGGAACAGGCGGGAAAACAACGGGAAAATTGGATGGGAACAGGCAGGAAAACAGCCGGAAAACAGCTCGGAAATGGGATGGGAACAGCTGGAAAACAGCCAGAAAAACAGGATGGGAACAGGCGGGAAAACAGCTGGAAAACAGCTGGAAAAGGGGATGGGAACAGGCGGGAAAACAGATGGAAAATGGGATGGGAACAGCCGGAAAAGGAAATGGGAACAGCTGGAAAAACAGCTGGAAAACAGCCGGGAAAACGGGATGGGAACAGCCGGAAAGCAGCCAGAAAAAACAGGATGGGAACAGGCGGGAAAACAGCTGGAAAACAGCTGGAAAATGGGATCAGAACAGGGGGGAAAACAGCAGGAAAATGGGATGGGAACAGCCAGGAAAACAGCCGGAAAACAGCTGGGAAAACATGATGGGAACAGCCAGAAAACAGGATGGGAACAGCCGGGAAAACAGCCGGAAAAAAGGGGTGGGAACAGCTGGAAAAACAGCTGGAAAACAGCCGGGAAAAGGGGATGAGAACAGCCGGGAAAACAGTGGGAAAATGGGATGGGAACAGGCAGGAAAACAGCTGGAGAAAGGCCGGGAAAAAAGGATCGGAAAAAGTGGGAAAACAGCGGGAAAATGGGATGAGAACAGGCGGGAAAACAACCGGAAAATGGAACAGGAACAGGCGGAAAAGGGAATGGGAACAGACAGAAAACAGGATGGGAACAGGCAGAAAAACAGCCGGGAAACTGGGATGGGAACAGGTGGGAAAACAGCTGGAAAAGGGGATGGGAACAGGCGGAAAACCAGCAGGAAAACAGCCGGAAAACGGGATGGGAACAGGCGGGAAAACAGCCGGAAAACAGGACGGGAACAGCCGGGAAAGGGGATGGGAACAGCTGGAAAAACAGCAGGAAAATGGGATGGAAACAGGCAGAAAATGGGATGGGAACATGCAGAAAAACAGCCAGGAAAACAGCTGGAAAACAGCCGGGAAAATGGGATGGGAACAGGTGGGAAAACAGCTGGAAAATGGGATGGGAACAGCTGGAAAAGGGAATGGGAACAGCTGGAAAACGGGTTCGGAACAGGTGGGAGAACAGCCAGAAAACAGCTGGAAAATAGGATGGGAACAGGCGGGAAAACAGCCGGAAAAAGGCTGGGAAAATGGGATGGGAACAGCTGGAAAAGGAGATGGGAACAGGCAGAAAAACAGCCGGGAAAAGGCAATGGTAACAGCTGGAAAACAGCCGGGAAAAAGGGGATGGGAACAGGCGGGAAAACAGCGGGAAAATGGGATGGGAACAGCTGGAAAACAGCTGGAAAATGGAACAGGAACGGCTGGAAAAGGGGATGGGAATAGCCGGAAAAGGGGATGGGAACAGCAGGAAAATGGGATGGGAACGGCAGAAAAAACAGCCGGAAAACAGCCGGGAAAACAGGATGGGAACAGGCGGGAAAACAGCTGGAAAAAGGCTGGGAAAATGGGATGGGAACAGCCGGGAAAACAGCCAGAAAATGGGATGGGAACAGGCGGGAAAAAGGGATGGGAACAGGCGGAAAAAAAGCCGGGAAAGCAGCTGGAAAACAGCCGGAAAACAGCTGGGAAAACGGGATGGGAACAGGTGGGAAAACAGCCGGAAAAGGGAATGGGAATGGCTGGAAAATGGGATGGGAACAAGCAGAAAACAGGATGGGAACAGGCAGGAAAACAGCTGGAAAAGAGCCGGAAAACGGGATGGGAACAGCAGGAAAAGGGGATGGGAACAGATTGACTCCGGAATTCCGTGAATTCCGTGAATTCCGTGAACGATCCCGCGTTTTCCCGGACCTTGTTGGCGCAGACGGCGACGACGACGCTGTCGAGGCTGCCCTGGGGCCCGAGCTCGCGGCGCATCTCGGCCAGCCACGAGTCCAGCGCCTCGAAGGAGTCCTTGGAGCCCACGTCGTACACCAGCAGCACCCCCTGCGTGTCCCGGTAAAACTCGTTCCGCACCTGGAAACACCGGGAAAATATTCCAGAGGGAATTCCAGAGGGAAAAATTCCGGGGGAAAAATGAGGGGGAAAAAAGAAAAAAATTCAGGGGAAAAGTTCCAGGGAAAAGGGAAATTCAGCCCCTGCATGTCCCGGTAAAACTCGTTCCGCACCTGGAAAACATTCCGGGGGCAATTCCAGAGGGAAAAATTCCAGGGGAAAATGAGGGGAAAAATGAGGGGGAAATGAGGGGGAAAAATAAAAAAATTTAGGAAAAACAACCAAGAAAATAAAAATTCAGGGGGGAAAAATCAAGAAAAAAAATGATGGAAAAAAATTCAGGTAAAAAATTTAGGGAGTAAAATATGGGGGGAAAAAACTCCAGGGGAAAAAATTCCAGGGGAAAAATTCAGGAGAAAAGAGAAAAAAAATTCAGGAAAAAAAAAATTAAGAAAATAAAAATTTAGGGGAAGAAATTTAGGGAAAAAAACGAAGTGAAAAAATCAGGGGGAAAAAAATCAGGAAAAAAATGGAGGAAAAAATATCTGGGGAAAAAATTCCGGGAAAAGAGAAATTCAGCCCCTGCGTGTCCCGGTAAAACCCGTTACGCACCTGGAAAACATTCCGGGGGGAATTCCAGAGGGAATTCCAGAGGGAAAAAATTCCAGGGGAAAATAAGGGGAAAAAACCAAAAAAAAATTCAGGAAAAAATTCCAGGGAAAAGTGAAATTCAGCCCCTGCGTGTCCCGGTAAAACTCGTTCCGCACCTGGAAAACATTCCGGGGGGAATTCCAGAGGGAAAAAATTCCAGGGAAAAATAAGGGGAAAAAAGAAAAAAAAATCAGGAAAAAATTAAAGGGAAAAGTGAAATTCAGCCCCTGCGTGTCCCGGTAAAACTCGTTCCGCACCTGGAAAACATTCCGGGAAAATATTCCAGAGGGAATTCCAGAGGGAAAAATTCCGGGGGAAAAATGAGGGGGGAAAAAGAAAAAAAAATCATTAAAAAATTCCAGGGAAAAGAGAAATTCAGCCCCTGCGTGTCCCGGTAAAACTCGTTCCGCACCTGGAAAACATTCCGGGAAAATATTCCAGAGGGAATTCCAGAGGGAAAAATTCCGGGGGAAAAATGAGGGGGGAAAAAGAAAAAAAAATCATTAAAAAATTCCAGGGAAAAGAGAAATTCAGCCCCTGCGTGTCCCGGTAAAACTCGTTCCGCACCTGGAAAACATTCCGGGGGGAATTCCAGAGGGGAATTCCAGAGGGAAAAAATTCCAGGGAAAAATGAGGGGGAAAAAATAAAAAAAATTGGGAAAATAATATAAGAAAATAAAAATTCTGGGGAAAGAATGCAAGGAAGAAAAGATGGAAAAAAATTCAAGGAAAAAATGGAGGGAAAAAATTCAGGAGTAAAATATGGGGGGAAAAAATTCCAGGGAAAAAAAATCCAGGGGAAAAATGAGGGGGAAAAAAGAAAAAAATTCAGGAAAAAAATACAAGAAAATAAAAATTCAGGGGAAGAAATTTAGGGAAAAAACAAAGGGAAAAAATCAGGGGGAAAAAATTCAGGAACAAAATGGAGGAAAAAAATCAGAGGGAATAAATTTGGGGGGAAAAGAAGTCATGGAAAAAATTCCAGGGAAAGGAGAAATTCAGCCCCTGCGTGTCCCAGTAAAACTCGTTCCGCACCTGGAAAACACCGGGAAAAATTCCAGAGGGAAAAATGAGGGGGAAAATGAGGGGGAAAAATGAGGGGGAAAAAAGAAAAAAAATCAGGAAAAAAATACAAGAAAATAAAAATTCAGGGGAGAAAATTCAAGAAAAAAAATGATGGAAAAAATTCAAGGAGAAAAATTTGGGGGGAAAAAAGTCTTGGAAAAAATTTCAGGGGAAAAATTCAGGAGAAAAGAGAAAAAAAATTCAGGAAAAAAAATTAAGAAAATAAAAATTCAGGGGAAGAAATTTAGGGAAAAACCAAAGGGGAAAAAACTCAGGAAAAAAATGGAGGAAAAAATCAGAGGGAAAAAATTCCGGGAAAAAATTCCAGAGGGAAAAAATTCCAGGGGAAAAATAAGGGGGAAAAAAAGAAAAAAATTCTGGGGAAAGGTTCCATGGAAAAGAGAAATTCAGCCCCTGCGTGTCCCGGTAAAACTCGTTCCGCACCTGGAAAACATTCCGGGAAAAAATTCCAGAGGGGAATTCCAGAGGGAAAAAATTCCAGGGGAAAAATGAGGGGGAAAAAAGAAAAAAATTCAGGAAAAAAATACAAGAAAATAAAAATTCAGGGGAAAGAATTCAAGGAAAAAAAAAGATGGAAAAAATTCAGGGAAAAAATTCAGAGAGAAAAATTTGGGGGAGAAAAAAGTCATGGAAAAAATTCCAGGGGAAAAATGAGGGGGGAAAAAAGAAAAAAAATTCAAGAAAAAAAAATTAAGAAAATAAAAATTCAGGGGAAGAAATTTAGGGAAAAAACGAAGGGAAAAAAATCAGGGGGAAAAAATTCAGGAAAAAAATGGAGGGAAAAAAATCAGAGAGAAAAAATTTGGGGAAAAAAAATCTGGGGAAAAAATGAGGGGGAAAAAAGAAAAAAATTCAGGAAAAAATACAAGAAAATAAAAATTCAGGGGAAAAAAATCAAGGAAAAAAAGATGGAAAAAATTAAAGGAAAAAATTTCAGGGAAAAAAATTTAGGGAGTAAAATATGGAGGGAAAAAATTCCAGGGGAAAAAATTCCAGGGGAAAAAATTCCAGGGGAAAAATGAGGGGGAAAAAAAGAAAAAAAAATCAGGAAAAAAAATTAAGAAAATAAAAATTCAGGAGAAGAAATTTAGGGAAAAAACGAAGGGAAAAAAATCAGGGGGAAAAAATTCAGGAAAAAAATGGAGGGAAAAAAATCAGAGGGAAAAAATTTGGGGGGAAAAAAAATGGAAAAAATTCAGGGGAAAAAATTCCATGGAAAAGAGAAATTCAGCCCCTGCATGTCCCGGTAAAACTCGTTCCGCACCTGGAAAACATTCCGGGAAAAAATTCCAGGGGGGAATTCCAGAGGGAAAAAATTCCAGGGGAAAATGAGGGGGAAAAAGGAAAAAATTCAGGAAAAAAAATACAAGAAAATAAAAATTTAGGGGAAGAAATTCAAGAAAAAAAAAGATGGAAAAAATTCAGGGAGAAAAATTTCAGGGGAAAAAAAGTCATGGAAAAAATTCCAGGGGAAAAATTCAGGAAAAAAAAAAATTAAGAAAAAAAAAATTCAGGGGAAGAAATTTAGGATAAAAACGAAGGGAAATAAATCAGGGGGAAAAAAAATCAGGAAAAAAAAGCAGGGGGAAAAAAATCAGGGAAAAAATCACTGGAAAAAAAAAAAAAACAGAAAAAATTCAGCGAAAAATATCAGGGAAAAAAAAAAACAGGGAAAACATACAGAAATAAAAAATCCAGGAAAGATTAAAATTCAGGGAAAAAAATCAGGGAAAAAGAAAATCAAGGGAAAAAACAGAGGAAAATTCAGTGTGGAAAAAAAAAAGGGGAAAAAATAGGGGGAAAAATGGGAATAAAACAGGGAAAAAGAAAATCCAGGAAAAAAAAAAACAGGGAAAAAATTCAGGGTAAAAATATCAGGGAAAAAAAATGGGAAAAAATACATAAATAAAAATCCATGAAAAATTAAAATTCAGGGAAAAAAATCAGGGAAAAAGAAAATCCAGGAAAAAAACTGGGAAAAAAATCAGGAAACAAAAAAAAAAAAAACAGGGAAAAAAATGGATCCAAGAGCAGGAATGGAAGGAAATTCCCTGGAAAAAAGGAGGAATTTGGGAAAGAATTCCCAGAAAATCCCTGGGAACGTTCAAGGAAAATTTGGGAAGACGCCGAGGGAGGAATTCCCGATTTTCCAGGGGAATTTTGGGAATTCTGACCTCGTAGAAGAAGGGGTGTCCGGCCATGTCGAAAATGTTCACTTTGATCTCCCGGTCCCGGATCTGCACCCTGGAAAAGGCGTCGGAATTCCGGGAATTCCGGGAAAACCCACTCAGAATCTGGGAATTCCCCATGGATTTGGAATCTCTGGGTTCTGGAGTGGGAATTCCAGGAATTCCAGGAATTCCGGGAAAACCCATTCGGAATCCGGGAATTCCCCACGGATTTGGAATCTCTGGGTTCCGGGTTGGGAATTCTGGGAAAACCCCCTCGGAATCCGGGAATTCCCCATGGATTTGGAATCTCTGGGTTGTGAGGTGGGAATTCCAGGAATTCCGGGAAAACCCCCTCGGAATCCGGGAATTCCCCACGGATTTGGAGTCTCTGGGTTCTGGAGTAGGAATTCTGGGAATTCCGGGAATTCCGGGAAAACCCCCTCGGAATCCGGGAATTCCTCAAGGATTTGGAGTCTCTGGGTTCCGGGGTGGGAATTCCGGGAATTCCGGGAAAACCCCCTCAGAATCCAGGAATTCCTCAAGGATTTGGAGCCTCTGAGTTGTTATTCCCGTTGTTATTCCCGTTGTTATTCCCGTTGTTATTCCCATTATCCCCATTATTATTCCTGCCATTCCTGTTGTCATTCCCGTTGTCATTCCCGTTGTTATTCCCGTTGTTATTCCCGTTGTTATTCCCGTTATTCCCATTGCGATTCCCGTTGTCATTCCCATTGTTATTCCCGTTGTTATTCCCGTTGTTATTCCCAAAATCCCAATCCCACTCCCCCCACCATTCCCGTTACCCCATTCCCATTATTCCCGTTGTCATTCCCGTTGTCATTCCCATTATTCCCATTGTTATTCCCATTATCATTCCCATTATTCCCGTTGTCATTCCCATTCTTATTCCCGTCATTATTCCCGTTATCCCAATCCCATTATCCCTGCCATTCCCATAATTCCCATTATTCCCATCATTATTCCCGTCGTTATTCCCAAAATCCCAATCCCACTCGCCCCACCTTTCCCGCTACTCCATTCCTGTTACTCCCATTGTCATTCCCGTTGTCATTCCCATTATTCCTATTGTTATTCCCATCGTTATTCCTGTTGTCATTCCCATTATTCCCGTTGTCGTTCCCATCGTTATTCCCGTTGTTATTCCCATTATTCCCATTGTGATTCCCGTCATTTTTCCCATTGCTATTCCCATTATCCCCATTGTCATTCCCATGATTCCCATTGTTATTCCCGTTGTCATTCCCATTCTTATTCCCATTATTCCCACTGTGATTCCCATTGTTATCCCCATTGTTATTCCCATTGTTATTCCCATTGCTATTCCCATTATTCCCATTATTCCCGTCATTATTCCCGTCATTATTCCCGTCATTATTCCCCTCATTATTCCCATTGTAATTCCCACCATTCCCATTGTTATTCCCACAATGCCGCCGTTATTCCCGTCATCCCGTTGTTATTCCCAAAATCCCAATCCCATTACCCCCGCCATTCCCGTTACCCCATTCCCGTTATTCCCATTGTTATTCCTGTTGTCATTCCCATTATTCCCATTATTCCCATTGTTATTCCCGTTGTTATTCCTGTTGTTATTCCCCGTTGTCATTCCCATTATTCCCATTATTCCCATTTTCCCGTTATTCCTGTTATCCCCGTTATTCCCATTATTCCCGTTATTCCCATTATCCCGTTATCCCCGTTATTCCTGTTATCCTGTTATTCCCGTTATCCCGTTATTCCTGTTATTCCCATTATCCTATTATTCCCATTATCCCGTTATCCCCGTTATTCCCATTATTCCCGTTTTTCCTGTTATCCTATTATTCCTGTAATTCCCATTATTCCCATTATCCCGTTATTCCCGATATTCCCGTTATCCCGTTATGCCCGTTATTCCCGTTATTCCCATTATCCAGTTATCCCATTATTCCTGTTATCCTGTTATTCCAATTTTCCCATTATTCCTGTTATTCCCATTATTCCCGTTATCCCGTTATCCCATTATTCCTGTTATTCCCAATGTTCCCGTTATTCCCGTATTCCCATTTTTCCCATTAACCCGTTATTCCCATTATCCCATTATTCCTGTTATTCCCATTATTCCCGTTATCTCATTATCCTATTATTCCTGTTATTCCCATTGTCCTCGTTATTCCCGTTATTCCCGTTATTCCCGTTATTCCCATTACTCCCGTTATCCCATTATTCCGTTATTCCCATTGTTCCCGTTATCCCCGTTATCCCGTTATTTCCGTTATCCCGTTATTCCCATTATCCTGTTATTCCAATTATCCCATTATTCCTGTTATTCCCATTGTTCCTGTTTTTCCCGTTATCCCATTATTCCCATTATTCCCATTACCCCCATTATCCCCGTTATCCCCATTATCCAGTTATCCCCTTATTCCCGTTATTCCCGTTATCCCATTATCCTGTTATTCCCGTTATCCCCATTATTCCCGTTATCCCGTTATTCCCGTTAGCCCCGTTATTCCCATTATTCCCATTATCCAATTATCCCATTATTCCCGATATTCCCATTATCCCATTATTCCCGTTATCCCATTATTCCTGTTATCCCATTATCCTATTATTCCTGTTATTCCCATTGTTCCCATTATCCCTTTATTCCCGTTATCCCGTTATACCCGTTGTCCTGTTATTCCCGTTATTCCCATTATCCCATTATCCCGATATTCCCGTTATCCCGATATTCCCATTATCCCGTTATTTCTGTTATCCTGTTATTCCAACTATCCCATTATTCCCGTTATTCCCATTATTCCCATTTTTCCCGTTATCCCGTTATTCCTGTTATTCCCATTATTGCCATTATCCCATTATTCCAATTATTCCCATTATCCCGTTATTCCCATTATTCCATTATCCTGTTATTCTCATTATCCCATTATTCCCATTATCCCGTTATTCCCGTTATCGCCATCGTTATTCCCGTTATCCTGTTATTCCCATTATTCCTGTTATCCCCGTTATTCCAAATATCCCATTATCCCATTATTCCCATTATTCCCATTTTTCCCGTTATCCCGTTATTCCTGTTATTCCCATTATTCCCGTTATCCCATTATTCCAATTATTCCCATTATCCCGTTATCCCGTTATTCCCATTTTTCCATTATCCTGTTATTCTCATTATCCCATTATTCCCATTATCCTGTTATCCCATTATTCCCGTTATCGCCATCATTATTCCCGTTATCCCGTTATCCCGTTATTCCCATCATTATTCCCATTGTTATTCCCATTATTCCCACTGTTATTCCCGTTATTCCCACCGTTATTCCCGTTATTCCCACCATTATTCCCACCGTAATTCCCATCGTTATTCCCGCCGTTATTCCCGGATTTTCTCACTTGGTGACTCCGTAGTCGATGCCGATGGTGGCCAGGTACTTGGGCACGAACCTCTTCTCGCAGTACCGCTTGATGATGCAGCTCTGCGCGGCAAAACACCCCCAAATTCCATTAAAAAATTCCCAAAAAAACTCCCAAAAAAATTCCCAAAAAATTCCCAAAAATTCCCCGCTTCCCCCATCAGCCAATCAAATCCGCGCTCCGCCTGTCAATCACCGCCTAGCCACGCCCACCTCCCCACACAGCCAGAACAACCAATCAGCGCAAAGCGCCCGCCTCTCCGCGCCGCTGATTGGCCAGCGCGGCTGCCCGTCACCTCCTTGCAGCCAATGGCAGCGCCTCACCTTGCCCACCTCGGCGTTGCCCATGGAGATGACTTTAACCCGCAGCGCCTTGCGCGGCTCCTTCCGCTTGGCCGCGCTCGCCTCCATGGCGGCTGCCGGGCCGGGGCCGGTTCTGCCGCCGGTTCTGCCGCCGGTTCCGCCTCCGCCGGCGGTGCCGGTGCCGGTTCCGGTGCCGGTGGGAGCGGTGGAAGGCGAATTGGGGGAGGCGGCGGCGATGGCGGCGGAGCGGCGGTGCGGCCTCAGCCCCGGCCCGGGCCGCGCGCGAGTTCTCGCGAGAGTTGGGCGGGAACGGGGCTCGGCGAGATTTGGGGGGGGAACCGCCAGAGGGCGCCAAATAAATCCCAAATAAATCCCAAATAAATCATAAATAAATCCCAAATAAATCCCAAATCAATCCAAAATAAATCCCAAAAAATCCCAAATAAATCATAAATTAATCCCAAATAAATCCCAAATCAATCCAAAATAAATCCCAAATAAATCCCAAATAAATCCCAAATAAACCCCAAATAAATCCCAAATAAATCCCCAAAAAACCCCAAATAAATCCCAAATAAACCCCAAATAAATCCCAAAAAAATCCCAAATAAACCCCAAATAAATCCCGAATAAATCCCAAATAAATCTCAATTAAACCCCAAATAAATCCCAAATAAATCCCAAATCAATCCCAAATAAATCCCAAATAAATCCCAAATAAATCATAAATAAATCATAAATAAATCCCAAATAAACCCCAAATAAATCCCAAATAAACCCCAAATAAATCCCAAAGAAATCCCAAATAAATCCCAAATAAATCCCAAATAAATCCCAAATAAATCCCAAATAAATCCCAAATAAATCCCAAATAAACCCCAAATAAATCCCAAATAAATCCCGAATAAATCCCGAATAAATCCCAAATAAATCCCGAATAAATCCCGAATAAACCCCAAATAAATCCCAAATAAACCCCAAATAAATCCCAAATAAATCCCAAATAAACCCCAAATAAATCCCAAATAAATCCCAAATAAACCCCAAATAAACCCCAAATCAATCCCAAATCAATCCCAAATAAATTACAAATAAATCCCAAATAAACCCCAAATAAATCCCAAATAAACCCCAAATAAACCCCAAATAAATCCCAAATCAATCCCAAATAAATCCCAAATCAATCCCAAATAAACCCCAAATAAACCCCAAATAAATCCCAAATAAATCCCAAAAAAACCCCAAATAAATCCCAAATAAACCCCAAATAAACCCCAAATAAATCCCGAATAAATCCCAAAAAACCCCCAAATAAATCCCAAAAAAACCCCAAATTAAATCCCAAATAAATCCTGGAACAAATTCCAGAATCCCAAACCCATCCCAAAATCCCAAAGTTTTATGGGATTTTTATGGGGTTTGTATGCGGTTTTTTTTGGGAAAATGTGGGGATTTGGGGTGAAAAATTTTGGGATTTTTGGGAAAAATTTGGGGGAAAATGTGGGGATTTTTGGGAAAAATTTGGGATTTTTGGGTGAAACATTTGGGGATTTTTGGGTGAAACATTTGGGGATTTTTGGGTGAAAAATTTAGGGATTTTTTTGGGTGAAAATTTTGGGGATTTTTGGGGAAAATTTGGGGGTTTTGGAGGGAAAATTTGGGGATTTTTGCGAAAAATTTGGGGGTTTTTTTGGGTGAAAGTTTTGAGGATTTTCGGGAAAAATTTGGGGGTTTTTGGGAGAAAAATTTGGAATTTTTGGGAAAAATTTGGGTATTTTGGGGGAAAATTTGGGGATTTCTGAGAAAACTTTGGGGATTTGGGGAAAAATTTGGGGATTTTTGGTAAAATCGATAACCAATAACTGATATTCAATAGCAATAACCACTAATCAATAACTGATACTCAGTAACTGATAACTGATAATCAATAACCAATAACTACTAATCAATAACTGATACTCAGTAACTGATAATCAATAACCGATAACCAATAACCACTAATCAATAAGTGATACTCAGGAACTGATAATCAATAACCGATAACCAATAGCCGCTAATCAATAACCAATAATCAATATTAAAGCCAAGCAGCACACGGGGACGTTTGGAATTTTTTCACTGAAACGATTTTATTGAAACTTCTGATCCCAAAATCCCAAAATTCCCAAATTTGATCCCAAAAATCCTCAAAATTCCCATTCCAAAACCCCAAAACCCCAAAACTTGATCCCAAAATTCCCAAATCCCAAAATTTGATCCCAAAAATCCTCAAAATTCCCATCCCAAAACCCCAAATCCCAAAATTTGACCCCAAAATTCCCAAATTTTCCCAAAATTCCCATCCCAAAAAGCCCCAAATCCCCAAATTTGATCCCAAAATTCCCAAATTTTCCCATCCCAAAATTCAAAAATTCCCAAAATTTGATCCCAAAATTCCCAAATTTTCCCATCCCAAAATTCAAAAATTCCCAAAATTTGATCCGAAAATTCCCAAATTTTCCCATCCCAAAACCCCAAAATCCCAAAATTTGATCCCAAAAATCCTCAAAATTCCCATCCCAAAAACCCCAAATCCCAAAAAAGCCCCAAATTCCCGGATTTTTCCAGGAATTCCAAAATCCTGATCCCAAAAAACGCTGAATTCCAAAGATTGAGCGCAAAATTCCCGGATTTTTCCAGGAATTCCGTAATTTTGATCCCAAAAAACCCCAAAATTTCCGGATTTTTGCAGGAATTTGAAACCCAAATTCCCCAAATCCAAAAATTTGAACCCCAAAATTCCGGGATTTTTCCCAAAATTCCAATCCCAAAAACCCCAAATCCCCAAATTTGATCCCAAAAAAGCCCAAAATTCCCAAAGTTCTCCCAGAATTTCAGAATTCTGATCCCAAAAAACCCAAAATCCCAAAATTTTATCCCAGAATTCCCACATTTTTTTCCAAAAAAACCCCCCAAATTCCCAGATTTTTCCCAGAATTCCGAAATTCCTACCCCAAAAAACCCCAAAATTCCCAAATTTTCCCCAGAATTTCAAAATTTCGATTCCAAATCCCCCAAAATTTCCCGGATTTTTACTGGAATTTTGACCCAAAATTTCTCCCAAAAACTCCCAAAATTCTGATCCCAAAAACCCCTAAATTCCAAAGATTGAGCCCAAATTCCCAGATTTTTCCAGGAATTCTGAAATTTTGATCCCAAAAACCTCAAATTTCCGGATTTTTCCTGGAATTCCAGAATTTTTATCCAAAAAAAAAACCCCAAAAATTCCCAGATTTGTGCTGGAATTCTGATCCTCAAAAAACCCCAAATTCCAGGATTTTTCCCAGAATTCCGGAATTCCGACCCCAAAAAACCCCAAAATTCCCAAATTTCTCCCAGAATTTCAAAATTTTTATTCTGAAATCCCCCAAATTCCGATATTTTTCATGGAATTTGGACCCAAAATTCCCCAAATCCGTAAGAATTTTGACCCCAAACCCCCAAATTCCCGGATTTTTCCAGGAATTCCATCCCAAAAACCCCCAAAATCCCGAAATTTCTCTTGGAATTCGGGAATTCTGATCCCAAAATTCAGAAATTCTCAAATTTTTCCCAGAATTTTGACCCAAAACCCCCAAATTTTATCCCAATAAATCCCAAAATTCCCAGATTTTTCCAGGAATTCCCATCCCAAAACCCCCAAATCCCAAAGTTTCACCCCAAAATTCCCGGATTTTTCCAGGAATTCCAAAATTTTGGTCGCAAAAATCCCAAAATCCCCAAATTTCTCGAGGAATTTGAGAGTTTGGATCCCAAAATTCGAAAATTCCCAAATTTATCCCAGAATTTTTACCCCAAACCCCCAAATTCCCGGATTTTTCCCAGAATTTCCATCCCAAAACTCCCAAATCCCAATGTTTGACCCCAAAATTCCCAGATTTTTCCTGGAATCTCAAATTTTTTATCCCAAAAACCCCCAAAATTCCCATATTTTTGCACAAATCCTGGAATTTTCACCCCCAAATTCCCAGATTTTTCCTGGAATCTCAAATTTTTTATCCCAAGAAGCCACAAAATTCCCAAATTATTCCCGGAATTCCCACCCCAAAATCCCCAAATCCCAAATTTGAGCCCAAAATTCCCCAATTATTCCCAGAACTTTGACTTCAAACCCCAAATCCCAAAGTTTTGCCCCAAAATTCCCGGATTTTTCCAGGAATTCCAAAATTTGCATTGCAAAAATTCCAAAATTCCCAGTTTTTGCACAAATTCTGGAATTTTCACTCCAAAATTCCTAGGTTTTTTCCTGAATTCCAGAATTTTGATCCCAAAAAAGCCACAAAATTCCCAAATTTTCCCCCGAATTTTGACCCCAAACCCCAAGATTCCCAGATTTTTCCTGAATTATGGAATTTTGATCCCAAAAAGGCACAAAATTCCCAAATTTATCCCGGAATTTTGACATCAAACCCCCAAATCCCAGAGTTTGACCCGAAAATTCCCGCAGTTTTCCTGGAATTTCAAATTTTTTATCCCAAAATTCCCAGATTTTTGCACAAATTCTGGAATTTTCACCCCAAAATTCTGGGATTTTTCCTGAATTCTGGAATTTTGATCCCGAAAACTCCCCAAATTCCCAGATTTTCCCCAGAATTCCTACCCCAAACCCCCAAATTCCAAAGTTTGACCCCAAAATTCCCAGATTTTATCTCAAAAAACCCAAAAATTCCCGGATTTTTGCACAAATCCTTGAATTTTCTCCCCAAAATTCCCAGATTTTCCCAAATTTGGGAATTTTGATCCCAAAAACCCCAAAATTCCCAAATTTTTCCTGGAATTCCCACCCCAAACCCCCCAAATCCCGCAGTTTCACCCCAAATTCCGTGTTTTTTTCCGGGAATTCCGTTTTCCCGCCGTTCTCAGCCGCTTCCCGCGGGGAATTCCGGGATTTTCCGGGAATGTGCGGCCGAGAGGGCCCCGAGGGCGCGCGGCAGGGAGAGGCTCCGGAACAGCTCCCGGTGCTCCGGCGGCGCTGCAAAACAGGGAAAAAAACCGGAATTTCGGGAAAATCCGGGAATTCTGGGGTCAAACTTTGGCATTTGGGAGTTTTGGGATGGGAATTCTGGGGAAAATCTGGGAATTTTGGGGGGGAAATTAAAGAATTTCTGGAAAAATCCAGGAATTTTGGGATAAAGCATTTGAGATTCCAGGAAAAATCCGTAAATTTTGCGGGTTTGGGGTCAAAATTCCGGGAAAAGTTTGGGAATTTTGTGGCTTTTTGGGATAAAAATTCTGGAATTCAGGAAAAATCTGGGAATTTTGGGATAAAAAATTTGAGATTCCAGGAAAAATCCGGGAATTTTGGGGTCAAACTTTGGAATTTGGGAGTTTAGGGATGAGAATTCTGGGGAAAATCTGGGAATTTTGGGGGGAAAATTAAAGGATTTGTGCGAAAATCCGGGAATTTTGGGATAAAAAAATTTCAGATTCCAGGAAAAATCTGCGAATTTTGTGGGTTTGATGTCAAAATGCCGGGAAAAAATTGGGAATTTTGTGGCTTTCTGGGATCAAAATTCCAGAATTTAGGAAAAAATCTGGGAATTTGGGGGTTTTTTGGGATGAGAATTCCCAAATTTCCGGGCAGGGAGAGGCTCCGGAACAGCTCCCGGTGCTCCGGCGGCGCTGGAAAACAGGGGAAAAACGGGAATTTCGGGAAAATCCGGGAATTCTGGGGGGAAATCTGGGATTGGGCATTGAAATTTGGGGGGAAATCCGGGAAAATCTGGGAATTTTGGGGGGAAAATTCCAGATTTTGTGCAAAAATCCGGGAATTTTGAGGGGTTTTGGGATAAAAAGTTTGAGATTCCAGGAAAAATGTGGGAATTTTGGGGTCATACTTTGGAATTTGGGAGTTTTGGGATGGGAATTCTGGGGAAAATCTGGGAATTTTGGGTTCAAAGTTTGGGATTAGGGGGTTTGGGGTGGGAATTCCGGGACTAATTTGGGAATTTTGGGGTTTTTTGGGATCAAAAATCTGGAATTCACAAAAATTGGGAATTTTGGGGTGAAAATTCCAGAATTTGTGCAAAAAATCCGGGAATTTTGGGGTCAAACTTCGGAATTTGGGGGTTTGATATCAACATTCTGGGAAAAATTTGGGAATTTTGTGGCTTTCTGGGATCAAAATTCCATAATTTAGGAAAAAATCCGGGAATTTTGGGTTTTTTTGGGATGAGAATTCCCAAATTTCCGGGCAGGGAGAGGCTCCGGAACAGCTCCCGGTGCTCCGGCGGCGCTGGAAAACAGGGAAAAAACGGGATTTCGGGAAAATCCGGGAAAATCCGGGAATTCTGGGGGGAAAATTCAAGGATTTGTGCAAAAATCTGGGAATTTTGGGATAAAAAGTTTGAGATTCCAGGAAAAATCTGCGAATTTTGTGGGTTTGGGGTCAAAATTCCGGGAAAAATTTGGGAATTTTGTGGCTTTTTGGGATCAAAATTCCAGAATTCAGGAAAAATCTGGGAATTCTGGGGTGAAAATTCCAGAATTTGTGCAAAAAATCTGGGAATTTTTGGATAAAAAATTCGAGATTCTGGGAAAAATTTGGGAATTTTGGGCTCAAACTTTGGGATTTGGGGGTTTTGGGGTGGGAATTCTGGGAATAATTTGGGAATTTGGGAGTTTTTTGGGATCATAATCGGGAATACAGGATTTTGGGAATTTTGGGAAAAATCTGGGAATTCTGGGGGCAAATCTGGGATTTGGCATTGAAATTTGGGGGAAAGTTTAGGAAAATCTGGGAATTTTGGGAAAATTACGGGAAAAATTCCAGAATTTTAGGGGAGTTTGGGACGAAATTTTGGGATTTGGGATTGGAATTCTGGGGAAACATTTGGGAATTTCTGGGATAAAGCTTTGGGATTTGGGGTTTTTGGGTTTGGAATTCCGGAACTCCAGGAAAAAATCCGGGAATTTGGGGATAAAATTTTGGGATTTGGGATTGAGATTCTGGGAAAAAAATGTGGGAATTTTCTGGGTCAAAATTTGGGATTTGGGGCTTTTTTGGTAAAATTCTGGAATTTGAGGAAAAATCCGGGAATTTGGGGTTTTTTTGGGATGAGAATTCCCAAATTTCCGGGCAGGGAGAGGCTCCGGAACAGCTCCCGGTGCTCCGGCGGCGCTGGAAAACAGGGAAAAAACCGGAATTTCGGGAAAAATCCGGGAAAAATCCGGGAATTTTGGGGTGAAAATTCCAGAATTTGTGCAACAATCCAGGAATTTTGGGGGCAAACTTTGGAATTTGGGAGTTTTGGGATGAGAATTCTGGGGAAAATATGGGAATTTTGGGGGTTTTCGGGATCAAAATTTCAGAATTTAGGAAAAATCTGGGAATTGTGGGGTGAAATCCGGGATTTGTGCAAAAATCCGGGAATTTTGGGGGGTTTTGGGATTAAAAAATTGGAGATTCCAGGAAAAATCCGGGAATTTTGGGGTCAAACTTTGGAATTTGGGGGTTTGATGTCAAAATTCCAGTAAAAATTTGGGAATTTGGGGATTTTTTTGGGATCAAAATCCCAGAATTCAGGAAAAATCTGGGAATTTTGGGGTGAAAATTCCACAATTTGTGCAAAAAATCTGGGAATTTTGGGATTAAAAAAAATGAGATTCCAGGAAAAATCTGGGAATTTTGGGGTCAAACTTTGGAATTTGGGAGTTTTGGGATGGGAATTCTGGGGAAAATCTGGGAATTTTGGGGGTTTTTGGGATCAAAATTCCGGACTTCAGGAAAAATCTGGGAATTTTAGGGGTTTGGGGTCAAAATTCTGGGAAACATTTGGGAATTTTGGGCTCAAACTTTGGGATTTGGGGAATTATGGGAATAATTTGGGAATTTTGGGTTTTTTTGGGATCAAAAATCTGGAATTCAGGAAAATCTGGGAATTTTGGGGTGAAAATTCCAGAATTTGTGCAAAAATCCGGGAATTTTGGGGTCAAACTTTGGGATTTGGGGGTTTGATGTCAAAATTCGGAATTCCAGGAATAATTTGGGAATTTTGGGCTCAAACTTTGGGATTTGGGGGTTTTGGGGTGGGAATTCCGGGAATAATTTGGGCATTTTGGGGTTTTTTGGGATGAAAAATCTTGAATTCAGGAAAAATTGGGAATTTTGGGGTGAAAATTCCAGAATTTAAGCAAAAATCTGGGAATTTTGGGGTCAAACTTTGGAATTTGGGAGTTTTGGGGTGGGAATTCCAGGAATAATTTGGGAATTTTGGGGGTTTTTGGGATCAAAAATCTGGAATTCAGGATTTTGGGAAAAATCTGGGAATTCTGCGGCCAAATCTGGGATTTGGCATTGAAATTTGGGGGAAAAATTAGGAAAATCTGGGAATTTTGGGAAAATTACAGGAAAAATTCCGGAATTTTAGGGGAGTTTGGGACGAAATTTTGGGATTTGGGATTGGAATTCTGGGGAAAAAATTTGGGAATTTCTGGGATAAAGCTTTGGGATTTGGGATTGAAATTCTGGGAAAAAATTTGGGAATTTTCTGGGTCAAAATTTGGGATTTGGGGCTTTTTTTGGTAAAATTCTGGAATTTGAGGAAAAATCCGGGAATTTTGGGGGGTTTTGGGATGAGAATTCCCAAATTTCCGGGCAGGGAGAGGCTCCGGAACAGCTCCCGGTGCTCCGGCGGCGCTGGAAAACAGGGAAAAAACCGGAATTTTGGGAAAATCTGGGAAAATCCGGGAATTTTGGGAGCAAATCTGGGATTGGGCATCGAAATTAGGGGGGAAATTTGGGAAAATCTGGGAATTTTTTGGGGAAAATTCAAGGATTTGTGCAAAAATCTGGGAATTTTGGGATAAAAAGTTTGAGATTCCAGTAAAAATCCGGGAATTTTGGGGTCAAACCTCAGAATTTGGGAGTTTTATGAAAAATCTGGGAATTTCGTGGGTTTGGGGTAAAAATTCTAAAAATATTTGGGAATTATGCAACGCAAATTCTGGAATTCATGGAAAAATACCAGGAAAAATTTGGGAATTTTGTGGCTTTTTGGGATCAAAATTCCAGAATTCGGGAAAAATCTGGGAATTTGGGGAGTTTGGGGTCAAAATTCTGGGAAAAGTTTGGGAATTTTGGCCTCAAAGTTCGGGATTTGGGGGTTTTGGGGTGGGAATTCTGGGAATAATTTGGGAATTTTGGGGTTTTTTGGGATCAAAAATCTGGAATTCAAAATTTTGGGAATTTTGGGAAAAATCCGGGAATTCTGGGGGCAAATCTGGGATTTGGGATTGAAATTTGGGGAAAAATTTAAGAAAATCTGGGAATTTTTGGAAGATTACAGGAAAAATTCTGGAATTTTAGTGGAGTTTGGGACGAAATTTTGGGATTTGGCATTGCAATTCTGGGAAAAAATTTGGGAATTTTCTGGGTCAAAATTTGGGATTTGGGACTTTTTTTGGTAAAATTCTGGAATTTGGGGAAAAATCCGGGAATTCTGGGGGCAAATCTGGGATTTGGCATCAAAATTCCGGGAAAAAACTGGGAAACTTGGGGATTTTTGGGGTCAAACTTTGGAATTTTTTGGTTTTTTTGGATCAGAATTCTGGAATTCTGGGAAAAAAAAGGGAATTCTAGGGATTTTTGGGAGGGAAATTCCAAAATTCCTGGAAAAATCTGGGAAATTCAGGGATTTTTAGGGTCAAAATTGTGGGATTTGGGATTGAAATTCTTGGAAAAATTTGGGAATTTTGGAATAAAACTTTTGGGGTTTGGGTTTTTTTAGGGATAAAATTCCAGAATTCCAGAAAAATCCAGGAATTTGGGGGTGAAATGCTGGATTTGGGGGTTTTGGTATCAAAATTCCAGAATATCTGTACAAATCTGGGAATTTTGGGATAAAATTTTGGGATTTAGGATTGAAATTCTGGGGAAAAAATTTGAGAAAATCTGGGAATTTTGTGGTCAAACTTTGGAATTTGGGGTTTTTTTGGATCAGAATCCCCGGATTTCTGGGAAAAACTTGGGAATCCTGGGGATTTTTGGGATCAGAGTTCCAGAATTCCAGGAAAAATCTGGGAATTTTGGGATGAGAAGTCCCAAATCTAGGAAAATCTGTGAATTTTGGAGGTTTTTGGGATAAAATTTGGGAATTTGGGGTTTTGTTGGGATAAAGATTTTGAGATTCATGGAAAAATCAGGAAAATTTGGGGATTTTGGGATAAGATTTTGGGATTTGGGATTGAAATTCCAGGAAAAATCCGGGAAAATCCAGGAATTTTGGGGTCAACATTTGGGGATTTTGGTGTTTTAGGGTTTGCTATTCTGAAATTCCTGGAAAAATCTGGGAATTTTGGGATCAACCTTTAGGATTTTTGGGTTTTTTAGGATCTGAATTCCAGGAAAAATCTGAGAATTTTGGGATAAAGTTTTGGGATTTGAGGTTTTTTTGGGATGAAAATTCCCAAATTTGGGAAAAATTATGGGAATTCTGGGGATTTTGGGGGTGAAACTTTGGGATTTGTGGTTTTTGGGGATCAAAATCTTGGAAAAATCCGGGATTTGGGGGGTTTTTGGATGGAAATTCCAGAATTCTTGGAAAAATCCGGGAATTTTGGGGATTTATGGGGTCACATTTTGGAATTTGGGTTTTTTTGTGATGAAAAATCTGAAATCTGAAGGAAAAGCTTTGGAATTTTGGGGAATTCCCAGAGATATCTTTGGGAATTCCAAGAAAAAATTCCAGGTTTTTTGGGATTTGGGAATTTCCATCCCAAAAAAAATCCCAGAATTCCCAGATTTTTCCCGGATTTCTCCCAGAATTTTCACCGCAAAAACCTCCAAATCCCAACATTTCACCCCAAAATTCCCAGATTTTCCCCAAATTCGGAAATTTTCATCCCCAAAACCCCCAAATCCCAACATTTCACCCCAAAATTCCCAGATTTTCCCCAGATTTGGGAATTTTCGTCCTTTAAAATGCCAAAATTCCCCGATTTTTCCAACGTTTGGCAATTTTCATTCTAAAAAACACCCCAAAATCCCCGTTTTTTCCCAGAATTCCAGAATTTCCATCCAAATCCCGAAATTTCCCCCCAGAATTCCCGGATTTTTCCCGGAATTTTGGGAATTCGGGGTCTCACCGTGGGCGCTGATCTCGACGTCCGTGGGGAGGCTCCGCAGGGGGTCCCCGTAGCGCAGCCGCACCCAAAATTCCGGAGGATTTTTCCCGAGAATTCCGCTTTTCCCGGAAAATCCCTCATGTTTCCCAGAAAATTCCTCATTTTCCTCGGGAATTTGGGAGCTTTTCACAGAAATTCCAGCATTTCCCCCGGGAATTTCGCCAATTTTCCTGGAAATTTCAGAATTTTCCCCGGGAATTTCGGAATTTTCCACGGAAATTTCCTCGTTTTCCTCAGGGATTTCCATCTTTTCCCCGGGAATTTCGGAATTTTCGCCGGGAATTCCGGGTTTTTTCCCGGGAATTCGGTAGCGGAAGCTGAGGAGGTTGTAGAGGGAGTTGCTGCAGGGAATTCCTTGGATGCAGTCGGGAAATTCCTCCTGGAAAAGAGAAAAAAATTCGGGAATTTTGGGGATTTGGGAGGAAATTTGGGAATTTTGGGAAAAAAATTTGGGAATTTTGGGAGGAAATTTGGAAGAGATTTGGGGATTATTGGGGGAAAAATTGGGGATTTTGAGAAGGGATTTTGAGAGGAATTTGGGAAAATTGGGAATTTGTGGAGGAATTTTGGGAAGAATTTTTGGGGGAAATCAGGGAATTTTGGGGAAAAATTTGGGAATTTCAAAAAGGAATTTTGGTGGGAATTTGGGAATTTTTGTGAGTGAATTTTGGGGAGAACTTTGGGAATTTAGGGATGAATTTTGGGGCTGAATTTTGGTGGGAATTTGGGAATTTTGGGAACAATTTTGCGGGAATTTTGGGAGGAATTTGGGGCTCAATTCTGGTGGGAATTTGGGAATTTTGGGGCTGAATTTTGGTGGGAATTTTGGGAGAATTTTGGGGTGGAATTTTGGCGGGAATTTGGGAATTTTTGGAAGAATTTTGGGGGAATTTTGGGAGGAGTATTGGGAAGGAATTTTTGGTGGGAATCTGGGAATTTAGGGCCGGATTCCGGTGGGAATTTGGGAAACTTGGGAGGAATTTTGGGGGAGTTTCGGTAAGAATTTGGGAATTCTGGGAACAATCTTGGGGGAATTTTGGGGCTAAATTTTGGTGGGAATTTTGGAATTTTGGGGAAATTTGTGGCTGAATTTTGGTGGGAATTTGGGAATTTCGTAAGGAATTATGGGGAGGAGTTTGGGAATTTTGGGAGGAATTTTGGGGGAATTTGGTTGGAATTTTGGTGGGAATTTTGGGCTGAATTTAGTCAGAACCTGGGAATTTTGGGAAGGAATTTAGGCAGGAAATTAGGAATTTTGGTGGTAATTTGGGAATTTGGGGAGGAATTTCGTGAAGGAATTTTGATGGGAATCCGGGGATTTGGAGCTGAATTCTAGTGGGATTTTGGGAATTTTGGAGAGAATTTTGGGGGGATTTTGGTGGAAATTTGAGGCTGAATTTTGGTGGGATTTTGGGAATTCTGGACAGAATTTTGGGGCTGAATTTTGGTGGGATTTTGGGAATTTTGGGAGGAATATTGGGAAGGATTTTTGGTGGGAATCCGAGAATTTAGGGCCGGATTCCGGTGAGAATTTGGGAATCTTGGGAGGAATTTTGGGGGAGTTTCAGTAAGAATTTGGGAATTCTGGGAACAATTTTGGGGAAGATTGTGGCTGAATTTTGGTGGGAATTTTGGGGAAATTTGTGGCTGAATTTTTGTGGGAATTTGGTAATTTTGGAAGGAATTTTGGGAGAATTATGGGGAGGAGTTTGGGAATTTTGGGAGGAATTTTGGTGGGAATTTGGGAATTTTGGGCTGAATTTAGTCAGAACCTGGGAAGTTTGGGAAGGATTTTTGGGAAAGAATTTAGGCGGGAAATTAGGAATTTTGGTGGTAATTTGGGAATTTTGGAGGAATTTAGTGAAGGAATTTTGATGGGAATACAGGAATTTGGAGCTGAATTCTAGTGGGATTTTGGGAATTCTGGACAGAATTTTGGGGGAATTTTGGTGGAAATTTGGGAATTTTGGGAGGAATATTGGGAAGGAATTTTGGTGGGAATCTGGGAATTTAGGGCCGGATTCTGGTGGGAATTTGGGAATCTTGGGAGGAATTTTGGGGGAGTTTCGGTAAGAATTTGGGAATTCTGGGAACAATTTCGGGGGAATTTTGGGGCTGAATTTTGGTGGGAATTTGGGAATTTCGGAAGGAATTATGGGGAGGAGTTTGGGAATTTTGGGAAGGAATTTTGGGAAGGAATTTAGGCGGGAAATTAGGAATTTGAGGCTGAATTTTGGTGGGATTTTGGGAAATTTGGGAAGGAATTTCGGGAAGGAATTTTGATGGGAATCCGGGAATTTGGAGCTGAATTCTAGTGGGATTTTGGGAATTTTGGAGAGAATTTGAGGCTGAATTTTGGTGGGATTTCGGGAATTTTGGGAGGAATATTGGGAAGGAATTTTGGTGGGAATCTGGGAATTTAGGGCCGGATTCCGGTGGGAATTTGGGAATCTTGGGAGGAATTTTGGGGGAGTTTCGGTAAGAATTTGGGAATTCTGGGAACAATTTCGGGGGAATTTTGGGGCTAAATTTTTGTGGGAATTTTGGGGAAATTTGTGCCTGAATTTTTGTGGGAATTTGGGAATTTTGGAAGAAATTATGGGGAGGAGTTTGGGAATTTTGGGCTGAAATTTGGGGGAATTTGGAATTTTAATGTGAATTTGGGAATTTTGGGCTGAATTTGGTCAGAACCTGGGAATTTCGGGAAGGAATTTTGGGAAGGAATTTAGGTGGGAAATTAGGAATTTTAGTGGGATTTTGGGAATTTTGGGAGGAATTTCGTGAAGGAATTTTGATGGGAATCCGGGAATTTGGAGCTGAATTCTAGTGGGATCTTGGGAATTTTGGAGAGAATTTTGGGGGGATTTTGGTGGAAATTTGGGGCTGAATTTTGGTGGGATTTTGGGAATTTTGGACAGAATTTGGGGCTGAATTTTGGTGGGATTTTGGGAATTCTGGACGGAATTTTGGACTGAATTTTGGTGGGATTTTGGGAATTTTGGAGAGAATTTTGGGGGGATTTTGGTGGAAATTTGGGGCTGAATTTTGGTGGCATTTTGGGAATTCTGGATGGAATTTTGGGGCTGAATTTTGGTGGGATTTTGGGAATTCTGGACAGAATTTTGGGGGGATTTTGGATGGAAATTCAGGGCTGAATTTTGGTGGGATTTTGGGAATTTTGGACAGAATTTGGGGCTGAATTCTGGTGGGATTTGGGAATTTTGGAGAGAATTTTGGGGGGATTTTGGTGGAAATTTGGGGCTGAATTTTGGTGGCATTTTGGGAATTCTGGGCGGCATTTTTGGGGGATTTTGTTGGGATTTTGGGAATTTTGGAGAGAGTTTTGGGGGGATTTTGGTGGAAATTTGGGGCTGAATTTTGGTGGCATTTTGGGAATTCTGGGCAGCATTTTTGGGGGATTTTGTTGGGATTTTGGGAATTTTGGAGAGAGTTTTGGGGGGATTTTGGTGGAAATTCTGGGCTGAATTTTGTTGGGATTTTGGGAATTCTGGACGGAATTTTGGGGGGATTTTGGAGGAAATTCGGGGCTGAATTTTGGTGGGATTTTGGGAATTCTGGACGGAATTTTGGAGCTGAATTCTAGTGGGATTTTGGGAATTTTGGAGAGAATTTTGGGGGGATTTTGGTGGAAATTCGGGGCTCAATTCTGGTGGGATTTTGGGAATTTTGGACAGAATTTGGGGCTGAATTTTGGTGGGATTTTGGGAATTTTGGAGAGAATTTTGGGGGGATTATGGATGGAAATTCGGGGCTGAATTTTGGTGGGATTTTGGGAATTCTGGGAAGAATTTTGGGGGAATTGTGGTGGGATTTTGGGAATTTTGGAGAGAATTTTGGGGGGATTTTGGTGAGAATTTGGGGCTGAATTTTGGTGGGATTTTGGGAATTTTGGACGGAAATTCGGGGCTGAATTTTGGTGGGATTTTGGGAATTTTGGAGAGAGTTTTGGGGGAATTCTGGACAGAAATTTGGGGCTGAATTTTGGTGGGATTTTGGGAATTTTGGGAGGAATTTCGTGAAGGAATTTTGATGGGAATCTGGGAATTTGGAGCTGAATTCTAGTGGGATTTTGGGAATTTTGGACAGAATTTTGGGGGGATTTTGGACAGAAATTCAGGGCTGAATTTTGGTGGGATTTTGGGAATTTTGGACAGAATTTGGGGGAATTGTGGTGGGATTTTGGGAATTTTGGAGAGAATTTTGGGGGGATTTTGGACGGAAATTCGGGGCTGAATTCTGGTGGGATTTTGGGAATTCTGGACAGAATTTTGGGCTAAATTCTGGTGGGATTTTGGGAATTTTGTTGGGAATTTTGTGCCTCAGTGCCCACCTGAGCCCGGCGCAGCTGCTCCCTCCTGGCCACGACGGCGTTGAGGTGCCGGAAGAGAATTCCCAGGAAAAGGCGGAGCCGTCCGGGCAGGAATTCCCGCCTCAGCCGCTCCAGGGGGATGAAGGCCGGGATGGAATGGCGGCCCAGCCGCAATTCCCGGTTTTCCGGCCGGGATTCCCGGTTTTCCGGCCGGGATTCCCGGTTTTCCGGCCGGTGTTCCCGTTTTTCCAGCAGCTCCAGGTGGAAGGGGCGCAGGACGGAGCCCTCGAAGGACGGGTGGAAGGAGAAGGAGGCGCCGCCCCTGCAGAGCTTCCCGCTGATCCCTGCCCGGGAATCAGCCCAGAATTAGCCCGGGATTAGCCCAAAAGTATCCCGGGATTAGCCCAAAAGTATCCCGGGATTAGCCCAAAAGTATCCCAAAAGTGTCCTGGAATTATCCCAAAATTATCCCGGAATTAGCCCAAAATTATCCCGGGATTAGCCCAAAATTATCCCGGGATTATCCCAAAAGTATCCCGGAATTATACTGGAATTAGCCCAAAAGTATCCCAGAATTGTCCCAAAATTATCCAGGAATTATCCCAAAAGTATCCCGGAATTAGCCCAAAAGTATCCTGGAATTACTCAAAAGTATCCCGGAATTGTCCCAAAATTAACCCAGAATTATCTCAGAATTATCCCAAAAGTATCCCAGAATTGTCCTGGAATTGTCCCAAAAGTATCCAGGAATTATCCCAGAATTTTCTTGGAATTATCCCAAAATTATCCCAAACGTATCCCGGAATTATCCCAAAATTGTCCCGGAATTGTCTCAGGATTATCCGAAAAGTATCCTGGAATTATCCCAGATGTATGCTGGAGTTATCCCAAAATTATCCTGGAATGATCCCAGAATTGTCCAGGAATAATCCAGGAATTATCTGGGAATTATCCTGGAATTAACCCTAAATTATCCAGGAATTAACCCTAAATTATCCCAGAATTATCCCAAAATTACCCTGGAATTATCCAGGAATTGTCCTGGAATTAACCCAAAACTATCCCGGAATTATCTGGAAAAGAACCTGGAATGATCCCAGAATTATATAGGAATTACCCCAAAATTATCTGGGAATTATCCCAAAATGAGCCTGGAATTATCCCGGAATTATCCCAAAATTATCCTAGAACTATCCCAAAATTTTCCTGGAATTATCCCAAAATTATCTCAGAATTATCCCGGAATTATCCCAGAATTATCCTGGAATTTTCCCAAATTTTCTCAGGGAATTCCCAATTTTCCTACCCAAGTCCTTGGGAATTTCTGCCGTTTTCCAAAAAACTTTCCCAATTTTCATGAAAAATTCCCAATTTTTTCCCAATAATCCCCCAAAAATTCCCAATTTTCCCAATGAATTTGGGCTCTTTCCCCAAAGATTTCCTGATTTCTCCGCAAAAAACTCCTGATTTTCACCCAAAATTCCCAATTTTCATGAAAAATTCCCAATTTTCATGAAAAACTCCCGATTTCCTCCCAAAAATTCCCGAAAGTTCCGGATTTCGGGGTACCTGTGAGGGAGAAGAGGCGGAGGCGCTGCCGCAGCTCCCGGAGTTTCCAGCTCAGCACCGCCCCCGGATCCGACGGAATTCCGGCCTGGGACGGGAAAAACGGGAATGAAATCCGCAGGGATTTTGGGAAAAACCCATCGGGAATTTCGGGAATTTTGGGATTTTGGGCATGTTTGGGAATGTTGGGAATTCTCCCCGGTGCCCGGAGGCGCTCCCGGATCCGGGCCTGGAGCAGCTCCGGGATTTTTGGGACAAACCCTCAGGAATTTTGGGAATTTTGAGACAAACCCTCAGAAATTTTGGGAATTTTGAGACAAACCCTCAGGAATTTTGGGAATTTTGAGACAAACCCCTCAGAATTTTGGGATTTTGGGAATGTTGGGAATGTTGGGAATTCTCACCGGTGCCCGGAGGTGCTCCCGGATCCGGGCCCGGAGCAGCTCCGGGATTTTTGGGACAAACCCTCAGGAATTTGGGAATTTTGAGACAAACCCTCAGAATTTTGGGAATTTTGAGACAAACCCCTCAGAATTTTGGGATTTTGGGAATGTTGGGAATTCTCACCGGTGCCCAGAGGCTCTCCCGGATCCGGGCCCGGAGCAGCTCCAGGATTTTTGGGATAAACCCCTCAGGAATTTGGGAATTTTGGGACAAACCCTCAGGAACTTTGGGAATTTTGAGACAAACCCTCAGGAATCTGGGATTTTGGGAATGTTTGGCATTTTGGGAATGTTGGAAATGTTGGGAATTCTCACTGGTGCCCGGAGCCTCTCCCGGATCCAGGCCTGGAGCAGCTCCGGGATTTTTGGGACAAACCCTCAGGAATTTGGGAATTTTGAGACAAAACCTCAAAATTTTGGGATTTTGGGAATGTTTGGAATTCCGGGAACGTTGGGAATTCTCACCGGTGCCCGGAGGCGCTCCCGGATCCAGGCCTGGAGCAGCTCCGGGATTTTTGGGACAAACCCTCAGGAATTTGGGAATTTTGAGACAAACCCTCTGGAACTTTGGGAATTTTGAGGCAAACCCTCAGGAATTTGGGAATTTTGAGACAAATGCCTCAGGAATTTGGGATTTTGGGAATGTTTGGAATGTTGGGAATTTGGGGAATGTTGGGAATTCTCCCCGGTGCCCGGAGGCGCTCCCGGATCCGGGCCCGGAGCAGCTCCGGGATTTTTGGGACAAACCCTCAGGAATTTGGGAATTTTGAGACAAACCCTCAGGAATTTTGGGAATTTTGAGACAAACCCCTGAGAATTTTGGGAATTTTGAGACAAACCCCTCAGAATTTTGGAATTTTGGGAATGTTTGGAATTTTGGGAATGTCAGGAATGTTGGGAATTCTCACCGGTGCCCGGAGGCGCTCCCGGATCCGGGCCCGGCGCAGCTCCGGGATTTTTGGGACAAACCCTCAGGAACTTTGGGAATTTTGAGACAAATCCTCAGGAATTTTGGGAATTTTGAGACAAACTCTCTGGAACTTTGGGAATTTTGAGACAAACCCCTCAGAATTTTGGATTTTGGGAATGTTTGGAATTTTGGGAATGTCGGGAATGTTGGGAATTCTCACCGGTGCCCAGAGGCGCTCCTGGATCCGGGCCCGGAGCAGCTCCGGGATTTTTGGGACAAACCCTCAGGAATTTGGGAATTTTGGGGATGTTTGGAATATTGGGAATGTCGGGAATGTTGGGAATGTTAGAAATGTTGGGAATTCTCAACAGTGCCTGGAGGTGCTCCCAGATCCAGGCCCGGAGCAGCTCCGGGTTTTTTGGGACAAACCCCTCAGGAATTTTGGGAATTTTGAGACAAACACCTCAGAATTTTGGGATTTTGGGAATGTTTGGAATTTTGGGAATGTTTGGAATTTTGTGAATGTTTGGAATTTTGGGAATGTTTGGAATGTTGGGAATTCTCCCCGGTGCCCGGAGCCTCTCTCGGATCCGGGCCCGGAGCAGCTCCGGGATTTTTGGGACAAACCCTCAGGAACTTTGGGAATTTTGAGACAAACCCCTCAGGAACTTTGGGAATTTTGAGACAAATCCTCAGGAATTTTGGGATTTTGGGAATGTTGGGAATGTTGGGAATTCTCCCCGGTGCCCGGAGGCGCTCCCGGATCCGGGCCCGGAGCAGCTCCGGGATTTTTGGGACAAACCCTCAGGAATTTGGGAATTTTGACACAAAATCTCTGGAACTTTGGGAATTTTGAGACAAACCCTCAGGAATTTGGGATTTTGGGAATGTTTGGCATTTTGGGAATGCTGGAAATGTTGGGAATTCTCCCCGGTGCCCAGAGATGCTCCCGGATCCGGGCCCGGAGCAGCTCCGGGATTTTTGGGACAAACCCCTGAGGAATTTGGGATTTTGGGAATGTTTGGAATTCCGGGAACTTTGGGAATTCTCACCGGGTGCCGGAGTCTCTCCCGGAGCCTCTCCCGGCGCTGTTGCAGCTCCCGGATCCGGGCCCGGAGCAGCTCCCGGCGCTCCCGGAGCCGCTCCCGACGCTCCTCCCGCAGCGCCCGGCCCCGATCCCGGCGCTCCAGCACCGACAGACGCGACAGGACACCTGCGGGGGAGAGAGGGAAAATCGGGAATTCGGGGGGATTCGGGAAAAAATCGGGATTTCGGGGGAATTTGGGAGCATTCTGTGAAAAAATTGGGGATTTCGGGGAGAATTTTGGGGAATTTTCAGGAGGAATTTGGGGGGAATTAGGGGAAAATTTAGAGAATTTTAGGGATTTTGAGGAGGATTTGGGGCAATTTTTGGAGGATTTTGGGGAATTTTTGGAGGATTTTGGGGGAATTTTAGGAGAAATTGGGGGGATTTGGGGATTTTGTGAAAACATTGGGGATTTTGGGAAGAATTTGGGGATTTGTGGGGCATTTTTGAGAGGACTTTGGGGATTTTGGGGAGGATTCTGTGAAAAATTGGGGATTTCGGGGAGAATTTGGGGATTTTGGGGGGAATTTGGGGATTTTGGGGGGAATTTGGGGATTTTGGGGGGAATTTGGGGGAAATTTAGGAGGATTCTGTGAAAAAATTTGGGATTTTGGGGAGGATTTTTGGGAATTTTCAGAGGATTTTTGGGAAGATTTTCGAGTATTTTTGGAAGATTTTGGGGAGGATTTTTGGGAGTTTGGGGATTTTGGGGGAAATTTGGGGATTTTGTGGAGGATTTTGGGAGGATTTTGGGGATTTTGGGGGAGAATTTGGGGATTTTGGGGAGAGCTGGCGGCGCTCCAGCAGCGACAGCCGGGCCAGGACCCCTGGAGAGGGAAAATTGGGAATTCTGGGGGAATTTGGGGAAAAATCGGGGATTTTGGGGGAATTTGGGGAAAATTTGGGATTTCGGGGGAATTTGGGGGTAATTTGGAAGGATTTGGGGAAACATTGGGGATTTTGGGGAGGATTTGGGGATTTCTGGGAGGATTTTGGGGAATTTTCAGGAGGAATGTGGGGGGAATTAGGGGAAAATTTAGAGAATTTTACGGATTTTGAGGAGGATTTTAGGGAATTTTAGGAGAAATTGGGGGGATTTGGGGATTTTGTGAAAACATTGGGACTTTTGGGGAGAATTTGGGGATTTCTGGGAGGATTTTGGGGAATTCCCAGGAGGAATTTGGGGGAAATTCGGGGAATATTTAGAGAATTTTAGGGATTTTGAGAAGGATTTTGGGGGAGTTTTAGGAGAAATTGTGGGGATTTGGGGATTTTGTGAAAACATTGGGGATTTTGGGAGAATTTGGGTATTTTGGGGAGAGCTGGCGGCGCTCCAGCAGCGACAGCTGGGCCAGGACCCCTGGGAGAGAGGGAAAATTGGGAATTTTGGGGGAATTTGGGAAAAAATTGGGGATTTTGGGGGGAATTTGAGGATTTGGGGATTTTGGGGGGAATTTTGAAGGATTTGGGGAAAAATTGGGGATTTCGGGGAGGATTATTGGGATTTTTCAGAGGATTTTGGGGATTTTTGGGGAGATTTTTGGAGGATTCTGAGGAGGATTTTCGGGAATTTTTGGAGGATTTTAGGGATGATTTTCGGTAGTTTGGGGATTTTGGGGGGAATTTGGGAACTTTGGGGAGGATTTTGGGAAGATTTTGGGGATTTTGGGGAGAATTTGGGGATTTTGGGGAGAGCTGGCGGCGCTCCAGCAGCGACAGCTGGGCCAGGACACCTGGAGAGAGGGAGAGAGGGAATTTTGGGGGAATTTGGGAACAAATTGGGGATTTGGGGGAAATTTGGAAAAAAATTGGGGATTTTGGGGCAATTTGGGGGGCAATTTGGAAGGATTTGGGGAAAAATTGGGGATTTTTCAGAGGATTTTGGGGATTTTTGGGAGGATTTTTGGGAATTTTTGGAGGATTTTTGGGGAGGATTTTCGGGTATTTTTGGAGGATTTTGGGGAGGATTTTTGGGATTTTTCAGAGGATTTTGGGGAGGATTTTTGGGAATTTTTGGGAATTTTTGGAGGATTTTTGGGGAAGATTTTCGGGTATTTTTGGAGGATTTTGGGGAGGATTTTTGGGAGTTTGGGGATTTTGGGGGGAATTTGGGGATTTTGGGAAGATTTTGTGGATTTTGGGGAGAATTTGGGGATTTTGGGGAGAGCTGGCGGCGCTCCAGCAGCGACAGCCGGGCCAGGACACCTGGAGGGAGAAAATTGGGAATTCTGGGGAATTTGGGGAAAAATCGGGGATTTTGGGGAAATTTGGGAAAAATTTGGGGCTTTTGGGGAGAATTTGGGGGGAATTTGGGAGGATTCTGTGAAAAAATAGGGGATTTCGGGGAGGATTTGTGGGATTTCTGGGAGGATTTTGGGGAATTTTCAGGAGGAATGTGGGGGGAATTCGGGGAAAATTTAGAGAATTTTAGGGATTTTGAGGAGGATTTTGGGGGATTTTTGGAGGATTTTGGGGGAAATTTAGGAGAAATTGGGGGGATTTGGGGATTTTGTGAAAACATTGGGGATTTTTGGGGAGAATTTGGGGATTTGGGGGGGATTTGTGGGAGAATATGGTGATTTTGTGGAAAATGTGGGGATTTTAGGGAGGATTTTGGGGATTTTTGGGAGGATTTTTGGGGATTTTTGGGAGGATTTTTGGGAATTTTCGGAGGATTTTTGGGAAGATTTTCGGGAATTTTTGGAAGATTTTGGGGAGGATTTTTGGGAAGATTTTCGGATATTTTTGGAGGATTTTGGGGAGGATTTTTGGGAGTTTGGGGTTTTGGGGGGAATTTGGGGATTTTGGGGATTTTGGGGAGAATTTGGGTATTTTGGGGAGAGCTGGCGGCGCTCCAGCACCAACAGCCGCGCCAGGACACCTGGAGAGAGGGAGAGAGGGAATTCTGGGGAATTTGGGAAAAAATTGGGGATTTGGGGGAAATTTGGAAAAAATTTGGGGATTTTGGGGAAATTTTGGGGGCAATTTGGAAGAATTTGGGGAAAAATTGCGGATTTTTCAGAGGATTTTGGGGATTTCTGGGAGGATTTCGGGAATTTTCGGAGGATTTTTGGGAAGATTTTCGGGAATTTTTAGAAGATTTTGGGGAAGATTTTTGGGATTTTTCAGAGGATTTTGGGGATTTTTGGGAAGATTTTCGGGTATTTTTGGAGGATTTTTGGGGAGGATTTTCGGGTATTTTTGGAAGATTTTTGGGGACGATTTTTGGGAGTTTGGGGTTTTGGGGGGAATTTGGGGATTTGGGGGACGATTGTGGGACAATTTGGGGATTTTGGGGAAAATTTGGGGGTTTTGGGGAGAGCTGGCGGCGCTCCAGCAGCGACAGATGGGCCAGAACCCCTGGAGGGGGGAATTTTGGGAAAAAATTGGGATTTTGGGGGAATTTGTGGGAAATTTGTGGAAAATTTGGGGGAAATTTGGGAGGATTCTGTGAAAATATTGGGGATTTTGGGGAGGATTTGGGGATTTCTGGGAGGATTTTGGGGAATTTTCAGGAGGAATTTTGGGGGAATTCAGGGAAAATTTAGAGAATTTTAGGGATTTTGAGGAGGATTTTGGGGAATTTTTGGAGGACTTTGGGAGAATTTTAAGAGAAATAGAGGGGGATTTGGGTATTTTGTGAAAACATTGGGGATTTTGGGGAGAATTTGGGGATTTTGTGGAAAATGTTGGGATTTTTGGGAGGATTTTGGGGGGGTTTGGTGATTTTGGGAAGAAGTTCAGGATTTTTGCAGAAGAATTTGTGGATTTTGGGGAATTCTTGGAGGATTTGGGGGATTTTCAGGGGGTATTTGGGGATTTTGGGGAGAATTTGGGGATTTTGTGGAAAATGTTGGGATTTTTGGGAGGATTTTGGGGGGGGTTTGGTGATTTTGGGAAGAAGTTCAGGATTTTTGCGGAAGAATTTGTGGATTTTGGGGAATTCTTGGAGGATTTGGGGGATTTTCAGGAGGAATTTGGGGATTTTGGACGGATTTTGGGTATTCAGAGAAAAACTTTGAGATTTTTGGGAGAAATTAGGGAAGATTTCGGGGAATTTTTGGAGGATTTTAGGAATTTTGGGATAATTTTTTGGAGAATTTGTGCCAAATTTGGGGATTTTAGGGGGGGATTTGGGAATTTTCGGGAGGAATTTGAGGATTTGGAGGAGAATTTGGGGATTTTGGGGGAGATTTGGGAATTTTGGGATAAAATTGGAGATTTTTTTGAGGATTTGGGGATTTTTGGAAGGATTTTGGGGAGAATTTGGGGATTTTGGGGGGGATTTTAGGGAATTTGGGAAGAAATTCCAGAATCTTGAGGGGATTTGGGGGAAGAATTGGGAAATTGGGGGAAATTTGTGGAATTTTCGGAGAAATTTTGGGATTTGGGGGAGAATTTGGGGTTTTTGGGAGGATTTTGGAAAGATTTTGGTGATCTTTGGAAATTTTGGGGATAATTTGGGGAATTTCATGAAGATTTTATGGGATTTTTTTGGAATTTGGGGGTTTGGAGGAAGAATTGGGAATTTTGAGGGGAAATTGGGGATTTCGGAAAGAAATTTGGGGGATTTTTTCAGTGGGAATTTTGGGATGAATTTGGAGAGTTTGAGGAGATTTTGGGGAATTTTTGGAGGATTTTGGGAAGAAATTTGGGAATTTTGGGAGGAATTTGATTTTCAGGAGGAATTTGGGGGGAATTTGGGGATTTTGAGAGAAGTTTTGGGAATTTGAGGAAGAATTTTGGGATTTGGGGGAAATTTTGGGAATTTTAGCAGGAATTTGGGGAAGAATTTGGGGAATTCTGGAAGAATTCAGAGGTTTTTTTGGGAATTCTGTGGAAAAACTTGCAAATTTGAGGAAAAAAATGGGAATTTTGGGGAGACCTTGCAAAAAAATTTGAGAAATCGGGGATTTGGAGGAAAAATTGGGAATTTTAGGGGGAAATTTGGAGATTTTCAGGAAGAATTTGGGGAATTTTGAGGAGAAATTGGGAATTTTGGGAACTCACCCTGTGCAAATTCAGGTTTTTCTTCCTCTTCCTTCTCCTCATTCCCAAAATCCATCCCGTGATCCATCCCTGGGAATTCCCAGAAAATTCCAAGGATTTGGGGCTGGAAAATAGGGGAAAAAAACTGTTAAAGTTCATAAATCTGGGATTATTTTATGAGGAAAAAAATCCCATTAATTTCCATAAATTTGGGATTTTTTTAATGAGGAAAACGGGGATGGGAATGGCAAATAAATCCCTTTAAATTCCATAAATTTGGGGATTTTTAATGAGGAAAAGTCCCTTTAATTTCCATAATTTGAGGATTTTTTATAAGGTAAAGAAATCCCATTAATTTCCATAGATTTGGGAATTTTTAAATGAGGAAAATGGGGACGGAAAAGGAAAAAAATCTCATTTCATTATTTTTGGGAATTTTTTATGAGGAAAACGGGGATGGGAATGGAAAAAAATCCCTTTAATTTCCATAAATTTGGGATTATTTTATGAGGAAAAACCCTCATTATTTTCCATAAATTTGGGATTACTTTATGAGGAAAAAAACCCTTTAATTTCCATAATTTTTTGATTATTTTATGAGATAAAAAAAGTCCCTTTAATTTCCATAAATTTGGAGATTTTTATGAGGTAAAAATCCCTTTAATTTCCATAAATTTGGGAATTTTTAATGAGGAAAAGTCCCTTTAATTTCCATAATTTGAGGAGTTTTTATAAGGTAAAAAAATCCCATTAATTTCCATAGATTTGGGAATTTTTTAATGAGGAAAATGGGAACGGAAAAGGAAAAAAATCTAATTAATTTTCATTATTTTTGGGAATTTTTTATGAGGAAAACGGGGATGGGAATGGAAAAAAATCCCTTTAATTTCCAAAAATTTGGGATTATTTTATGAGGAAAAAAAATCCCCGTTATTTTCAATAAATTTGGGGTTACTTTATGAGGGAAAAATTCCATTAATTTCCATAAATTTGGGAATTTTTTATGAGGAAAAAAACCCTTTAATTTCCATAATTTTTGGATTATTTTATGAGATTAAAAAAATCCCTTTAATTTCCATAAATTTGGGGGGTTTTATGAGGGAAAAATCCCATTAATTTCCATAAATTTGGGATTTTTTTTATGAGGAAAAGTCCCTTTAATTTCCATAATTTGAGGATTTTTTATAAGGTAAAAAAAATCCCATTAATTTCCATAGATTTGGGAATTTTTTAATGAGGAAAATGGGAATGGAAAAGGAAAAAAATCTAATTAATTTTCATTATTTTTGGGAATTTTTTATGAGGAAAACGGGGATGGGAATGGAAAAATTCCCTTAAATTTCCATAAATTTGGGATTATTTTATGAGGAAAAAAAATCCCGTTATTTTCCATAAATTTGGGGTTATTTTTATGAGGTAAAAATCCCTTTAATTTCCATAAATTTGGGATTTTTTTTATGAGGAAAAAAACCCTTTAATTTCCATAATTTTAGGATTATTTTATGAGGAAAAAATCCCATTATTTTCCATAAATTTGGGGTTACTTTATGAGGGAAAAATCCCTTTAATTTCCATAAATTTGGGAATTTTTTAATGAGGAAAAAAACCCCATTAATTTCCATAATTTTTGGATTATTTTATGAGATAAAAAAATCCCTTTAATTTCCATAACTTTGGGGATTTTTATGAGGTAAAAATCCCTTTAATTTCCATAAATTTTGGAATTTGTAATGCGGAAAAGTCCCTTTAATTTCCATAATTTGAGGATTTTTTATGAGGTAAAAAATCCCATTAATTTCCATAGATTTGGGGATTTTTATGAGGAAAATGGGAACAGAAAAGGAAAAAAATCTAATTAATTTTCATTATTTTTTGGGAATTTTTTAATGAGGAAAACGGGGATGGGAATGGAAAAAAATCCCTTTAATTTCCATAAATTTAGGACTATTTTATGAGGGAAAAAATCCCATTAATTTCCATAAATTTGGGATTTTTTAATGAGGAAAAAAACCCTTTAATTTCCATAATTTTTGGATTATTTTATGAGATTAAAAAATCCCTTTAATTTCCATAAATTTGGGGTTACTTTATGAGGGAAAAATCCCTTTAATTTCCATAAATTTGAGATTATTTTATGATGAAAAACCCCTTTAATTTCCATAATTTTTGGATTACTTTATGAGATAAAAAAATCCCTTTAATTTCCATAAATTTGGGGTTTTTTTAATGAGGAAAAAATCCCTTTAATTTCCATAAATTTGGGAATTTTTAATGAGCAAAAGTCCCTTTAATTTCCATAATTTGAGGATTTTTTATAAGGTAAAAAAATCCCATTAATTTCCATAGATTTGGGAATTTTTTAATGAGGAAAATGGGGACATAAAAGGAAAAAAAATCTAATTAATTTTCATTATTTTTTGGGAATTTATTATGAGGAAAACGGGGATGGGAATGGAAAAAAATCCCTTTAATTTCCATAAATTTGGGATTATTTTATGAGGAAAAAAAATCACGTTATTTTCCATTAATTTGGGGTTACTTTATGAGAGAAAAATCCCGTTAATTTCCATAAATTTGGGGATTTTTTATGAGGAAAAACCCCCCTTTAATTTCCATAATTTTTGGATTATTTTATGAGATTAAAAAATCCCTTTAATTTCCATAAATTTGGGGATTTTTATGAGGTAAAAATCCCGTTAATTTCCATAAATTTGGGGATTTTTTATGAGGAAAAAAATGCCTTAAATTTCCATAACTTTGGGGTTATTTTTATGAGGGAAAAATCCCATTAATTTCCATAAATTTGGGAATTTTTTATGAAGAAAAAACCCCTTTAATTTCCATAATTTTTGGATTATTTTATGAGATTAAAAAAAATCCCATTAATTTCCATAATTTGAGGATTTTTTTATAAGGTAAAAAATCCCATTAATTTCCATAGATTTGGGAATTTTTTAATGAGGAAAATGGGAACGGAAAAGGAAAAAAATCTAATTAATTTTCATTATTTTTGGGAATTTTTTATGAGGAAAACAGGGATGGGAATGGAAAAAATCCCTTTAATTTCCATAAATTTGGGACTATTTTATGAGGAAAAAAATCCCTTAAATTTCCATAAATTTGGGATTATTTTATGACGGAAAAATACCATTAATTTCCATAAATTTGGGATTTTTTTATGAGGAAAAAACCCCTTTACTTTCCATAATTTTTGGATTATTTTATGAGATTAAAAAATCCCTTTAATTTCCATAATTTTGGGGATTTTTATGAGGGAAAAATCCCTTTAATTTCCATAAATTTGAGATTATTTTATGATGAAAAACCCCTTTACTTTCCATAATTTTTGGATTATTTTATGAGATTAAAAAAAATCCCATTAATTTCCATAGATTTGGGGATATTTATGAGGAAAAAATCCAATTAAATTCCACAACTTTGAGAATTTTTCTGAGGGCACCGAGCATGAGGGCGATAAAAATGGCGGGAAAACGACAGCGACGATCCCGAACTGCGGACAGGGACGACCCCAAGGAACAGCATCGATCCCAGGAGAGAAACAGGGACGATCCCATAAAATAACCCCAAAAACGATCCCAAAAAAATTATCCCCAAAAAAATTATCCCCAAAAATAACCCCAAAACACCTCAGGGCCCCCAAATCCCTCCCTGAGGGCTCCGCGCTCACCTCGACTTTCCCGCCTCAGCGCCGCCGGAAGTGCGTCATGCCCCATTCCGTACACCAACATGGCGGCGCGCTGCTTGGCGCCCCGCTTTACCCTCCCCGTTCCTCCCGGCAGCCCGCGCGGTTCCGTACGGCGGCATGGCGGCGGTGCTGGTGCAGTACGTGGTGCTCCGCGGGGATCTGGCGCGGCCTCCCCGCTCGTGGCCGCTCGGTGCCGTGGTGGCTCAGGGCTGTCACGCCGCGCTGGCCGCCGTTCACGGTTACCGGGAGCATCCCGACACCGGCGCGTACCTGCAGCAGGGCGCCGCCATGACAACCGTGGTGCTGGAGGTAACGGCGGCGGCGCGGGGCATGATGGGAACGCCGCGCTGAGGGGCACAGCGGCCGCCATGTTGGGGGGGGCGGAAAATCGGGATTTTTTTGGGGAAAATCGTGATTTTTTTTTTAAATCGGGATTTTTGGGAAAATCTGTATTTTTTTGGGGGTGTTCCGGAGTTTAGGGAGGTGGGAATGGTAATTTTAGGGGGGGTCAGAGGGGGTTTTTGGCGCGCTGAGAGGAGCCCGCGGAGGAGCCGCAATTCCTGCGGAAATTAATTTGGAATTTGGGAATAATTCCCAAAATTCGGAATAATTCCCGACGGAATGGTGAATAATTCCTCATGGAATTACCAGCGCAGTGCCTAAACCCCAAAATTCCCGAAAATACTTCAAATCCGTGCGGATTTAGAGCGACAAAACTCAATTTGGTGTTTGGATCTCTTGGATTCCCAAAGGTTTTTCCCACCTTAAAAATTCCCTAAAAATAAAAATAAAAATCGCTGTTTTTACGTTTTAACCTCATAAATCTTGCAATCCAAAAGAGGTGGAAATCAGCGATGTGAGGAGAAAAAAAAAAACCAAATTAAATTGCGGGATGGGATGGGAGGATGGGGTTTGGAATTTGGGATGAATTTCTGATTTATTTTAATTTTTTTTTAAATTTAATTTATTTTTTAGGCTCCGGATGAGGATTCCCTGCTGGATTTGGCGAAGTCGCTGAAGGAAAAAGACGTGGATCACAAACTTTGGGTGGAAAATCCTGAGGGAATTCCGACCTGCCTGGCGCTCCGGCCTTATCCCAAAAATCTGGTGCAGCCCCACCTCAGGAATTTCAAACTCCTCAAATGATCCGAATTTGGACTTTTTTTCAGGTTTTTGGGGTGTTTTTCTCCATGTAAAACCCGGGAATTTTTGGGATTGAATTGCCTGTGGATGTGGTGGGAATAATGTGGATTTAAAGTGGTTTTAAAGGCGGAAGTGTTTTGGTTTTGGTTTGTGTGAGGGGAAAAAGGGGAAAAATGAGGAAAATTTGGGGGGAAAAGGAGGAAAATTGGGGGGAAAATTGGAGAAAA